TCAGCTCACCCTCCGTTGGTTGCATCCACTGTCTAACCAGTCCCAATGAGATGAGCTGGGTACCTCAGTTTGAAATGCAGAAATCACCAGCCTTCTGTATTGATGTTGCCTGGAGCTGCAGGTTGGAACTGTTCATATTCAGCCATCTTGCCAGCCACCAGTGTAAACAAGTTTTATCCTCAGTCTGTTAGAGAGTACCTTACTAGCTGGGTGTGGTGGCTCTCATCTGTAATCCCAGCACTTAGGGAGCCAGAGGCAGGCAGATCATTTGAGGTTAGGAGATCGAGACTAGGCTGGCCAACATGGTGGAACCCCATCTCTACTAAAAATACACCACGCCAGGCATGGTGGTGGGCACCTGTAATCCCAACTGCTCAGGAGGCTGAGACAGGAGAATCGCTTGAACTCTGGAGGCAGAGGTTGCAGTGAGCCGAGATTGAGTCACTGCACTCCAACCTGGGCGACAGAGCGAGACTCCGTCTCAAAAAAAAAAAAAAAAAAAAAAAGAGTTAATGTCCCATTACTCCTGAACACTTCAGTGTTCACTTTAGTGTTTTGCAATATTCTTTTCCTAGTCTGTTGGTGAGTTTTTTTGTTTCTTTAACTGTTTTTTGGAGAGCAAAAGTTTAATTTTAATACTATTGAATTTAGCAATATTTTCTCCAGATATTGAACTTTTTGTATCACATCCCTGCAATTTTTGCCTAATTTAAGGTCAAGAAGATTTTTCCCTATGTCTTTATTCTGGAAATTTCTTAGAGTTAGGTTTTATACTTAGGTCTCTCATCCATTTAATTTTTCTATGTGGTGCATGTGATGGGATCCTCTTTCTAGTTTTACATCTGCATTTATAGTTATTTCTGTTTTATTTGTTAAAAAGACCATTCTTTTACTGTTGAGTTGACTATATATGACACAGACGACAAATAGACTGTGTAAGTCTATTTCAGACTGTTCTTTTCCAGTGATTTCTGTGTCTACCATTTCCATCTGTTTCTGTCCTTTTGTTGATATCATACTGTCTTAATTATACTATAGCTTAATGTCATGAAATCCAGAAAGGTTAGTCCTCCAACTTTTTGTATTTCCAAAATGTTTTCGACTGATTCTTTTGCCTCTTAGAATCAACTTATCAATTTCCACAAAAATTCCCGCTAAGATTTGGATAGAAATTGTGTCATGAATTTGGGAGAATTAACATTTTAGCAGTATTGAGTCTTTCAATTCATTAACATGGTGTATCTTTCCATTTGCTTAGGTCTTTTTAAGTTTTTAAAAATTGGTGATTTGTAGCTTAAGCATCTGTTCGTTAATATATGTTGTTAAATTTGTACGTAGTGTATGGGCTGAATTGTATCCCTCAAAATTTATATACTGAACCCTAACTCTGCTATTTCACGTTGTGACTGTATTTACAGATAGATTGTTTACAGCAGTGATTAAGTTAAAATGAGACCACTAGAGTGGTTTGACTGGTGTCTTTATAAGAAAAGGAAATTTGATCTCACAAAGGGACACCAGAGATGCATGCACACTGAGGAAAGCCCATGTGAGGACCCAGAAAGGAGGTCATCTGTAAGCTAATGATAGAGGTGGCCTCCAGAACTGTGAGAACATAGGTTTCTGTTGTTTAAGTTACCCAGTCTGTGGTGTTTTGTTATGGCAGCTCTACCTATCTCATATAGATTTTGGTACCAAACAGTGAGTTGTTGCTTAACAAGCACTTAGAAATGTGCAAGTGGCTTTAGAACTGGGTAATGGGTAGAGACTGGAAGAATTTTGAGGTATATGTTAGAAAAAAACCTAGATTCTATCGCTGAATAAATTGTTGATATAAAATATGGACGTTCAAGCTGTTTCTGGTGAGACCTCAAGTGGAAATGAGGAACATGTTATTTGACATTGAAGGGAATGTGGTCCTTGTTATAAAGTGGCAAAGATCTTGGTTAAATTATGTTCTAGTGATGAACTTGGATATTTAGCTGTGGAGATTTGTAAGTAAAATGTTGAAGGCACAGTCTTGTTTCTCCTTGCAGCTGGTCAAATCACTTGAGGCCAGGAGTTCAAGACCAGCCTGGCCAACATGATGAAATCCCGTCTCTACTAAAAATATAAAAATTAGCATGGTGGTGCACACCTATAGTCCCAGCTACTCAGAAGGCTGTGCACGAGAATCACTTGAACCTGGGAGATGGAGGTTGCAGTGAGTCGAGATTGTGCCACTACACTCCAGCCTGGGTGACAGAAGGAGAATCTGTCTCAAAAAAAAAATAATAATAATTATACAATATATGGTTAATATGTATTTGATTTATTACAAAGATGCCAGCCTAGCTAAGTGGGGGAACAACATATGATGCTGAAACAACCGGATTTCCATGTGGAAAGTAAATTAATTTCAACTCTTATCTTATATGCGGAATTTCACTTGAAATGAAACATAGACCTAAGTATAAAGTCCACAAGTATACTTTATGGAACAAAAGATGTTGGAGAAAATGTTTGAATCCTTGCAGTAGGTAAAGAGATCTTAGGATATAAAAAGTGCAAATATAACAGGAGGAAAAAAAATAAATTGGACTTTATAAAAATTAAATTTTTCTGCTCTTTGAAAGACATTGTAAAAAAAAGGTGAAAAGGCAAACCATCTAACCATCCGCTTGGGAAAAATACTTGCAAAAATATTTTTACAAGTCCAGTCTTGTATCTAGAATATATGAGAAGACTAACAGCTCAATAATAAATAACTAAACAGATAACATGAAAAGATGTTCGACTTTGTTACTCACCAGAAAAATGCAAATCAAAGCCACATAGAAATACTACTGCACAATGGTTAGAATGGCTAAAAGTAAGAAGAAAGATAATACCATGTCAAGGTATTGCCATGACAAGGATTTAAAACTCTCACACATTACTTGTGAAACTTGAAAATAGCATAACCTTTTGTAATAGTTTGGTAGATTTTAAAAATAGGGTTAAGTATATACTTACCGTATAACTTGGGAATTCTACTCCTAGGTTTTTACCCAAGAGAAATGAAGTCATATGCCCACCAAAAGACTTGAACTAGAATACTCATAGTAGGGTTATTCATAATAGTAAAGAGCTGCATAAAACCCAATTGTCTATCCAGAAGTGAATGGATAAGAAAAAATAGTATATTCATACAGTAGAATACTACTCAGGAAAAAAAATACTTGTACATGTAGCAGTGATGGGCAGTGATCGAGAATGGGGGGAGCTTCCCTCAAGACTCCAGGGTACTTTAGGGAATAGAATGCAGGATTACTTGCGAATTCCTTTAAGAGCTTAACAAAACTTGTATTCTAAAACCTAACAACTACATTATAGAAGAGGAAAATAATAGCCCAGCTTCACTAATAAATGTAAGATACAAAAATTTCAAAACATTATAAGTTGAAATTAAGGTAATGTAGTTGTTACTTTGGGGGGATGCCTAATGATTGCAAGGAGCTTAAGGGAGGTTTATGAGTTGCTTGTAATGTTTCGTACTGGACCTGGGTAGCTGGTCGGTTGAGTGTGTTTACTTTCTGAAAATGTATTGAACTTTAGAGTTTATGTACTTTGTGTAGTAGATTATAATGTACTTCAAAAAAAAAAAAAAAAAAATGCTGTGGCTGCTTTCCAAAATGAGCAGAATTTCACAGAAGGGGAAACACAAATAACCAAGGAAGCTGTTTGTGTTTGATATCATATGTAACCATTATGCATTTGTGAAATTATAATTAAAACTAGAATGACATGGCCAGTGAGACTGATATAATTTAAAATCTTCGAACACCCTAAGCATTGTGGGGATATGGAGATACTGAAACTGTGCTGCTGGTGTTAGTGTAATGTCTTATCACCACTTATGAAAATGGTTTGATAGTGCTCAGTAAGGTGAACATATATAATTTTACTCTTTGGGGAAGTTTTAGCCACAAGCACCTATATCAGAAGGAAAAAAAATAAATTGGACTTTATAAAAATTAACTTTTTCTGCTCTTTGAAAGACTTTGTAAAAAAAAGGGGAAAAGGCAAACCATCTAACCATCCGCTTGGGAAAAATATTTGCGAAAATATTTTTACAAGTCCAGTCTTGTATCTAGAATATATGAGAAGCGTACAAGCAAAAGCAAAACTCTGTAAGCAACACAGATGCTCACCAACAGTATAGTGGACAAATACGTAGTGGTTTATTCATCAGTGCAATGCAGTGTCACAGTAAAGTTCGGTAAACTATGAGTGTGGCTAAAATTTAAACATTGTTTTGTAAAAGAAGGAAGTCACAGGAAAATGTATGTCATATATGCTACAGTTTGGAAAGAGGCAGGAGTAAATGATGTATTATTTAGATAATCATTCATAGGTGCTGTAGTACAAACAACTAAATAAAAGCAAGGTCATGATGAGAGGTAGGGAGCGTGACAAGGAGGAATGAGATCCAGGAGGAACACATAAGAAGGTGCTTCTAGGTCAGGATATGGTGATGTTTTAGTACTTGGCTGGGTTGGAAAATTCAGGTGGGTCTTTTATTATTATTTTTTAAACTGTAAAATTTGTTTTTATATGTGCTCTATTTCCCCAAACTGTAAAAGAGTAAATTTCCTGAAATACCTTTCAGAGATTAAAAATAAAACTAAATTCCCCAATTCTAGGGGCTTTAAGTATTGTGACTTGTGTGTTCCTCACAGATGTCCTGATTTAATACTATGTTGAGTTAAAATATAAGTTCTCTTTCTACTCAAAGCCTTCATCAAGGACATTATTACAACAGTTCTACAATTTTTATTTAGCCTTAAAATTGTAAAACTACTTCTTTAAAATCTGCATTTTATAATTTATTTTTCTAATTTAGACCTGATATGTTCTCAGTTAATTCAAATTGGATAGCTTTTTGTCAAAACTGTTGTAGAACTTTGAATAAACATCTTTGGAATAAGCAGTGAATAAACATTTTTGCGCTAATCAACAGTGAATTACTTTTCTTTCAGATTCAAACATCTACTTCTTTGGGAACATCACAGATTTCACAGAAAATAATTCCTCTCTTGGAACTTCCGTCTGTTTCTGAAGATGGTAAAATGAAACTGCTTAAGGATATTTTTCTTACTTTATTAAAATTTCTGTTTTGAGGCATATTTTTCTCAAAGGACCACATAGAGGAAGGGAAATACCTTTTCCTTTTAAAATCTAGGTTATTGGTTGAGGTTCTAGGAATGAAAGACAGATTAACATGAGAAAACAAGCAGATTTACTGGCATTCGTATTTCACGGGTACATGCAAGAAACTCAGGGATGAGTAACTCAAGGTGGTGATTAAAATTTGGGTTTATATATCAGTTTGGGCTTAAACAAAGGAAAAGAGGTTTTGAGCTTCAGGGATAGGGGTTGCTGGGGAGGCAAGGTATATGGGAAGGCGACCAGAAAACGTATGGTGCATGAGGGTAAAGTTTCTTACGCAGATTTGTCAGTATTTTCTCTTTTGATAAGAATGTCTTGTGAGTAAGAGTCATCTTCCCTGGAACAGAAAGGAAGATACCTTTACAGGGTAGATTTCTCTTACAAATGTTAATTTCCCTTACAAAAGGGAAACTTGGGATCTGTCTTCAGAGCTTTTCCTGTCTGCTGTTTCTCAAAATAATTGACTCAGTGTAATAATCCTTATGCCAAAAAGTCATGTTTTCGAGTGGCATATTTTGGTCTTCAATAGTCATATAAGAAATTTCAGGCAATAGCAAATATTTGTATATTTTCAGGAAATTTTAACTAAAATTTACTTAAAATAGCACAATTCCTTAAAGTTGTTTTTGCAATGGGATTTTTTTGGTATAAAGTTGAACTCAAAATGACAACTTTATTTTGACCAGCCGGGCGCAGTGGCTCATGCCTGTAATCCCAGCACTTTGGTAGGCCAAGGCCAGTAGATCACAAGGTCAAGAGATTGAGACGATTCTAGCCAACATGGTGAAACCCCGTCTCTACTAAAAGTACAAAAATTAGCTGACGTGGTGAAGCACACCTGTAGTCCCAGCGACTCGGGAAGCTGAGGCAGGAGAATCGCTTGAACCCAGGAGGCGGAGGTTGCGGTGAGCAGAGATAGTGCTGCTGCCCTCCAGCCTGGCGACAGAGCGAGAGTCGGAATCAAAAAAAAAGAAAAAAAAAGTGACAGGGACCACTAATAAGTTAATTATCTTTATTTGGCTGTGAGTTAAAAAATGCCACAAAACTTCATAGATGTCTTAATTTCTAATGTGTTTTTTAGTTATTTGGAAAATTTTGCTATAGTATATTTAAAACATTTTAAAAAATATTGTTAAAGGAGAATCATCTTAATAATTACCTACATTTACATATAAAAACTTGTAACTATTCTGATACCAAATATCTGCTTTTTAATGACCATATTAGAAAGAAAAGGTGTATGTCTATATTTTTAAGACTTTAAAAATTGATAAATGTTAAATAACAGAAATTGCCATGTCGATTCTTGGTTTCTTTTTTTTTTTGAGACGGAGTCTTGCTCTGTCGCCCAGGCTGGAGTGCAGTGGCACTGTCTTGACTCACTGCAAGCTCCATCTCCTGGGTTCACGCCATACTCCTACCTCAGCCTCCCGAGTAGCTGGGACTACGGGCGCCCACCACCTCGCCTGACTAATTTTTTGTATTTTTGGTAGAGATGGGTTTTCACCGTATTAGCCAGGATGGTCTCGATCTCCTGACCTCGTGATCCGCCCACCTCAGCCTCCCTAAGAGCTGGGATTACAGGCATGAGCCACCATGCCTGGCCGATTCTTGGTTTCTTAGAGAACAATTTATTTATTTATTTATTTATTTATTTATTTATAGTCACCGGAGAGAAGTTGTTTGTGAGATCATCTACTTTAATTTCAATCTTAGTTTATTAGGGATATACTTCTGATTGTTTCATTTAAACCTTGCTTTATTGGTTTTACTAAGTTATCTTATGCTTTTTAGTCCTTTTTAGTATCAATATATGTGTGTATGTACATCAACATGTATATACATATACTATATTTGTATGTATATACATATACAAAGCAGTGCTTGATCTCAGTTTACTTCATTCAAACTCTGCTGCTAACATTGCAGAGTTTATACCTAAGTCGTGTTACACTATCCAGGTAGAGTGAGCATATTAACACATTACTTTGAGTATTCATGGTGTGTATATCATTGGCATTGGCATTTCCTGTAAAATTTAAGCGATTTTAAAATAGACTAATGATTTCAAAAGATGGGCTTCTTAAGCTAAAGATTACATCTTATAATGTTCCATGCTGCTTAGTCGCCAAGAATGTTATTTAAAAGTACAGTATCCCTTTGTTTAAAATTGACAATAAAAAAGTACAGTAATGTCTATATTATTTTCAATTTATTTTTGTTCTGATGTTTATATTTTATATTTAAAAGAGAGCCTTAGTGTTTTTGTGTTCATATTTATTTCAGAAAAATATTGAAATACTGTTAAATTGATCATTTTAATTATTGACTTAAATAATGTTCTGTGAAATTTAGATTCAGAGGAGGAATTTTTTGATGCACCATGTAGTCCCTTGGACGAACCTCTTCAGTTCCCAACTGGAGTTAAAAGTATTCGAACCAGAAAGTTACAAAAACAGGATTGTTCAGTAAATATGACTACGTTTAAAATACGATTTGAAGTACCAAAGGTAGGTACTATGGTGAAATTGACATGGCTTAATTTGTTTGCTGTTTCTACTATTTACAGATTACGATACAGTCTCATTGTTAATAAGCACTATCTTTTTCATCCCACTATCTTTTTCACCCTAATTAAACTAAATCCAGACTTGGCTGTGTGATTCTTCTTCACTCCTTTTTTTTTTTTTTTTTATAAGATTAACTTCGTTAATCAAGAGTGAGGGGTTTAAATGATATATTGTGGGTATTCAATACATGTTTTTGTGAAAACAGTTATTTATGTTGTGTGTGTATTGTATGTCTGTGTGAGTATAAAATCTCTCCTAAATTTTAGATAATAATATATCAATTGTATGTATATCTCATATATTCACATGTAACCACTGTGCACTAAACATGTTTTTGTTTTATGTACTGGTAGTTTCTTCTTTCTTTCTTCTCCAGGTTTTGATCGAGTTTTATCACCTTGTTGGAGATTGTGAACTATCTGTGGTAGAAATTCATGTTTTAGGATTGGGCACAGAAATTGAGATTAGAACATACGATTTGAAAGCAAATGCCTTTTTGAAAGAGTTCTGCTTAAAATGCCCAGAATACTTGGGTGAGAATCTCTATTTTTTAAAATAAATAAATTAATTTCATTGTTTGACTACCTGCTAGAGAGTTTTCAATTCTTCAGGCTCCGAATCAGTATATTTGCCAAAATATTCTCAGAGAACCATTCCTTTTTTAGTTAATCTTAAACTTTTATAGTTGGTAATCTAGTGGGTACACCGGAGATAAAATGAAGATAATTTTATTCATTATGGAAAATCAGATGGTAATGGTTGAATTTTAAATCTACTTAACTGATTATTGGAACACTGAATTAGTTTCCTATTGTTGCTCTAACAATTTACCACAAACTTAGTGTGCTTAAAAACAACACAAATTTATTATCTTAAAGTTCTGTATGGCAGAAGTCTGACACACGTCTCACTGGGCAAAACTCAAGGTGTCAGTAGGATTTCCTTTTAGGAGGCACTAGAGGAGGGTCCATTTCATTGTTCAGTCAGGTGTTGGCAAAATTCATTTACACATGCTTTAAGTCTATGTTTTCTTGTTGCCTGTTAGCAGATGACTGCCCTTAGGCCTCTGTTGCTTTTTGCACATAGCTGCTAACCACTACAAGGCATGGGATACTCCTCATGTTGCCATATCTCTAACCTCGTCTTCTGCCTTTTGCTTCCACTCCTCAAACTCCAGTGATTAGATTGGACACACCTCAGTAATCCAGGATAATATACCTTAAACCTTAACCTTAATCACGTCTTCCAAGTCCCTTTTGCCGTATGAGTTAACATATTCTCAGATTCCGGGGGATTAGAGTGTAGGTATCTTTGTTGGGGGCAGAGGGCAGTGTGCTGTTTACTGCAAACCTTTTGTGTTCCAGAATCATAATGGATATATGATCCCTAAGGAAGTGTTCTGTTTCCTATGTTAGGTAATTAGGATTGTATTTATATTTCTTCATTTCTATTTTTTGGATTTTTTCTTGAAAGATATTTGTGAACAGTAGAGGGAATTATTAGGACACCAGTTTCATTTCATTGAACTCCTTTGTAGCATAGTAATATTATGTATGAGCAGAGGTGGAATTAAAATTTTTTAAATAGACTTTATTTTTTAGAGCAGTTTTAGATTCATGGGACAGTTGAGCAGAAGGTACAGAAGTTTTCCATATACTCGTACCCATACCTGCATAGGCTTTTTCATTATCAACATCCACCACCAGAGTGGTACATTTGTTACAATTGATAAACCTACACTGACACATCATTATTACCAGGAGTCCACAATTTAAAGTTCACTGTTGCTGTTATACTTTCTGTTTGGACATGTATAATGACATGCATCTACCATTACCTTCTCACGTGGAGTAGTTTCACTGCCCTAGAAATCCTCTGTGCTCCACCTATTTGTCCCTCCCTCCCACTGTAACCCCTGGCAACTGCTGATCCTTTTAGTGTCTCCATAGTTTTTCCAGCATGTTACATAATTGGAATCACATATATCCTTTTCAGATTGACTTATTTCACTTAGTAATACATGCTGAAGTTACCTCCATGTCTTTGCATAACTGGGTAGCCCATTTCTTTTTTAGCAATGAATGATATTCTCTTGTCTGGATGTACCACAGTTTATTTATCCATTCATGTACTGAAGGATATCTTGGTTGCTTCCAAGGTTTGCCAATTGTTAATAAAGCTGCTGTGAACATTTGAATGCAAGTTTTTGTGTAGACATAAATTTTCAGTTTCATTGGGTAAATACCAAGGAACATGATTGCTAAATCATCAAGAAACAGTTTGCTCTAGTAATTGGAAAGAAGAGTAAACCAATGTGACAGTGTTCCCTAATAACCCAGGAACTTTATAGCAGTTACTAATTTTTATGTTTATTCTTATGTTTGTTTTCCCAAGAACAAAGGATTAAAAAACCCTTGCAAACAGAAAAAAGAGTATACAGTTATTATTGTGCTTATTTCTGTAATATTTTTGTTTCTGTTTTCTCAGAGGGAGTGAATAGCAGTTTCTTGCACAAAGTAAATGATCAGTAAATGCTTGTTCAATGAATGAATAAATGTGTAAACAAAGTGGGAACTTTTTTAAGGCTTCAAGTGTGGCTAGCTCTTGCAGTAGAAAACAGATTTATTTGCTAAGCATTGGGTTTGGAGGACTCTGTGCAATTTGTGGCATTTTTTTCCTCAGGAATTGTATGATTAGTTTGTAGTCCTTTCTTCCAGTCTTTAGATACTAATTTTCTAGTAACCATAAGTCACTTGGTGATGACAGTTTTAAAGGCTTTTTAGAAATTCTCTTCTACAGTGGTTTTCTTAGTGTAGCACATTTTGAGCAGAAACAGTAATATTAAAATGGGAGAGTTCCTTTAATCCCCCTCGCAGGACGTGCCACAGGGGTGTGCACATCTCTAGGGGGAGCATGCACATGGGCAGGTGCAGAGGCTGTGGGGAGTGCTTTTGGGCTCTGGCCCCAGGGCAGCATCTAGGGGTAGATGTCTACAACTCCTAAAACCCAAGGGGCTGTGTTAACAGTATGCTCTTTCAACTTTGCCATCTGCAGACGGCTTTTGTTAATCAGTTCAATAGACTGTCTTCCTTATCACAAGGGCAGGGGGCCAGTGTGATGGCCTGAATTCTTGCCCAGTGTACCAGAAGAATCGGATGACATGTGGGCTGGAAGAATGAGTGCAAGGTTTTATTGAGTGGTGGAGGTGGCTCTCAGCAAGATGGATGAGGAGCCGGAAGTGGAGGATGGAGTGGGAAGGTGGTCTTCCCGCTAAGGTTGGGCCGTCCAGCAGATGGACTCTTCTCTGACTGCCCCTGGCTGAACTCCCCTCGGCATCCAGATGTCCTTCCTCTTCTCTCTTGCTCTGCCATGCTACCCCGCCACTCTCTGCCACTATCCACCACTCTGGTCCTCTGCTCTTCTCAATGCTCAGATGCGTGTATCTGTGCCCACTAAGGCCTTGGGCTTATATGGGCACAGGATGGTGGGTATGGTGGGCCAAAAGGCAACTTTTCAGGTGCAAAAACAGAAATGCTTGTTCTCACTTAGGGCCTCTGGTCTTTAGGCTTGAGGGTGGGGCCTTTGCTGGGAAACTGCCCTTTTCTACCCAGTATTTCCCTGTCTCCTGTCCATATCAGTATAACTAATAAAGACTGATTACATGGTAATAGGGTTTATTTTAATCTAAACTAATATACAGAAAGCTTTGTTTCATCTCATTCCTGTTCTGTCTTCTGAACAGCTGGGTTTTCAAGGACTCTGATGATTTCCTTTTTAGTTATTTCAGTGATCCAGGGCCAGATATCTCTTCCTGCCCTTTCATTCTTCCTAAAAACCATTCTGGTTTCTCTTTAATTGATTCCTATTTTTCTTACCTTACCTCCTATCTAGGTTTAGAAGGGTATGAGACTTCAGTGTTGTAGCACATGAGGAGGTAAGGGAATTGTGAGGAGAAATTACATTTTTAGAGTTTAAAGAACAAAGAATTTACTTGACTTGAGTAACGTAGAATCCAAGGTCCAGAACTCATACAGGAAAGCCTTCTTTTGCAATTACATAATTAATAAGATTGCTTGAATTTATTTTCGTTACCTTTCCTATGAAAAGATAATTTTTAAAAAATTATTTTTAGATGAAAACAGGAAACCAGTTTATTTGGTTACAACGCTGGATAACACAATGGAAGACCTGTTAACGCTGGAATATGTAAAGGTAAGCAGTTTCATTTATATCTGCTTAATATGGTAAGTATGCAGCTGAAATGTTATAATCAAGTTTTGTAAGTTTGGTATTATTCAGTTTGTCTAACATTCACTCTAACATAATCTCTGTAACTCCTAATACTAAGGTTTTTTTGATTTTGTCATCTTGTATTAAATAGCTGTGATTTATAAATACTTCATATAGCAAAATAAGAAGATTATATTCTAAGTAGAAATGACCTGGAGTTTGATTTTTTTTTCTCTCAACAGGGGTATTGAGAAAGAAACACACTTTTTAGTCTTGATAGAGTATGTTGTTATATGTGATACAAGATGATGCTTTCCCATTATTTTCCACTGTTTTGTGAAGTTACCTGATATTCCTAGGGTCAATAACTCTATTCCTTTTTTATTGATTTATGATATTCATTTTATCATCTGTTAAGCTTTTCTATGTACTATGGTATATTTCTAATTTTTCCATGTTTCTGCTGACTTATTTTTATATGTGTCAGACTATTTTAATAATTACTTTATAATAATAATGCAGAAAGCATTTAATCACTTTTAAAACCACTTTTGCTATCCATTATTGACTAGATATTTTAGGATTTTTGTTGTAGTATATGCATTATATAGCTTTTATATAACAAAAATGTTCTAGACCTAAAGAAAATGGATAAAGAAAATATGATATATACACAAAACGGAACACTATTCGGCCTTTAAAAGGGGGGGAATCCTGTCATTTGTGTCAACATAGATGAATGTGGAGGACATTATGCTAAGCAAAATAAGCCAAGCACAGAAAGACAAATACCTTATGATCTTCTTTATGTGTGGAATCTAATAAAACTGAACTCATAGAAGTAGAGAGCAGAGTGATGGTTACCAGAGGGTAGCAGGGATGGGAGGGAGGGAAGGAGAGGGAATAGAGAGTTGTCAATCAAATGGTACAAAGTTCCAGATAGACAGGAGGAATAATTTTTGAGATCTGTTATACAGCGGGGGACTGTAGTCAATAATAATGTGTTGTTTATTTCAAAACGACCAAGAAAGTGAATTTCAAATGTCTCACCACAAAAAAAGATAGGAAAGTGAGGTGATAGATACGTTAGTTAACTTAATTTAATCATTTAACATTGTGCACATATGTCAGAACATCACATTGTACTCCATAAGTGTATATAATTATGATTTGTCAATCAAAAATATTAAATTTTTTAAAAAGAAATAGAAAACACAGAGTATTTGGATACTTGGTGGACAATTCTGTCACAAATTTTGTTTTTAAATACAGGAAGAATTAGGAAGAACCGTACAGAGTTGTTGATGACCGAATGATTATTCTCCACACTTGATAATATCCAACATTTCCTCTCTTGATAATAAGAATGATAGTACGTAACGTTTATTGAATACTTGTTATGTGCCAAAGAGTCCCATACTTACATTTTCTTTTGTTCTGGTGAAGCAGTTGCTTATTTAGGTAATTATATGTGTGTGTATATGTATATATATATATATGTATATGAACAGCTGGAAAATTATATAAATGTGTATTAGGACTATAATGTAATTGTATTTGTATGTTTTCCTACCATGTTCTAACAGATTTGTTTTCTCTTTGGATAGGCTGAAAAGAATGTACCCAACTTGAAAAGTACCTATAACAATGTTTTACAATTGATTAAGGTATGAGTAGATAATTTATTTTTTAATTATATACTGTATTTCTATTTCTTATGGAAATTATTTTCTAACTGGAATTGTAAGATCCTTAAAGATAAGAAAATATTATAAATTGTATCCTTTATGCCACAAAGCATAGTGCCTTGTAGACAGCTGGCAAGCAAATATTTATTGACCTATCACTAAAATCAGCTTTGTTCTTTAGGTAAATTTTTCCTCTTTGGATATTCATTTACACACTGAAGCACTTCTGAATACAATAAATTATCTTCATAATATCCTTCCGCAATCAGAGGAAAAATCAGCCCCAGTGTCCACTACAGAGACTGAAGACAAAGGAGATGTCATAAAAAAATTAGGTATGTTTTTTAAAAATTTAGCATCAACTTTTTTTACTGTTTTAACCATGTAGGCCAAGAAATCTAGACTCTGCCTTTATCATTAACTTCAAATATTGGCTTCAGAATTCTGTTGCCTAGGTTAATATCTAGAAGGATTCATTATATGCTAGGATAATTTTAGAAAATAAAGGAAACTACTGCTGAAGAAAGTGTTGCTTTTGTTTATCATATATAATAATTGGTTTTAGTTTAAGATTATACTGTAGGAGTGTTAGATTAAAAAAATTTTTTTTCTTCCACCTCGATCCCAGTAGGAGGATTAGATTTAAATTAAAATTTAATGCATTTCATAACATTATTTTAGATTAGACAAATATGACTAACAAAATTTGAGTAATGTCAGCTGGGTGCAGTGGCTTGTGCTTGTGATCCCAGTGCAGGGAGGTGAGTGTTGTGAGGGTTGAGACTGGAGGATCGCTTGAAGCCAGGAGTTCGAAACTAGCCTGGGCAACATAGCAAGACACTGTCTCCAACAAAATTTTAAAAATTAGTTGGGCATGGTGGTGTACGTCTATAGACCCAGTTTACTTGGGAGACTGACACGGGAGAATCACTGGAGCCCAGGAATTCAAGATTGCAGCGAGCTACGAGCTACGATTGCACCACTGCACTCCATCCTGGGTAACAGAGTGAGACTCTGTCTCGAAAAAAAACCCAAAAAACAAAAAAGAGTATCAGAGCATATTTTAAAATCAGAGTATAATACTTTCGAAGCAGTGAAAAGTTGCAATTTTGATAATGACAGGTACCACCTAGTAATTACTGGCTCTCAAAAAATTTTGAAATTTATAGTTACAGTGTTTTAGTTTCAAATGTTTAGTTTCTTCTAGAAACAAAGTGTTGTCTATTTCCTTTTGTTTTCATTAGATTTGATTGTTTTTTAGAATTTTCAATTCAATAGGGCATATTATACCTTGCTTTCAGCTGAATTGCAGATCAGGTTTTCTCTAATATCACTATTTGTGGTGATATTTCAGTTACTTTATAAGTATAGTAAGGTAACTGCTAAACATTTTTCCTCATGTTTTACCATATGAATTTTTTTTTTTTTTGCAGCTTTAAAACTATCCACGAATGAAGATATCATTACTTTGCAGATTTTAGCAGAATTATCATGTTTACAGATCTTTATTCAAGATCAGAAACGTAACATTTCTGAAATTAAGATTGAAGGTAATAAAATTTCACAAAAAGCAAATTAAAAGACATTAAATGAAAGAAAAGGCAGTTAATAATTCTTTTGTTCCCTTAGGGCTTGATTCTGAGATGATTATGAGGCCTTCAGAAACTGAAATAAATGCAAAGCTAAGGAATATAATTGTTTTAGATTCTGATATAACAGCTATATACAAAAAGGTAAGAATTTTTTAAATTAAGTAATAGTACATCATTAAATAGGATTGTCCTTTAGGAGTGGTCATAGGTATCATTTAGAGAGTTGTCAGAATTGAGTATTGTGGCTTATTATGTGTGTGGGTTTTGGAGTCAGGCGTGATTGGGTTCTTAGCTCTACTCCTTAGTAGCTGTGTGACCATTAGCAGGTTACCTAATCTTGGATTCTGTTTCTTTATTTGTCAAATGAGGATTGCAGTATCTCCTAAATGAGATAAGTATAAATAATGCTCCAGGAACAAAGTTTTGGGAGAGAATCTAGTAAATACCTTTTTCACTTTTTTTTTTGGTTGTTCTCTTTATGTACTCTGAATCTCATAATGCATCTTAGATACATTTGAGGGTCTGAAGTCTGAGGAAGTGAGCTTTTTAAATAAAACTTATTCTCATCAATGATCACTAGTATAGTTGTTTTAATAATGTTAAGAGAGTCATTTGAACTGGATGATGAGTTGTTGAAGGTTAGGTAATTTGTTACTGGTTATAAAACAGTAAGGTTCCTGTTACAGAGTTGAACAGCAACATCCTACCTGAGGCAGGTAGGATTGTGTATTTAAGGAGGTTAAAGGAATATCAGATAGTAGGATCAGGAAAAGCTGAAGTACTTGTTGAGTCAGGAAGTCAGTATTTGGAATATGTCAAGAAGAAAGGAAATAGATAAGTAGATTTTGCCAGTAATACTAATGATATAGTGATGACCTGATTTTTATGTTTAAAAAATTCTTATTTCTGATATCTTCTTGTTATGGCTTGTTTCGTGGGATAGCAAAACAGTTCCAACATCAAAGAGAAATGACTCATAGCAATAAGGAGCAAGAAATTTTCCAGAAGCCATGATTTTATTTGTTTCTATTATTTTTATTTTAAAAATCACAGTATCAGAGTATTTAAGAAATAGATTATCCATTTTATTTTCCCTGTCTAGAAAGTAAAGCTCACAGAAATAAAGTATCTGTGAAAAGTTATGCAGAACTGAGAGCATGATCCAACCCATTGTTTTTGTCTCGTAATTTTATATTTATTTTTTATTTTATATTATTTTATTTTTTTGAGACAGTCTTGCTGTGTCACCCAGGCTGGAGTGCAGTGGTGCAATCTTGGCTCACTGAAACCTCCACCTCCTGGGTTCAAGTGATTCTCGTGCCTCAGCCTCCTGAGTAGCTGGGATTATGGGTGCATACTACCACACCCAGCTAATTTTTATAGTTTTAGTAGAGACAGAGTTTAACTGTGTTTGGCCAGGCTTGTCTCAAACTCCTGGCCTCAAGTGATCTGCCTGCCCCGGCCTCCCAAAATGTTGGTATTACAGGCGTGAGCCACTGTGCCTGGCCTGTAATTTTATTTTTAATATATCTATATGGTTAAAAATTCAGTTTACAAAAAGTTACAAAATTTAAAAAATCTTTCTCTCTTGTCTTCTTGCCCGATTTTCATTTCCGTTTCCCTATTTCTTGACTTTGATTCCATTGTACATGGTATTTAAACAAACTGCCTTGTTTAGTAACTTTCCACGTGTCAAAGAACCAGAGAGGCATAAGGTTTTTGCCCTTATGAAATCAGACCTGATTATGAATCAGTTTCATAAGCCTTCTACAGTGATATATACTATTGTGTCAGTTTTAAGTATACTGAAACATTGAGCCCCTCAGCTTTAAAGGTTGGCGCCCCCAGCCCATTTGTCTTGGAGCAGCATCCTCCATTTACCGTAGCACCACTGGACAAATACTCTTTTTATTTATATATGCCATAAGGTAAAAAGGATTCTGGCTGACCTGATAGTCTCATGAAAACATATCATAGTAAATTAGTTTCTGATATCTTCTTCATAAAAAGTATTTTGAAAGTAAAGGTTTAAAAAAATCCAGTTTTAATGCTTAATTCTTGGTAATGGGTATACAAGTCTTTCTAATTATTCTCAACTTTTCTGGCCTTGTTATTAGGCCAATACTTGCTTCATAAGATGAGTTGGGAAATGCTTTCCTCCTCTGTTTTCTGAAAAATTTATATAGAATTTGCATTATTACTTCCTTAAATGTTTGATGGAATTATCAGTGAGAATATTTTTCATGTATAGTTGAGACTGGGATTCACTTTGTTTTCCATATGGCACTCAGTATCCAAAGGAGATCCATTCACTGCGTTTAATTGATATACCACTTAAGTCTGTTATAGTTTATGAATTTCCTTTAGTTTCTTCTCTGCCCTTGTGTGTGCCATTTTTTGCTATCTTATTCTGAACAATTTTCCGTAGCCTTTATCTTGCTGATTATGTTTTCATGCTATTTAACATGTTACTGTCTCCTGTGTTTCCTTAAATCAATATTTAAATCTCAGGGCGCAGTGAGATTCAGGGTTTGGGAGTAGGGATTGGCAAGATACTTCATAGTTAGTGGTGTGTATTTGCAAAGGAGGCACATAGTGTGTAGCTGTCTTTTTTTTCTTTTCTGTTTTGCACTGTCTTGGGGTATCTTTCTTTTTTTGATGTTAGAAGCTATTTGTCGTTATTTCCTGTAATTTGGTCTTGAGGTGTGTGTCTGGAGAGTGGCCTTAAGCCAAAATAGCCACTTTCTAGCTGCAGGCATGTTGGTCAGATGGAACACTGGGGAGACAACACAACAAAACACCTTCGAGGGGTGCCCACCAGGGAGGCTGACGGGAAGTCTGGAGGCAGTAGGGACATTTCTTCATTTATTGAATGGGAGAGTTCACTAGTCTTTATGCCAGCATCACCAATCATTTTGACTTTTCGAAAGTTTATTCTCCAGTAGATTTCTTAGGCAGAGCTCTTAGGAACAATAATCCTTGACATTTATATTTGCAGGGTAGTTTGAGTGGATTTTAAATCCTTGACTTGAATTTTCTTTTCTAGATGATCTTAACACATGTTACTCCATGTCTTACGGCCTCCTATTGGTGTTGACAGTTCTGATGACAGTTTGACTTTCTTTCGCTTCTAAGAACTTTGCCATTTTTTCCCAGATATTCAAAGCTAATTTGAAGCTTTATGTAGGGACTTCGGACAGGCAGACATCACAGTAGATGGTCAGGAACTGGTCTAGCAATTTTATGGCTTCTCAAATTGAGAGCATCTCTTGCTCTGAGGCTAGTCAGTTTCCTTTGAGAAAAATAGTGTAAGTATAAGCCTGACAGCCTAGATTCCAGGAGCCTATTGGTTGAAAGAGGTGGAGGCCGCATCATTTATAGATTTTTACTTAAAATACCGATTTTTTGATATGGTGTTTTATTAACCATTTTTCTGTACCTGAAGTCTCCTAGACCACAGCCTTTCTGCTCTAAACTCTGTCTTGAGCAAATCTGTTCTATTGAACTCAGAGAGGAACAGTCATATAGCCCTACTCATGTAACTTGCAGAGGATATTCAATTTTTTGTTAACTAATTTATCAGTATTTTTATATATATAGAATTTATACATTTATATGTAAATTATATATGTATAAATACTGGTAAGTAAATTAAGAAAAAACTAATTTATATATTATATAATCATAATATATATAGATAAAATTTTCTCTCTCTTTCGCTCTCCAATTACACAATCACGGCTCACTGCAGCCTCAACCTTCCCTGGCCCAGGTGATCTTGCCATCTCAAGTCCCCCAAGTAGCTAGGACTACAGGTGCACGCCACCACACCCAGCTGATTTTTGTAGAGATGGGGTTTCATCATTTTGCTCAGGCTGCCCTGAAACCTCCTGAGCTCAGGCGATCTACCTGCCTCAATCTTCCAAAGTGCTGTGATTACAGACATGAGCCACTGCGCCTGGCCTATTTGAGATATTATAGTCAGCAGAAGATAAAAAGCCTTTCTCCACGTGGAATAAATAGTAGTTAATCAGTATTATAAAACAATATTAGAGAGTGATATGTGCTTTGAAAACCAAGAAAGCAGGGTAATGTGACAGGGTAATTCACGTATTACGATTATCAAGAAATGCTTTTTTACAGTAGAAACATTCGACAAAAAATCTGAACTGTGGATTTGAGCTCTGTCAAAAGAGCATTTCAGGTGGAGGAAAGAGCAATTATAGAAGCCTTGTAGCAGGAAGATGCTTGATATATTTTGGGAGGTTGTAGGGGCCTCAGTAACCTTTGGGTAGAATTATTTATTAGTTTCTGTTTTGGTTTAGTTTTTACTTTTTAAAGTCAGATTTATTGAGACAATTTACCTACAGTAAAACTTACCTTTTTTAGTTGTAATTCTGTGAGTTTTGACAAATACTGTTGTGTAACCTACTTTCAGCATATACAATGGGTCTGCCACCCCTAAAAATTCACTACTGCCCTTTGAGGTTAGTCCTTCTCCCCATCCCAGCACCTTGGAATCACTGCACTGGTTTTTGTTCCTATAGTTTTGCAGTTTCCAAAGTATTATATAAATGGAATCATGCAGTTATGTAGTCTTTCACATGTGTGTTTTTTTTTTTCTTAGCATGTGAGATTGTAATTTTTGTCTTTTCTCTTTATGTCTTGATCAGTCTGGTTAGAGATTTATCAATTTTATTGATACTTTGAAAGAACTAGCATTTGTTTCAATTGAATGTTCTCTGTTTTTAATTTTATTTCTGCTCTTTTAAAATTCCTTCTGCCTGCTTTGGATTTAATATGCTCTTCTTAAGGTGGAAGTTTAAATTATTGATTTGAGAACGTCTTTATTTTCTATTATAAGCATTTGCTGCTATAAGTATTCCTTTAAGCACTGCTTTAGCTGCATCCTGTAAGTTTTGATATATTGTTTTTTTAATTTTCATTCAATTCAAAGTATTTTCTAATTTCTCTTCTGACTTTCTTTTACCCATTGTTTATTTAGAAGTACGTTATTTACCTTCTAAATATTTTGAGATTTTCAGATCCCTTTCTGTTACTGATTTCTACTTTAAATTCATTATGGTCAGAGGAGAAACCGTTTCAGTTCCTTTAAATTTGTTGATGTTTGTTTTATGGCCCAGAACATATATGATTAATCTTGGTGAACGTTTCAAATATATTTGCAATTAATATGTGTTTTTAGCAATTGCTGGGTTGAATGTTCCATTTGGGCAAGTAGGTTGGTGGATATAATTATTCAGGCTACTGATTTTCTGTTTACTGGTTGTGTTGAAGCTTCTGATTACAACCATTGATTTGCCTATTTCTCCTTTCAGTTCTTTCAATTTTTTGCTTTATATGTTTTGGCGATCTCTTGTTAGGTACATATAAATATATATGAATTTTATGCCCCCTTTGTGAATATGTAATGTGTCTCTTTATCTGTGGTAACTGCTTGTTCTGAAGTCTACTTTGGTAGTAATATAGCCATTCCAGGTTTCTTTGGTTAGATTTGCATGGTCTATCTTTTTCTATCCTTTAGCTTTTAATGGATATCTTCTTGTTTAAAGTGAGCTTGCGTTTTTTTGAGGCAGAGTCTCACTGTGTTGCCCAGGGTATTCTTGAACGCCTGTGTTTAAGCTCACCTCACCCTGTAACTGGGATTATATGTGCATGCCACCACATCTGGCTTAAAATGGGTTTCTTATAGACAGTGTATATTTAGATCTTTTTTTATCTAATCTGACAACCTCTTGGCTTCTAATTTGTGTTTAGACTATTTTATAAAACTATTGATATGATTGGATTGTAATCTGATATCTCTGTTCCAATTTTGCTTATCCTATTCTTTGTATTCCTTCTTTTGGCCTGAATTTTGATTAATTATCACTTATTTTATGGTTTCTCTTGGGTTTTACAATGTATATATCTTTAATCATAGTCTATCTTCCAATAATATTTTATTGTTGTACATATAGTGTAAGAATCTTACAATACCATACTTCCAATTCCTGTTTCCTGTCTTTCTTGGTATCATCATAATTTGCTTTATTTTGGTACATGTTGAAAACTCACAATGTGTACCTACTGGATTTGGTTTAGTCAGTTTTCTTTGGAGGAATTAGTTTTCTAAAGATGTTTTACATTTTTCTTCATTGCAACTCTTTCTGTAACTACTTCATGTAGTTTCTGTCTATTGTTTGTATTTCTCTCTGAAATACTTTCTCTCTCTTTTTTTTTTTTTTTTGGAGATAGAGTCTTGCTTTGTTGCCCAGGCTGGAGTGCAGTGGTACAATCTCAGCTCACTGCAACCTCTGCCTCCTGGGTTCAAGCAATTCTCCTGCCTCAACCTCCCAAGTAGCTGGGATTACAGATGCGTGCCACTGCACCTGGCTAATTTTTGCATTTTTAGTAGAGATGGGGTTTCACCATGTTGGCCAGGCTGGTCTTGAACTCTTTGACCTCAGGTGATCCACCCGCCTCGGCCCCTCAAAGTGCTGGGATTATAGGCATGAGCCACCGCATCTGGCACTTTCCCAATTCATGTAATGCAGGTCTGCTGGTAACGAATTCTCTCAGCTTTTGGGGTATAGATGAGAAGGGAGGTAGGAAAAACCTTTATTTTACCCTAATTTTTCTGAGTGACATTTTTGCTGGGTTGATAGTATTTTCCCCCTTTCCAACTGTTAAAAGATGTGATTTCATTGTTCTTTGTTACACATAGTTTTGATGAGAAGTCTATGACATTTCTTATTTTTGTTCCTTTGTACATAACTTGTCATCTTTTTTGACTGCTTTCAGGATTTATATATAGTGTGTCTAGATGAGTTTAATTGTGTTTTGATATTTGTCCTGTTTGGGCTTTTCTGAGCTACTTGGATGGCTTTCATTATTTTTCATGTTTTCTTCAAATAGTTTCTCTGCCTCTGTCTCCCTCTGTCTCCCCCACCCCCCGGCTCCCCTGTTTTGTCCTCCTCCACTTGTTCCCTGTTCCTCTTCTTGAATTCCTAAAATTCTTACTAGATTTCTGTTTTTAGTCTCACAACCTTTGGATGTTCTGTTCAAGTTTTTTTCCCATTGTTTTCTTAGTGCATTTTAATTCAAATAATTTATCTTGACCTATTTTCAAATCTACTAATTTTGTCCTTGGCTCTGATGAAAGTACTGACAAACCCACTGAAGGTATTTTTCACTTATGTTGCCATGTTTTTTAACCTTTAATATATCCTTTTGACTCTTCTTTTTTCCATTTTCTCTGCTATAATAATATTCACCATCTATTCTTGCATATTTTCCTTTTCCACTAGAAGCCTTTACCATATTAATCGTACTAATTAAAATTAAAAATTTTAGTTTTAACATGGTTGTTATAGATGAGTCTGATTCTGTTGATTCCTTTATTATTTGTTTGAATTTTTTCCCTTGCTTTTATTGGGCATCTCATAATTACTGATTGAGTGTCAGACATCATATCATGTATAGCAGGGGTCCCCAGCCCCTGGGCTGTGGAGTGGTACCGGTCTGTGGCCTGTTGGGAACTGGGCCGGACAGCAGGAGTTGAGTGGTGGGCGAGGGAGCATTATTGCCTGAGCTCCGCCTCCTGTCAGATCAGCAGGGGCATTAGATTCTCATAGAAGGGTGAACCCTATTGTGAATTATGCATACGCGGGATCTGGGTTGCATGCTCCTTATGAGAATCTAACGCCTGATGCTCTGAGGTGGAACAGTTTCATCCCCAAGCCATCTCCCCACCCTCCAACCTCCGAGCCCCACTCTTGTGGAAAAATTGTCTTCCACAAAACAGCTCCCTGTTACCAAAAAGGCTGGGGACCACTGATGTATAGGATAATAGAGACTGATGTAAATATAGTATTTATGTCTGGAAATGGGGATGCCTCTTTTCTGCTAAGCTATTAGCTTGGGGTTGGGGGTTGAGCTTAGCTTGGTTTGAATTTTAGATTAATATGATTTCCTTCACGACATTACTGCTTCAGTTTCCTTTAGTTGTAGCTTGTGCTTAGGGTGGGTGGAGGCTGTGTTGCTCAGATTTTGCTCTGTGCTGAGCCTTTGACCTTTCTTCTATTCTTGTACCTCAGAAAATTCGCTTTCCACATTCTTAGCTCTGTCCTAGATGTTAGAGGCTCCTGCTGCTTGTTTCTTAGTGCTTGTGAGCTTGGTGGTGCATATTTGGGGAGAAGGCAAAGTGGTTTGGATAGGCTTGTTAGTGTCCTGGTCCATTTTCAGTCCTAGCCAGGGCTGTTTCTATGAGTCTCAGAAATGGAGTATTCTTGGCCATCCTGTCCCTCCTCCTCATGGTATCTGATTGATATCTCTCATGTTTCCTATGTGGGATTGACTGTCCTTCCCTTCCCCTAGCAGAGGGAGACCGCTAATCATCTGGCCCCAGGAGAGTTCTTGTTCTTCCCCTAGATACAGAGTTATATTTTACTGTTGTCCCTAGGATACTGTTTTTTCACCTGTGCCCTGAGGGCAACAAGGTTTACTAGTTTCTTATGGCTATTGTTTTGAGAAGATGATAATTTTGGTAGTGCTTTGGGCCTTTTCTGCAGTGGAGGCTTCTCACCTTTTCCAGGGTTGTACCAAGGAAAGCTTTCTCTTGTTTCCCACTTGCACCCCGCCCTCATCTTTCTCAAGAGCTCCTCACGTGTGTGGCTCCCAGGGATTCTGCATCTCACATTAGTCCACACTTATCCTTTATCATTTTAGCTGAATTATTCTTACCTATACTGTATAGTATCTGATATCTCTTTCTCCTCTCTACCAGAAGTGAACTGGTGCTTATTTTCTGTCTCTCCCTGAAGGTACCTGTTTGTCCTTAGATTTTTAGGGACCTTTGTTGTCCTGTGACCTCAGATTGCTAATAGTTTTAAGAAAGTTGTGATACCATAGTTTCTGTTTTTGTTTTTGTTTTTTTTTTTCCTTTTTTTAAGGTTTGGAGGGGCCCTCATTCCAGCTTTGTGCACCCTAGGCAGAAGCAGGACTGTAGACTTCTTTTCAGCCCTGTCTCGTACCTCAGCCTTCGGAGGTCACTTATACATCTGGTTCTGGAGGATTCTTTTTTCTGTAGTTGTAACTGATGTGCTTGTTGATGGCTCTTCAGCTCCCTATTCTTGCTTGCCTCTAGCATTTAGGAGAATTGAGAAAGCTGTGAGCTTAGTGCTCTGTCCCTCTTCCAAAATTTTTTTTAACATTTTACATCTCCTGTTGTCTCTACCATTTTTAACTGTTGTTGCAGAGCTGGAGATTTTTAACCACTGAGGTGATTTCTGGTTGGCAATTAAGATGGCCCTTTACAACCTGATAAGGAACAGAAGTATAGCAATAGGAGGAGACTCCTTTAGAGAATCCAGAAAAATCTATTCACATACCTCAAATCAAGAATAGATTTCAGTAAGGTGTCGATGTACAGTGTTTTTCAAATTTTTGTCAGTGAATCAAGAAATACATAGTTGTTCTCATTACAAAAGTATACTTGCAGACAGAAAATACATATTCAGATACTTCCTCTTCTCCATTAAAAAAAAGAAAAAAGGAAAAAAGCTGGAGTCAGAACTACTACCTTGATTTTATGACCCACAAAGGGAACAGCCACCACCAATTTGTAAAACTTTGTAGTGTAGGTTCCAATAAAGCTGTTGTAATCGAATTGTTGCCTCATTTGTGCTTGGCTTGTGAATACTTGAGAGATTTTCTGACTATGTTTTGTTATTTTTTACTGTTTTATTTTGTACTGAAAACACTTCATTTCAAAAATCGATTGTGATAATTAAATTTTCTCTTATTAAGGCTGTTTATATCACTGGAAAAGAAGTTTTCAGCTTCAAAATGGTTTCTTACATGGATGCAACTGCTGGTTCTGCATACACAGATATGAATGTGGTTGACATTCAGGTTAATTTAGTAGTTGGTTGCATTGAAGTAGTTTTTGTCACAAAATTTCTATGTTCTATATTGGTAAGTATTAAATTATTTTTTATTTTACACTAGTTGGAAATTGCTGTATGTCAAATATGGATGAAGACTAATAAGAATTCCCTGCTTGAAATTTTTTCTGATATTTAAAATAATTTTCTGGGTACCATTTATTATACATAATGACTGAAATGTGTAGTTCCTTCTTTACATAACATCATTTTGACATGGGAATATTCCAATTAATTGAAATACATATTTTATATATTAACATTAAGTATATGTACATTATGTATCATATATTTTATATATTAATTAGAACCTTCATTTTATATGTCATTGGCCTAAGTCTTCGTTTTGCCTGACTTGCAACTATAATTTTAAAATACTGAATATATAAATTGAAGTTTGTTTTGGTCTCAAGTCATCATTAAGAAAAGGTTCTTTTAATTTTCTAGAGACAAGGTGTTGCTCTGTCACCCAGGCTGGAGTGCAGTGGCATGATCGTAGCTCTTTGTAACCTTGAACTCCTGAATTCAAGTGATCCTCCCGCCCCAACCTCCTGAGTAGCTGAGACTACAGGCACATACCACCATGCACATACCACCAAGTTGTTTTTTTTTTCTCTTCAAGTGTTATAGAGATGGAGTCTTGCTCTGTTGCCCAGTCTGATCTTGAACTCCTGGCCTCAAGTGATCCTCCTGCTTTGGCCTCCCAAAGCACTGAGATTACAGGCATTATGTCCGACACAAGAAAATCATATTTTCGATTGCATTGTCATTCCGTGAATATCAGGGACTTTAAGGAGTTAGATTTAACCCCTATATGACTCCACCCTAAGGCATTTCGATTCTTATTTCTGCTTTTCTTGTTTCGGTTTTTGTTTTTCCCTTGCTGTCAGCTGATATTTTTTCCTGTGGGTGTCATACCTGTCTCCATGACATCACTATTCATTCTTTTAAAATGCTGTCTCTGTGTTTTAGTGTGTGAACTAGGTAATCAAATCTAAGGTTGTAGTGGAATAAATAGGCCAAGTGTGGCAATTCTTACAAGCAAGAAAAGTATTTGTGTATTCATTTGAATGTATTTGGGAACGTGGAGCCCTCTTTTGTTATTTCAGAATTCTAGGTTAATTCCATATAATGTTGCTGTTTTGTGATCTTTTAAATTTAGGTTATCATGCAGTTTTTCTATAGCCATAAAATCATTTTGCATACAAAAATGTAAAGATAAACAAGTATTCCTTGTTGAATTTCTTCTCTTTAAAAAAAAAAAAATTAAAGTTGGGGTCTTGCTCTGCAGCCCAGGCCGGAATACAGGGGCGTGCTCCTAGCTCACTGCAGCCTCAAACTCATGCAGATCCCACCTCAGCCTCCCAAATAGATTAAATTAGCAGGGACAAGAGGTCCCTGCTAATTTTTTATTTTTAATTTTTTTTAGAGACAGGTTCTCGCTATATTGCGTAAACTGGTCTAGAACTACTGGCCTCATGTTATCCTCCTACCTCAGCCTCTTGAGTAGCTAATTTATTTTTATAACCAAAAAAATCATGTCACTTGAACCCTCTTGTACTTATACTTAGAAATTACTAAAATGTTAGGTTTTCTTTGAACATGAAAATTAAGTATAAGAGTATAAATGTAGGTAATTATATTTTATGTCATTGAAGTATTTTTTTGGAATTTGGAAATTGGAAAATTATTTTGAAACTTCTTAAACATATTTTATTTATTTATTTTTACCTTACAAACATAAATGAGCTCTCTGTCCACTGAGGTTGTATAGAGAAATAGCGTTGTTCCCTTTAGGGAAAGTGAGATAAGGGAAATAGATATTTGTAAGACATTCCAACGATCCCATTTAGCTTTGTTCTGAGGACTAGATTTTTATTTTATATGTTGTCTTTGTGTTTCTCAGTTTTTGTGGCAGAAAATTAAGATTTAATATAGACAGTAAGACTTTGAATAAATAATGTTTGCTATATCAAGTAAAAGTTTTTTTTTTTTAAATGGAGGTGAAACCAGAAATATCAATATATATTTAATGTCTTATTTATTAATAACCTTAAGAATATAATTCTGTTATGTTACAGGCTTTTATAGATAATTTTCAGGCAGCTAAACAAGCCTTGGCTGAGGCAACTGTTCAGGCAGCTGGAATGGCTGCTACTGGTGTAAAAGAACTGGCACGAAGGAGTTCCAGAATGGCACTGGATATTAACATCAAAGCCCCAGTTGTGGTCATCCCGCAGTCTCCAGTTTCTGAAAATGTTTTTGTTGCTGATTTTGGGCTAATTACAATGACAAATACCTTTCATATGATAACAGAGAGCCAGAGCTCTCCCCCACCTGTTATTGATTTGATAACAATAAAGCTGAGTGAAATGCGACTATACAGGTAAGCTTTTCACGAGTATATTTGTGTGGAATGCAATATTTTTCTAACTTTTTACGTTAAAGACTTTAATGTCTTGAGTAGTCTGTTTACAGTGAGTTTTATTTTATTAATTATACGTAATTTAGTGATTCTCTCTTCCTTAAGTGTATTTTGGCAAAATCAATTATAGTCTTTGCATTTTAAAAAACCTAGAAAGTGTTTGAAACTTTCTTCTTAGGTAATTAGGAAAACTACAAAATTTATTATCGGAGGAAATATATTTGTGCTTCTTTGTAGTTCATTATAAGTTACAGGGCTATGGAATAAATGAGGAATTTCTAACGTAATATGTTTATTCACTTTGCAAATACAGTATCACCTTATCTTCTCTGTCAGTTGTGTGCTATGACTGTGATGCTGTAATTTAAACAAACAAACAGAATGCGACCTTATGTATTCGTTAACCATGGGGTTGGGAAGTAGGGGGGTTACAAATGTTCAAATAGTTCCAGAGCTTTTATACTGCGTCCTCTGTGTTTCTGTGCTGTTTCTAATCCCCATTCTGAATTTATGTCCTATTTTCCAACTTGGATCCTTCTCTTTTTATACTTCTCAACTGCCCTCTTCCTTCTTTCTGTCATTTTTCTTTGATATCATTCTCTTGCTTGTCTCTTCACCTTATTTTTGTTTCATTTTTTACTTAACTCCCATTCTCTACTTCTCTTTAGCTTCTGATGAATCTGTCTTTCCCTCCTGCACTTTGACCAATTGAATATTTTTAAAGCAGCTTTATTGAGACATAATTGACACAGAACAAGTTGCATACCTTTAATATTATACCATTTGATAAGTTTTGATATGCGTACGTTTCTGACAGTTTTTGTACAGTTGTATTATTTCTTCCTTAAGTATTAGGTAGAATTTACCAGTGAAGCCATCTGGTCCTAGAGTTTGCTTGTGGGAGATTTCTAAATCACAGTTTTTATTTCTTTAATAAATTTGGGGCTGGCTATTCAAGTTATTTTTTCTCGAGCGACCCTCCCTAGTTTTTTAAAAGATTTTTTGCATTTCATCTAAGTTGTAAAATTTAATGACATAAAATTTTTCATAATGCTCCTTATTTACTGATAATCTGTAATGGTGTCTCCTGCCTCATTCCTGATATTTATAATTTCTGCCTTTGTACTGATGAATCTGATTAGAGATTTATACGTTTTATTGATCTTAAGAAGCAGGTTTTGGTTTTATTGTTTTTTCTATTGTTTTTGTGTCTTCTTGTTCATTGATTTCTAATTCAATATTTATTATTCTGCTTTGGGCTCAATTTTGCTCTTTTTATAAGTTTTTTTAGGTGGTAGCTAAGATTATTGATTTGAAACATTTCTAATATATGATATAGTGCTATAAATTGGAGTACTTATATTGTGCTATAAATTTTAAGTTACTCTACAATCCTGTGTAGCTCTCTTCTCTCTTGTATTTTATTATATAACTCTAGCTACCTTGGTTTCTCTTGGATTCTCATCTCTTACCTTCTCTACTCTGGGGCTTTCCTGGCCTTCTCCTGGGTTCCCCCTCCCTGTACCATGGCCTGTTAATTATTGCAAAACAGTAGTAAACTGAGACAGTCGTAGGGCTCACCTCATTTTTTTCCCAACTCTTTGGAGTCATTATCCATTTTTTATGTCTTGTATCTTGAAAACTATTTTAAATAAATTTTGTGGTTTTTTTTTTTTTTTTTTTTTTTTGTTTGGAGAGCAGGGTTATTTCAAGCAGGAGTGTAAACCCATTCATGTTACATCATCTTAGATGGAAGGAGAAATTTCTGTCACTTGAGCACTTATTAAGCACGAAATATATCCCAGGCATTGTGCTAAGAATAAGAAATATAATAGTAAGCAATATTTACAAGGGATTAACAAACCCTACCTCATTGGGTTGTTGTGGTAGGTACTGTTTAATAAATATAGTGGGCTGGTGCATAAAAATGGGATCATATTTTGAAAAGGTTCTAGAAATTAGGTCCAAAGGAGACAAAACTAGAGGTTGGAAGGATAGTTTGGTAACTATTGCAGTAACTCACATAAGAATTATAGGTGACTTAGTCTAAGGTAGGGGAGTGAAGTAGTGGAGAGCTAACCAGAATTTATAGTAACTGATGATTGAATGGGTGTGGGAGTTAAAGGAGAGGAGAAATTAAAATTCACTTTAAGTTGCAGGCTTGGAAATCAGTGTTTGATGATGATGCACTTCACTGAGATAAGACAGAATAATACAGAAAAACCCAGTAGAATACAGAGAGTAATTATTTCCATAATAGGCAAAGTAGCCTGAAAGTGATTGCATGACTTGTACATGGAGAGATCTTGAAAGAAATCCAGAAGGCAGTGGAATATTTGTGCCTAGGTGATGCATATAGGTGACGTTGTTTAGACTTCTAGGTTTAGGAGTTCTTAGTAATAATTTGTGCTAGTCACTGAAGCCATTGGAATGAACACAGTCACAAGAAAGCTTGTAGAGTGGGACATATGAGGAAGAATGCTGAGGAATACCAGTATTTAAAGAATTGGCAGAAAAAGGAACCCTCAAAAGAGACTAAGAAGGAGCAGAGAGATGAGAAACCAGGAAAATGTATTGAGGCAGCATTGAGGGTCCTGCTGATATTGTTAACCATGAATTAATACTGTGTCTTTTTTTTTTTTCATGCAGTACTTGGTATTTTGTGTTTGGAATCCAACAGTCAGTTGGATTGAGACAAAACTGAATTTTTGCCAAGCAAGTGTGACCAAAGGTAGTGGAACAGGATTTTAATGATTGAGAATCATGTTGATGGATAATAGAGAGGTGATATGATTTGGCTGTGTCCACACCCAAATCTCATCTTGAATTGTAGCTCCCGTAATTCCCACATGTTGTGGGAGGGACCCAGTGGGAGATAATTGAATCATGGGGGTGGTTCCCCCATACTGTTCTCATGGTAGTTAATAAGTCTCACAAGATCTGATGGGTTTATAAGGGGAAACTCCTTTTGCTTGGCTCTCATCCTCTTTTTGCCTGCCACCATGTAAAGACGTGCCTCCATGTCTCCTTTGCTTTCTGCCATGCTTGTGAGGAAGGGATCCAGTTTCAGTTTTCTGCAAACGGCTAGCCAATTTTCCCAACACCATTTATTAAATAGGGAATCCTTTCTCCGTTGCTTATTTTTGTCAGTTTTGTCAAAGATCAGATGGTTGTAGATGTGTGGTGTTATTTCTGAGGCTTCTGTTCTTTTCCATTGGTCTATATATCTGTTTTGGTACAAACACCATGCTGTTTTGGTTACTATAGCCTTGTAGTATAGTTTGAAGTCAGGTAGTGTGATGCCTCCAGCTTTGTTCTTTTTACTTAGGATTATCTTGGCTATATGGGCTCTTTTTTGGTTCCATATAAAATTTGAAGTAATTTTTTCTTATTCTGTGAAGAAAGTCAATGGTAGCTTGATGTGAATAGCGCTGAATCTATAAATTACTTTGGGCAGTACGGCCATTTACCTCAATGAGATACCATCTCACACCAGTTAGAATGGCAATCATTAAAAAGTCAGGAAACAACAGATGCTGGAGAGGATGTGGAGAAACAGGAACGCTTTTACACTGTTGATAGGAGTGTAAGTTAGTTCAACCATTGTGGAAAACAGTGTGGCAATTCCTCAATGAGCTAGAACCAGAAATACCATTTGACCCAGCAATCCCATTACTGGATATATACCCAAAGGATTATAAATCATTCTTCTATAAAGGCACATGCACACGTATGTTTATTGCAGCACTATTCACAATAGCAAAGACTTGGAACCAACCCAAATGCCCATCAATGATAGACTGGATAAAGAAAATGTTGCACATATACACCATGGAATACTATGCAGCCATAAAAAAGAATGAGTTTGTGTCCTTTGCAGGGACTTGGATGAAGCTGGAAACCATCGTTCTCAGCAAACTAACACAGGAACAGGAAACCAAACATCACATGTTCTCACTCATATGTGGGAGCTGAACAGTAAGAACATATAGGCACAAGGAGGGGAACATCACACACCGCGGCATGTCGTGGGTGGGGGGCAAGGGGAAGGATAGCATTAGGACAAATAACTAATACTAATTAGTTATTTAGTAGAAATAACTAATACTAATTAGTTAACTAATTAATGCATGCGGGGCTTAAAATCTAGATGATGGGTTGATGGATGCAGCAAACCACCATGGCACACATATACCTATGTAACAAACCTGCACATTCTGCACATGTATCCCAGAACTTAAAGTATTTAAAAAAAAAAAAAATTAGAATTGCGTTTTGTGTTGCAAATAGCTTTTTTTCTTAAAAATATGCTATAAATTTTCCATGTCTTTATTTTGAGTGCATAAATTTTTCCAAATATTTTATTCATCAGTTTTTAGAAAATCTAAATCTGTCTTTTGTTATAAATTTGATTCTAATATATATAATTTTTGCTGTTATAAGTAACACTATATTGATGATTGATATCTTTATTACATCAGTACTTATGTAATTGTCTACTCATTTCTTTGGGATAATTCATTTCCTTAGGATGAGTTCCTAGAAATAGAATTACTCAGTTATAAAGTATAACCAATTTTTCCTGAAATAATTGTAAAATAATTGGTAATTGGAAATGCAGTTGCTGGGCATGTTGGCTCACGCCTGTAAACCCAGCACTTTGGGAGGCTGAGGATGGCAGATTTCTTGAGCTCAGGAGTTTGAGACCAGGCTGGGCAACACGGTGAAACCCCATTTCTACAGAAAATATGAAGATTATCTGGGTGTGATGACGTGTGCCTGTACTCCCAGATACTTATGGGACTGAGGCAGGAGGATTGCTTGAGTCTAGATGGTTGAGGCTGCGATGATGTGTGTTAATGCCACTGCACTCCGGCCTGGATGACGAAGTGAGACTGCCTCAAAAAAACAAACAAAACCCCAGAAAATGCAGTTTAGTTACAATGTATTAGAAAGCGCATTAAAAAAAATGGGAATTCATGTTTGTGACTAGGTTCTTTATACATTAATCCAATTTGACTGCAATTTAGCAAATATTTATTCGCTATATGGCACATGCCAATCATCTAAGTACTGACAAAAAGCGGAGAATAAGATGAACATAGTTCCTGCCCTCATGAAGCTTTCATTCTAATTGAAAATACAGAGGACATAATAAACTATTGAAATGCAATATGTTAAATGCAGTGATGGAAAAAGTGTAAGGTACATGTGGGAGCACATAGGAAAGGTTTATTTAATCCATATATTGGGTAGTACTGATAAGAAAAGTTTTTCCTGAGAAAGTAATCTTTTCACGTAGCAGTTTTCTTTCTCACAGTTTGTCCAAAGGACAGAAATTTACTCAAAGATATATATACACACATATATGTGTGTGTGTGTGTGTATATATACACACGTGTGTATATATGTATGTGTACATAGGTACACATACGTATGTATATATATGTGTATGTATGTATATATACACACGTCTGTATATATGTATGTGTATATATGTACACATACGTATGTATATATATGTGTATGTATGTATATATACACACGTCTGTATATATGTATGTGTATATATGTACACATACGTATGTATATATATGTGTATGTATGTGTATATATACACACATCTGTATATATATACACACGTATATATATACATACACACATATATATATGGAGAGAGAGAGAGAATAATCCAAGTATTAGGGTGAAGAATTGGAAACTGAAATTTTAATAATAGAAGGGTAATTAAAATACTTATAGCCATTTATTCTAATAAGGCCATTGAAATTATATATGCATCCTAGCCTGTGATAGGATGCATATATAATTGCATATGCATATCAGAGGATAACTGAAAAAAAGAAAAGAAAACCTATGTGTGCAGCATTCCCTGTGGGGCTTTTAGATTCCTTAACCTATTACTGTTAAGTGGAGACTGCAAGCATGCAGGCATATGTAAGTTTGGTGTCACTCTGTCATTCATTCATTAAATGGCTTGGTACCAGGCTTTTTGGAAGATCCTGATGAACTCTCATATTTCTCTCCTGTTGATTAAATGGTTGCCAAAATTCTACAGTCATGATGTTATACCTTAGTTTAAGGATTTGCTGCTAATTAAAATATAAGTACATTATTGAGGAGTAACACTTTGAGATTGTCACGTTGAGGTACAATGGGAGGCTTCTACGGCCACATTGTTACTTGAAGGGGTTCAATTGACCTACTACATTTTTCTTCATTCCTGAGTATCAGTCTTACCTTTATAAGTGCTTGGAAAGGAAAATATAGTTCAACTTAATATGAAATTGTATGTATTCAGCTATTTTAACTCATAGAAATAGAAATTTCATATGGTGCTGCTTATTTTTTATAAAGTAAGGGAATATGTGATATTTTGTTACTTATCTAAATCAGTGAATTAAAATGTTTTTATAACGATGTCTTATATAATGTTTGTTTACAAATTACATGGAATGTTTTTGTTTTGTTTTGTTTTGTTGTTTTTTGTTTGTTTTTTTTTGAGACAGAGTTTCACTCTTGTTGCCCAGGCTGGAGAGCAATGGTGCAATCTCAGTTCAATGCAGCCTCCGCCTCCTGGGTTCAAGCGATTCTCCTGCCTCAACCTCCCAAGTAGCTGGGATTACAGATGCACACCACCACACCTGGCTAATTTTTGTATTTTTAGTAGAGACAGGATTTCACCATGTTGACCAGGCTGCTCTCGAACTCCTGATCTTAGGTGATCCACCCGCTTCGGCCTCCCAAAGTGCTGGGATTACAAGTGTGAGCCACCGCTCCTGGCCTACATAGAGATAATTCTTATTTTAATGGTTTGCTATACAACGTTTATACTTTTGCAGTTTTTACTATATTACAAAATTGTATTTAAAAATACATATTTCTCCCCCCCTCCCTTTTTTTTTTTTTTTGAGACAGAGTCTCGCTCTGTTGACCAGGCTGGAGTGCAGTGGTGCAATCTTGGCTCACTGCAATCTCCACCTCCCCGGTTCAAGCAATTCTCCCACCTCAGCCTCCTGAGAAGCTGGGACTACAGGCGCGTGCCACCACACCCAGCTAATTTTTGTATTTTTAGTAGAGATTGGGTTTCACCATGTTGGCCAGGCTGGTCTCAAACTCCTGACCTCAAGTGATCTGCCCACCTCAGCCTCCCAGAGTTCTGGGATTACAGGTGTAAGCTACTGTACCTGGCTCTATTTCTGTATAATATGGAACACTCAGCTTAGTGTAAGTCACCTAGGTTTTTAGTGGGATAGAACATCACTCAACTCATTTTGACAGATTAAAAAAAAAGCCTGATAGATTTTTTTCCCTTTATACCCAACAAATTATTGATTTCTGCTATTTGCATATAAAAGGATACATTTAAGTTAATCTTTTTTTAACTACCCGAATGTATATGAGCCAATTTAAAAGAACGTTATCTTTACTTATAGATCTCAATTTATTAATGATGCATACCAGGAAGTACTGGATCTACTACTGCCATTAAATCTGGAGGTGGTGGTTGAACGAAATTTATGCTGGGAGTGGTACCAGGAAGTTCCTTGTTTTAATGTAAATGCTCAGCTGAAACCAATGGAGGTAACTTTTTTTTGGATACTTAACAATTTTTGTTTTGCTTGTTCAAAAATATTGCTTGGGGACATAAGGCATCATTTGAGTGGAATTTGTATATATATAATCACCTTGGTCAGAATTGAAGTAGTGATTATATTAAATTAGAATTCATTTAAAAATGGTCTCCATTTATTACTGGAGATAAAATGGAAAGGAAGCGATGACATTGTCTCTGACTTCATGGAACTTGCCAGTTTAATGCAGAGGTTGGTGGTGATGGTGATCTGGAAGGTATAATAGTAGTTAGATAGTAAAAAAAGTAATCTGACACATAATTAAAATAGTTATAAATTGTGGTAAATTTAATGAAGAACACAAATAATAGGCATGGTGTTGTAGTCAATTAGATATGTTAATAGATAATTTATTGGAAAGATCTAGATTAGAAATACTAATTTTGGAGTCATCAGCATATAGATGGCATTTAAAGCCGTGGAAATATATGAAATAATCTATACAAAGGAAGAGAAAGTATTAGAAGAATTCATAAGTTGAAAATGAAAATGGCAAATGTGTTACCACCTTAGTTTTACCTTCTTGTTGGTTGACATTGCTTCAGAGATCTCTCATGGAACTGCCCACAAGTTCATAGTTTTTTCCCTTGACTGGATGAAGGTCAAAAGTGTGTCACATGCTTTGCCGAAGTGATAGCAACGTACACTCTGGGAGATTTCTTTAAGAAACCTACTTAACAAATCCTTCTCCCCACCTCCCAGTTTCCCTATTTCTTTCTGTAAAAATTTTATTTATTAAGAGAAAACCATCATTTTAGAGATTTCAGACTTTTAAGTCAAATGTATATTCAGAGCATAAAACATGATAGCATTATGAAAATCTTAGTGTGTAAGATAATAATGGCTGCTTTAACTTATAGGGTAGGAGATGGAAGTTATCTTCTTAAGATAAGTATTTGAAGTCTATTTATATTGGTGAGATAACAGATAGAAACTTGTAAAACAAAATAGTGTGTTCCACCCAGCATGCTGGGGCCATTGCCACCCCACTGGGCCCAGTTATTAGGCGTATTTGTGTGGGGCAGCAAAGACACTGCTGTCCCGTGCTCTTCCCAGGTGGAATCCATACAGAATGTCCAGGTGATGCTGCAGACAATCTGCAAGTGCCCAGCTGCCTTTTGAGGCCAACCCTCTAGGATAAAGTTGGTGCTTCCCTTACTCTAATTCACTTGAGTAGTTGGTTAGCTGCTGTTGCAGCTCACCCCAGAGCCCAGATATTTGTTCCCTCCTGGGCCTCATCTTCTGTGTCAGGGAGAGGCTAGAATCGGTTTTGAAATCAATTAGTCTAACGCATCCAGACCAAGTGGAGCAGCTTGTGATTTCTGACTTGTCACATTTTCGGTGGTTGCATACACAGCCTGTCCTGACATGTAGATACTGCACATCAGCAGCCCTGGGATCCTTACAGTTCTTTGAACTTCCTCCACTGAGCTCCTGGCAAAAGTGAAGGAAGAGTGCCGGTTAACAATCAGCATTTGAGGTGCATGCGATAGACGAATACTAACTGGAAGACATGGTTTAGAAATTGTAATATTTAATTTCTGCTTATTATATGAACTATTTATGCAGTGCCTGCTACATAGTTACAAAATAAGCATCATGAATAAATGAATGAAGGAATGAAAGCTTAAAAAACCCAAAACATTAGTAGTATGTATAAGGTACACATGGACTTAATTTTAAAACACTAAGTTAGTATATCATCTTTGAAATGCAGTCAAAGAAAGCTTGGCACAAGTAAAACTTATTAAATATTGTGTGATTCAAATTATCTCCTTGGGGTCATAACAGCTAAAAATATAACTAATCCTTTTTGTTGTTTTGACAAACTTAGAAGTGAGCCAAACTCAAAGATCTTTTTTACATTATTGCTGTTGTGTTAGGGTTCTCCAGAGAGAGACAGAGAGTGTGTGTGTATGTAAAGAGAGAGGGAAAAGGGAGAGACTTATTTTAAGGAGTTGGTGTACATGATTGAGGATGCCACCAAGTTCAAAATCTGCGGGGTAGGCCAGCAGGAAGGATACCCAGGGAAGAGGTAGTGTTGGAGCTCAAGTCTGAAGGCAGTCTGCTGGCAGAATTCTTGCTTGGAGGAGGTCAGTCTTTTTCTATTAAAGGCCTCCAACTTCAATACAAAGTGATTGGATGAGGTCCACATGCATTATGGAGTGTAATCTGATTTACCTAGAGTCTAGTGATTTAAATATTAATTTCATCTAAAAAATATTTTCACAGAAACATTTAATGTTTGACCACATACCTAGGTACTGTGACTGAGCCAAAGTGATGTACAAAATTAACCATCACAGCTATTAAGGCAGGTCTTATGCTGTTGATTTGGGAGTAAATTTGTAACAGCTAGGATTTGAAATTGGATATTTATTTATTTATTTATTTAATTATTTTTGAGACAGAGTCTCTGTTGCCCAGGCTGGAGGGCAGTGGCACAATCTAGGCTCACTGCAACCTCTGCCTCCAAGGTTCAAACAATTCTGCGTCAGCCACCTGAGTAGCTGGGATTACAGGTGTGCACTATACCCGGCTAATTTTTGTATTTTCGGTAGAGTCAGAGTTTCACCATGTTGGTCCAGCTGTTCTCTAACTCCTGGCCTCAAGTGATCTGCCCGCCTGGACCTCCCAGAGTGCTGGGCTTACAGGCGTGACCCACTGCATCTGGCCTGAAATTACTAGCTCTGAGTTAGTTCCTAGTTTATGTGTGGACCTAAGCATATTAACCATTTCGGTTCAGTGTCTTATAAATATAAATATCAGGATTGCATCGTTGGTGCATGGTTGTAATCCCAGCTTCTTGGGAGGCTGATGTCGGAGGTTGTGCCCAGGAGTTTGAGGCTGCAGTGAGCTAGGATTGCATGACTGCATGCCAGCCTGGGTGACAGAATGAGACCCAGTCACTAACTACCTAACTAAAAATAAATAAATTTCAGGATTATATTCCATATACCTAGGACGTTTTTGAGGTTCAAATAAAATAGTTCATGTAAAACACATTGTGAACTCTAAAATTTTTGATTAACCAAATGTATCATTTTTGATTATTCTACGTTTGTAAAATGAGGTGCTTACTAACCAAAAAAATCCAAAGTAGATAGATAACTACTTAAAGTTCATTTTAAAGGTTTAAAATTACTAGATTATTTGGTACATTAATAACCAATAGTTCTTTATTCATAACTTCATTGGCGTTAGCACCTAATTTAGTTCTATATTTCACAAGCTACTAAAGAGCACATGGTCATTTAGAAAACTGAATATTCAGTTTGTAAAAATGTTTAATTGATGTGGTAGAGGATTGAAACAGTCTTTCATTTTTCTCTTCTGAGAATTTTAACTGTAGTTAAATTCTTCAGTGAAGTAGCAGTGCTAACAAGAGCAAATATTTTTTGTTTAACAGTTCATTCTTAGTCAAGAAGATATAACAACTATTTTTAAAACATTGCATGGCAATATATGGTATGAAAAAGATGGTAGTGCCTCACCTGCTGTAACAAAAGACCAATACAGTGCCACTAGTGGAGTTACTACTAATGCTTCACACCATTCAGGAGGTATGTTTTTAAAACTTCAAATTTCTTCCTGCTTTCCTCTCTTTCTCTCTTTTTCTTCTGTCTTCTTCCCTCTCCTTCCCTCTATCTTTTCCCTCCTTCCTCCCCTCTTTCTTCCTCCTTTCCTTCTTTCTTTCCTTCTTTTTCTTTAGTTTGGGCAAAATAAGATTTGTAAGTCTCTTTCTAATCAGCTAATTCCATTCAGACATCTCTAAATTGTCCATTAGTCACTGTGTTGATTTTTTTTTCTTTGAATGAAAGTTCCTGGTCCTATTGTAACAAAATTCCTCAATCTATATTCATGTTTTCCTGACTTCCTTGTAGCTCCTCATTTTCCATTTTTCTCTCCTTCCCCCATCTTCTCCCTATCCCTAGTGTGGTATATATCCCAAACAAATCTTTTATATTGATATTAGGAATATCAGAGTATTAGAGGTGCAAAGAGAGGCTGGCTCATCATTAGTAGATGGTGGAGTTTAACAAATGTTTGGGAGATGGATGGAATGGAGTAGAAGGAAGCAGAACTCAGAAAGAGGCTTCATCTAATGTTGGATCCAGTGTGCTCCATGGAAGGTGGCTGGTTTCTGAGTTCAGCACCAGCACATACAGAGGGTTAGTTAGTGCTGGGATGACTTTGCTGCATAAGCATAAAGTTTTCATTCTGGCATTATAGGGGATCCTCAGACTTACCTACCTGAAAATGAAACCTGCTAGTTCACAAGACTCACCTTTGCAAAGCCCTGAGGTATTACACAGCATTTTTACTCAGAGAATCCTAACAGAAAAACAGCTTTACATTTACAGCATTGTAGGAAACCCCACCCTTACTAGCTGGAATAATGAAACCAGTCCTTTATTGTTAAATATGAATGGTCAGATATGAAGAAACTTGTAAAAAACCCAAGCATGAATGAAACTAAGATAAACAGAATAGTGTTTTCTGAAGGAAACAGATAGTTGAGGTGACAGAAAAGGAAGCAGACAAGCAAAAAACAAACTCTGACGTTCTAAGAGGATTTTGAGAAGATAGTATAAGAAATGGATCCCACTAGCACCACCAGCTCACCCAAGCATTGGAGAGTTGCTGGAAATCTAAATATTATTGCTGAAAATTTAAAACAAAAACACTAAACATGGAATTAGAAGTATTGAATTGGAATATTTGGTCGAGGCAATCTCCCATGACAGAGAAGAAAAAAGCACAGGGATGGAAAATGTGATCAAACTTAAAGAGTGATGTTTTAGTTCAGAAAGTCCAATTCCAGAATAAGTGTTACAGAAGAAATAATTGAGGAAATGGAAGGTAATTCTTTAAAGAAGATAGTACTCTCCTTTTATCTGCAGGGAATATGTTCCAAGACCCCAGTTGATGCCTGAAACTTTGGGTATTACCTATGTTTGGATAGTACCCAAACTATATTTTTTCCTGTACATACATATGTGTGATAAAGTTTAATTTATAAATTAGGCACACTAAGAGTTGAACAACAACTATTAGAACAATTTTAACAATATACTCTAATAAAAGTTATGTGAATGTGGTCTGTCTCTCGAAGTATCTTAATATTTTCAGACCCCAGTTGACCTGACTGCAGGTAATTGAAAGTGCGGGTAAGGGAGAACTGCTGTAAACTGTCCAGACCTAAGTAAATATTGAAGGAAGCTCTTGGCTATAATGAATCTACTGAGTTTCCAGCAGATTGGATAAACTAAGATTCCACATGCAAACACATTTTCATGAGATGTCAGAATGGTAAAGCTAAGATTTTTTGAAGTTTCAGAAAAAAACAGGCTGCCTGTCAGGGACTTAGAAAAGAATGATTGCATGATTGATTTTTGTTGTTTTTATTTATCAATAAAACATGATGGAATAGAATCCCTGGATGGTGGAAGACAATGGAGAAATGTATTCAAAATTCTAAGGAAAGTGGTTTTTGAAGCTCAGATTCTATACACAGCCAAGCCAATACCCAAAATGTGAAAAGAAAATAATTCTCAGATTTCCTGTGACAGAGTTCTTCATACTCATTCGTAAAAGAAATTAGTCTGAAAATGTATTTCAGCAAGTCAGGAAATCTAGGAAAGAGGAAAATAATGGGGTTAAAAAAACCCAGGCCTACCCAGGAGTGCATTGAAAAGGAATCTCCAAATTATCTGTGTGAATAGGCTAGAAAGTAATTAGCTTTCATTAAAAAGTAAATGAGAATGCTTTAAGAAAAAAAAAAGCCATGTGGAAGAATGTCTTATAGAAGAAAAATAGCATGAATTCCACATAGTATGTAGGATACAGAGTTAGCTATATTATATAACTGATATAGAGAGGAAAGTGTTTTCTGTTCTTAAGAAAGAAATTTCTATACCCTGGTGCAGAAGTGGACTAAATTTTGCATAATTTTGAGCCATTGTTAGAATGTGAGAAGAGAACCTCTTATTTTTCAGAGGTGCACTCATTGTGACAGTATAGCAGCAGAGGCAGTATTAGTGTAAGTCTCATTGAAAAATACTACATGGTCATAGTTAAACAACATGTCAGAGACTTCTTATGTAAATAAAAAAGTAAATGTTATGAACTGTGATAACTTAGAAGTAAAGACATTACTAAGCAAAGCTGTAAAGAGGAAGATGGTTCAGGGGAAACAAATAGTAAGGGCTTAAAGAGTGAGAGATAATGTCTGCAGTTGATGTAACAAGAAACAGATGTTTGAGTATGTTATTTTAATTGTTTTCTTCTGGAAATTTTTACACATATACCAAAGTAGAAGGAATAAGGTAATGAACCCACATGTATTCATCACCCACTTTCACTCATTAATATCATGTGGCTGCTTTGTTACTGCCCTCACTCTGCTCTTCCCCCTTCTTCCTCCAGCCTATAAGATATTTTAAAGCAAATCCCAGATATCATACCATTGATTGCTATTTTTCCATAAGCAATAAGGACGTTACTTTTTAAATATAGTAACGTCATCACCCTAAAAATTAGCCGTGATTCCTTGAGACCATGAAAATATCCCCTTAGGGTTCATCTTTCTCCTGAATGACTCATTACAAGGTTTGTTTTTTTTCAAATAATGATAAAAGTGTCAATTCACAAAGAAGATGCAACAATCCTAAATGTGTATATACCTAATAACAGAACTGTAAAATATCTGCAGCAAAATTGACAGAACTAAAGAAGAAAATACACATATACAGAATCATAGTTGGCGATTTGAACACACCACTCCTGGTAAATGACAAGATATGGCAACAAACTTGACATAATTAATGTAATATAATGTTACACTCACTTGCAGAATACATTTTTGTCTTTAAGTCGTTCCTGGAATGTTTACATTCTCTCGTTCTGTCACCCAGGCTGCAGTGGTGCGATCTCGGCTTACTGCAAGCTCCACCTCCTGGGTTGACGTCCCGCCTCAGCCTCCCGAGTAGCTGGGACTACAGGCGCCTGCCACCATGCCCGGCTAATTTTTTGTATTTTTAGTAGAGACGGGGTTTTACCGTGTTAGCCAGGATAGTCTCGATCTCCTGACCTCGTGATCCGTCTGCCTCGGCCTTCCAAAGTGCTGGGATTACAGGCGTGAGCCACTGTGCCCGGTCGTTCATACCATTATTTATCAGGAAAATTTCACATTTCACCAGATGAGTTAAGTTGTAGAAGACTGACAACACCAAAGGTTGATGAGAATGTGGAACAGTTGCAATTCTCATGGACTACTGATAGGAATGTGAAACAGTATAACCACTTTGGCAAAGAGTTTGGCAGTTAACATATACCTACCTTTAACAGAGCAATTCCAGACCTAGGTATTTACTCCCACCGCACCCCAAAATAAGTACATATATACACAAAATGACTCATTTAGGAATACGTATAGCAGATTTACTTATAGTAGCCCAAATCTGGAAACAACTTAAATCTTCATCAATAGGAGGATAAACTATTTTCATAGAGTGCATGAGTAGCTGTAAGAGTGAACTACTTGTACATGGAACAACACGGTTGAACCTCGAAAACATTATGTTGACTGAAAGAAGCCACACAGAAAATTTTACAATCTGTATGACTCCATTTGTACGGAATTTAAAAATATACAAAACTCATCTATGATGATTGAAATTAGAATGGTAGAGAGGTTGAGGATTGGCTAGCAAGTGTTAAGAGGGAACTTTCTAGAGGGATATAAGTGTTCAGTATCTTAATTGAAGTGGTGGTTATGTGGATATATACACTTACCAAATTTCATCAAATAGTTCATATAAGATACGTATATTTCATTGTATGTAAATTTCTATCACAATTGAAAATACATTACCTGGCATGATGGTACTTTTCTCTGAAGTTAGATATAACGAGAATTAGAAAGTGGTGTGTTTTAATTTTAAGCTCATTTAATATGTGCATATAATGTCCTGATTCAAAATTTAAATGTAGAAAACAAATTTTGGATTCTTCTCATAAGTAGAAAAATTTTTTAAATGTCTCTTGGTTTTAGTTTTTTGAAGTAAAATTTGAATACTAAATTATGTGCCAGGTACTGTAGTATGCATTTTACATGTGCTATTTCACTTAATCCCCAAAACATTTTCAGTGATTAGGTCTATTTTTCCTTGGAACAGAACAGTAGTGGAAACAGAAGCATCAAAAGGAAAGAGAAACACCAAGTGTTCAATTAATATTCCCAAATTATTATGGAAAGAGTCCTAAGCCAGAAACTGAGTTTTACATGGGAATTTCCTAGTATTTTATTTTCTTGAATGTCATTTTACTATACCTGTTTAATTAATAGTTCTATTAAATCTATTTCAGGGGTATTTTAATGAGCTAATTTTTAATATATTTTCTTTTATTAAATAACTTTAATTTTTTCAAGGAGCAACTGTGGTGACAGCTGCCGTGGTAGAAGTACATTCACGTGCCTCACTAGTTAAGACAACACTAAATGTGAGCTTCAAAACTGATTATCTCACCATGGTGCTGTATAGTCCAGGTCCTAAACAAGTAAGTCCAGGAAGAAAAGAAAATGTATTTTCACTTGTGAAATTTGCATAGGTAGATGTTTTTAAAGTAAAAAATGTTAATACTTAACATGTATTTTGTAGTATCTGTCCCTCCGAGAAAAGTGGTTGATCTTTTTACTCTAATAATAATTGTAACCATTTCCCTTTTAAATGAGTTATCTATCATGTAGCTAATAATGTGAAAAATAAATTGTAAAATTGAAGTGATATGTATATATTTTTGGCTTTTCATTAGAGCCCTTTGGAGACAGAGAATTTTGAGGTTTGTTATAAGCAGAGGCAATACTTTGTAGTAGTTCATATCATAAAATACACGTTAGACTTGTGTTTCTGTGTAATTTTGTATTGATTTCTCCTTTCATAGGCTTCCTTTGCAGATGTTCGGGATCCTTCTCTGAAACTTGCTGAATTTAAATTGGAGAATATTATAAGTACTTTAAAAATGTATACAGATGACTCAACATTTTCTTCCTTCTCATTAAAAAACTGTATTTTAGATGATAAAAGGCCTCATGTCAAGAAAGCAACTCCTCGGTATGTATTGTAATGATGTTCTAAGGTTTTACTTGAGAAATTGTTGATATATTTTACAGAATTCATTTCCAGAGTTGCACGTTCATTTTCTGAGTGCATCCTAGGTTCCTTAAAGCTTCAGTTCAGTCAACTCGTAGTACTCAGTTAACATTTAAAATGTCCTGGTTCTGTTATGTGCTATTCTTACTGAATAATTGATAGATTGGTTGAGTAAATAGAAATAATCAGTGCAATTAAATTGGTTTTTACATTATTTAAATTACATTCTCTAATATAAATTATTGTTAATCCATGCTAATTGCAATGGGAAGTACATGAAAAATTGAAAAGAAAAAATATCCGGAGATTCAGACTCATAATTTATTGAACATACACTTCCTAATTTATGATACATTTGTGTTTCAGAAATTTGTAAGTTCGTTATTTGGAACACTTTATGGATCTTCCCAAGAGACATGACTTCGGAATGCTTTTTTTTTTTTTTTTTGTCAGTGAAAGAGATAAGAGGTCTTTAAGTTTTACTCGTATGTTTGATTACTTCTAAGTTACTCATGTAAGGAATTGTTACTGTGTTTTCCAGAATGATAGGACTGACTGTTGGTTTTGACAAAAAAGACATGATGGATATAAAGTACAGGAAAGTCAGAGATGGCTGTGTGACTGATGCAGTCTTTCAAGAAATGTATATTTGTGCAAGTGTAGAATTTCTGCAGACTGTTGCAAATGTCTTTCTGGAGGCCTACACCACAGGCACTGCTGTAGAAACCAGTGTGCAAACATGGACTGCTAAGGAAGAAGGTTAGTTATTGGCTAAAATATTTAATATTTGTTTTATTGAAGTGCTACAACAGGACTTACCTTGATTAGCCTTTTAGATCATCAAGGTAAATACTTTAAGAAATTAAAATTTTATTTTTCAGAGTAGAAGGAAAACCTTAATGTGTTTTCTGGGAGGTTGTATAGTTTGCATTTTTTTAAAGGTGTGAATATATATTGCATTTAAAAATTATGAAACCTATATTAGAATAAGTAATTGTACTTCAGGCAGTAACATGAAGGAATTTGCCTAATGGAAAAAAACAAGCGAGCGAATAATCAACCAACCATACCTTTTCACAATTAAGATAATATTTTAATTTAAAACACTCATTTATTTTTCTTGTATTTATTCGTAGCTTTTAACATATGGTTTCTCTGTTATCTTTTTGTAATATGTCATTTACTGTGGTATAGCAGAAAGAGTATCAAGTTGAGAATTGGAAACTAGATTAGGGTCTAGGCTTTCCAATTAAATAGTGGAGATTTCCCCCTCATTTAAAAATGTTCTTATGCCTATAGCTTCTTCAAATCTTCACTAAGGGTTGTAGTTGATTCCTTTGGAATCTAAGATTCTTTTATTTTACTTTTTACTATTATTTCATTTTATTATTTTCTTATAAATAATAAATTATTCATAATATATAGCAAATATTTTAATTTATTAATTTATTTTTATTTGTTTTAGTACCTACACAGGAATTAGAGAAGTGGGAAATTAATGTTATTATTAAAAATCCTGAAATTGTGTTTGTGGCTGACATGACAAAAAATGATGCTCCTGCTTTAGTCATTACAACACAATGTGAAATTTGCTATAAAGGTAACCTTGAAAATAGCACAATGACTGCTGCTATTAAAGATCTCCAAGTGAGAGCCTGCCCGTTTCTTCCAATCAAGAGAAAAGGCAAAGTCACTACTGTGAGTTAACTATCTGATCATCTGCTTAATTGTAAACTATTTAGGAAACAAAAACTACCTACATGTTTTCCAACCTTGCTCTGTAAAATGTCTTTCTCTCTGCTTAGAGAGCTTAGCTTAGAATGTTATTGACCAGCTTTGAAACTCTTTCATTCTTCCAGATGTTGCTCATTATTGTTAGTATTTGTGGGAATATTCTCAGTAAAAAGTTGGGTTCATCTTGACACTTTTCAGTTAAGATCTTACTTTGACTTTCTAATCATGTCAATTCCAAATAGCTCTTTGGACTTTTAAGACTTTCTGCCAGTTGTTTGCTGTGTTGTTTCAATTATATTGTTTTAACTTTTTTCTCCCATTTGGATGTTTTTGCTCAAATAATGCGTTTTTCCTTGTCTCCATGTAATGTCATTTGAACTTTCGGCCATTTGCTTTGACATAGTTCACGTTGATACTTTACTCTCTAGTAACCTCTTGGCCTTCCTCCTCTTTATAACTCTACTTAAAATTCATTCCTTTACAGACATCTTTTCAAGTGAACTGGCTGACTCCCAGCAAATACTTACAAAAATATTTGAACTTCTAAAGGAGTAATAGAAACATATGTTTTTGTTTGTTTCTTTGTATTTTGTTCCTGATGCTTGGTATGCGTCTACAGAAGCATAAGTGTTCTAAACATTGTCACCATATAAATATAAGATGTAATTTTGATACAATGATTATATGTATATTAGTTAGGATGTAAGATAAACTGTTGCCCAAATTTACAAGACAGTTGGCCCTCCACTAAGCAAAGAGAGAGAATAGAAAATGGAGGGTATACCAATTCTCTCTTAGGTTTTGATTTAGAAGTTTTACGTATATATTTCTTCTGTTCACATCTTTTTTGGCTTGAACATAGCTATATGACCACATTTTGCTGCAATAAAGGTTGGAGAATGTGGTATTTTTTTCCGAGCTACCTTCTGCTCAGATAAAACTTATATTACTGTAGAAGAATACAACAGATATTAGGTTCTAGAGGTCCTTCCTATGGGACAATTAAGGAGTGTATTAAGTAGTAACTTTTTAAATAGTTATTTTTATTAACTCGTTTGTTTGACATACCTATTACTAGGAGAGTCTTTAAATAGAAATATTTTTATATTTAAACATTAATTTAGTGGTATTGATTTTTCTCTCATAGGTTTTGCAGCCCTGTGACTTGTTTTATCAAACTACTCAGGCAGGTACAGATCCACAAGTGATCGATATGTCAGTAAAATCCCTGACACTAAAGGTAAATTAAAATATAATCGTTTGAATATTCAGTGCATTTTAAAAAAGTAGAAAAGCCTAGAAAGTTATTATAGCAAGTCTTTTCATTGTTAGGCAAACAAAATAGATGTATTTGTGTTTTTGAAAATATATTTTTATGAGATATTTACAAAGTAACATTATTTAATACACATTTTATGATGAATGTTATTCTGTATTTTATTAAATACGTTTGTGTGGTTAACATCTAATATCCCTAATAAATATTATTGAAATTATTTTATACTTCATCAGTTTAATAATATCTACAAGATTCGTGTAAATATTTTAACAAGTCACAATTAGTTATAGTAATTTAAAAAATTGTATAAACAATAGTTTATACTATTTGTGGTAGTAATGTTAATTCAATATTTAATTTCTCATAATCCTTCAGCAAGTGTATTTAATATTTCTTGAAGAAGTATGTTTCAAAGTATTTTGTATAGATTTATCATTAGTTTTTTTTCCATTTAGGTTTCACCAGTTATTATAAATACTATGATTACCATAACTTCAGCACTGTATACAACTAAGGAAACCATCCCAGAAGAAACAGCTTCTTCTACTGCACATTTATGGGAAAAGAAGGATACAAAGACTTTAAAAATGTGGTTTCTTGAAGAATCAAATGAAACTGAAAAAATAGCTCCCACAACTGAATTGGTACCCAAAGGCGAGATGATAAAAATGAACATTGATTCTATTTTTATAGTTCTTGAGGCTGGAATTGGTCATAGAACAGTGCCTATGCTTCTGGCAAAGTCACGTTTTTCAGGGGAAGGCAAAAACTGGAGTTCCCTAATAAATCTGCACTGTCAGCTTGAGCTAGAAGTAAGCATATTTTTCCAGTTTTATAACAGATAATGATACATATGGAATATTATGGAATCTTATGTAGCTATTTAAATTAAGCTTATTGTAAATATGATGTTGGGTCAAAAACTTTTAGAAAAAAGTTTTCAAATTTTGCCCTTGAATAATTGCTTTTATGTATACAGTCCTTTCACTTTTAAAGTACATCTCCACATTAAGTTTGTATTTCAACTGATTTTATCAACTTAAAGGTAATATATTATTCAACAGTTGTTGATTAGATTGAGAATTCTTTCTTTTAAGAGTTAAAGTTGAGGCCAGGCCCAGTGACTCACACCTGTAATCCCAGCACTTCAGGAGGCCAAAGCAGAAGGATCGCTTGAGCCCAGGAGTTCAAGATCAGCCTGGGCAACATGGTGAAACCTTGTCTCTACTAAAAATACACAAAATTAGCCAATGGTGGTGGCTCACACCTGTAGTCTCAGCTATTCAAGAGACTGAGGTGGGAGGATCACTTGAGAATAGCTGGGAAATCAAGGCTGCGGTGAGCTGAGATCGTGCCACTGCACTCCAGGCTGGGGGACATAGTGAGACCCAGCCTCAAAAAAAAAGTTAAAGTATTATCTTTTTTTTTTTTTGAGGATATAGACAGAATTTCTGAATATGTGGATAATAATCTCTTCTGATATAAAGAGTTAGAAAGATATGCCTTATACTTTTATATAATGTAGAATCAAGCAAAGATGCTTTAAAGGGAGTTTTATCTGGACTAAATTGTGAAGAGCGAATATGTACTATGAAGTTAGCCAGGTGAGGAAAATGCTGAGGGAGTGTTTATAGGAAGCTACTGAAAGGCATGTAAACTGGTTTTCGTATAGAAGAAATAACAGGGCTAAAAAACATGGTGGGAAGCAGGATAGTAAATCATTTTTAATTTAAAAAATTCTCTCTATAGGTGCATTATTATAATGAAATGTTTGGTGTATGGGAGCCTTTGCTTGAACCCTTAGAAATTGATCAGACTGAGGATTTTAGACCATGGAATCTTGGTATCAAGGTATATATATATGTGTGTGTGTATATATATGTATATATGTATTTTAAAAGACTACTTTTTTTAAGAACAGATTTAGGTTCACAGCAAAATTGGGAAGAACAGAGATTTCCCATATACCCCCTATTTCTGCACATGTATAGCTTCCTCCTTTATTAACATTCCCTCATCAGTGTATATTTGAAGTCTGAAAAAATTTTCCAAAATTGAGAATGTTTATGCCATATTAGACACTTTATTTTAATCACAACAAAGTTCGGGTTGTCTCATCATGGGCCTTGCCCACATGCTTCCTTGTTTGCCCTCTTAATGTAATTTTCAAATCTCAGGCCAATGTTTCCTATGCTTCTAATACAATTATGTAACAAGTATTATGTGCCAGATACAGCAGCTCTTGGAGGAAAATAGTTTTTATCCCTAGTTTGACTTGTGAAGGGACTGAGACCAGGGAGGTTAAGAGACTTCTTGAAGTAATAAGCTACAGAGTGGAAGAGATAGGATGCAAATCCAGCTGCAGAGGGGTTAAATCCACTCTAAACCACTATGCTATAATGCCTCTGTCATCTTCTTGTAAGTTGTTGTCTATCCTGAGTTTCCTTCATCCTCTGGGGAGGTGTGTATGTGTGCGTGTGTGTGCAAGAATGTGTATTATTTGTTTGAAATATATTGTGTGTTTATATAATCATGAGAATCAGGGCCTTTAGATGGATGAAATTTTGCTTCTGAAGTAAGAGACTGCAGAACTACTCACGTATTTCCTACCTAATAATGACTCAGTCAACCTGCGGACAGATTTTCAGTGGCTTAAAGCCAGTTAAAGTAACAGCAGAGGTGGCTAGCTTAGCATGTTGAGCTCTTTTCGTATTAGATCATTTAATTTTATTTTCCAGATATTTTAGATGAAGGATTTTAAAAGGAATTCCTTGATGGTTTTTAGGTTAGAATACACATGGTCAGTGGATCTGTGACTCCTAAAAAATGGTAAAGGGTATTGATTCTTATGAGCTCTAGGTTTATAACACTGTTCTGCTACTATTACCTGCCTTTGTAAGTCTGCATGTTTCTGTTCTTTATTATTAGCATGACCAATACATTAAGTTACTGTTTTCTGAGTTTTTATGTTGCTTTGAAGTATGTGCTTTTATATTCAGATGCCAGGTACACATAGTAATTCTAGGTCTTTATTATTCCTTCTGAATTATATCTGCCAGTTTACTATCACTGAGGATGACATGATTTATTTTCTCTAATATTTCTGTCCTGTGTGACCTTACTTGGCTGATGTCCAAGTAATTTCAGTAAGGCAGTAGAACTTACTGAAATTAGAAAAGATAAAATGTACTGATCTCTCTAATGTTGTTATTGAGATTTGTCTAGTTATGTTGTGTTCCTAGAAATAATTTTTTCTTGTATTTCTGTGATTTATCATTTTAGATGAAAAAGAAAGCCAAAAAGGCCATTGTTGAGTCAGATCCTGAAGAAGAAAACTACAAAGTGCCAGAATATAAAACTGTCATTAGTTTCCATTCAAAAGACCAATTAAACATTACATTATCCAAATGTGGTCTTGTAATGTTAAATAATTTAGTCAAGGTAAGTAAAGAAATTTGAAACTTTAAATATTGAGATACTTGTCTGAGTTGATCTGTCTGTTGAATAAGAAGTTTAATGACTTAGTTATTTGTCATTTGTCCTCTACTGTTCTCCTTGTCATTTAATTTTACACATTTCATTTTATTTAAGATAACTCTTTCTTATTAGGCATTTACAGAAGCTGCCACTGGATCTTCAGCTGACTTCGTAAAGGATCTGGCACCATTTATAATTTTAAATTCCCTTGGACTTACTATCTCTGTTTCGCCAAGTGATTCTTTTAGTGTACTCAGCATTCCTATGGCAAAATCATATGTATTGAAAAATGAAGAAAGTTTAAGTATGGATTATGTCCGAACCAAGGACAATGATCATTTCAATGCAATGACCAGCCTAAGCAGCAAACTCTTCTTCATTCTTCTTAGTAAGTAGTTGCTGTATTACCTTCCTGGGCTTTTTTGTTTTAAATTACAATTTACATGTTATTTTACTCTTTTGTAGAATCTTAGCAAGGTTTGTTTTTTTTTGTTGTTGTTGTTGTTTTTTTTTTAAACTCTCCTTTCTAATAGGTCAAGAGCTGTTTTTTGTCTTTGCAGTGTCTTGGTTGCAGTGTGTCATTACTAAAACTTTGTATTCCAAACTTTTTCTTTATCCACTGCATTATTCAGAGCATGGCAATTTACTGCTTTGTTGTTGGGAGGAAAAGTATTAGATCTCGCCCTCGTTCAGCTTTTATAGACCATAGATGTTTAGATGTTTGTGGGGATTCTTTTATTCACATTTGGTATCACTTGATGGTATTCCACTAGTTTTGCAACTGAATGAATTCAAAGTTTGAATTCATGCAAATGGCAATTTTTAATGGTTTTAGGATTTGTAAATAGTTTTTTTTTTTAATGTTCTGCCTATTGAGATGAAGGTTTTTTCCTTTGTCTTTTCTGCTTCCTAGAAGTTTTTCATTTTTATTGGAGGTGAAATATATACATTCTTAAATTATCATAATATGTAGTCATTGTGAAGTTAAATAATCCCAAAGCCTCACCTACACCACTTTTTGATACTCTGGCATTTAAGTAGTTATTGAGGAGGGCATCATTTAGAAGATTAATTAGACATGGGAGGGTAGGCTACTAAAATAGCTTGTGTTTCTAGTTAGAAAATAGCATGTAACAAGTGTTTCAGGTATTGTCATAACGTTGTACTTAATGTTCTCATAAATTTTACCTCTTTTTTTTTTACATTTTTATGAATGGGATGGTAAATGAAATTTATGCAAGTAATTTCATCCCCAATACAACATGTGTTTTAGGTAAATATATATAAAATTTTGTGTAATCAAGTCCAAGATATAAAGGAAAAGTGACACAAGTTGTTGGAAAAATTAAAAACAAAAATTGTAGTCACCTTGATATTTACCAGTGTCTACCAAAAGCTATTATGCTCTGGTTATTCTTATAGCAAGCCAGAGATCAGTATTCTTGTATTTTATAGTACTTGCTCTCGTTACTCATTTTGGAAAGGTTTGTTCTTGTTGTCTTGGGTTAAACTCCTGAATGGGATTTTTTAATGAATGCTGTGGAAATATATGGTGGCTTCTTAAAATATCCCTTTTACGGACTATATCCGAAGACTTTAGTGACTATTATTTATAAGTTTAAGAATCATCTGAAATTTCTAATATATAACATGTAAAATTAATATTTAATGAATTATAATAAAAACTTTTAAACATACTTATTTAATTTAGCACCTGTTAACCATTCTACTGCTGATAAGATTCCTTTAACAAAAGTGGGACGACGTCTGTACACTGTAAGACACAGAGAGTCTGGAGTTGAAAGATCTATTGTTTGTCAAATTGATACAGTGGAAGGAAGTAAGAAGATCACAATTCGCTCCCCAGTGCAGGTATGAAATGATCAATTTTGGGGGATGTCCTGTTGTGCATATCTGTGTGCTAATAAAATTTTAAAAAGAGAAAAACACCAAAGCAAATTATTACTGAAAGAATATAAACCATAACAGAAATACAGCTGATATCAAAAGAAGAGTCACTACCAGCAGTTGCACTACTCAGATATGACCAGTGGTAGGAATTTGTTTGATATACTTCTTATAATTTTTTAATAGGAATATTTTGTAAAATCTTCTTAGGGTATTTTTTATAAATAAAATACTCATCAGTGTTTTGCTTTAGGTCTTTGTAATGTATTTATATCCTTTCTATTTGATTAGATAATTCTTAGAGAAATAAAAAAAATTTTACAGCTTTGTTGAGGTATGTACAATAAACGACATATATTTAAAGTTGATGACTTTTGACACAAAAATCCACCTTTGAAACCTTCATCACAGTCAAGGTAATGAACACATTTATTTCTTAGAAAAATTTTCTATTTCCCCACTTTCCCATTCCCAGGCGTCCACTGATCTGTCCTCATTGTACATTAGTTATATGGCCTAGGACTTTACATAAGTTGAATACAGTACAGATGGAGTTTGACTTTCATTCAGAAAAATTTTGTGTGTGTGTGTCAACTCATGTGTATCCATGTTGTTACATGCAGTTACATGTTGTTTCTCAGTAGTCATCTTTATGTGGATATGCCACATATCCATTTTGAGTGAACCTTGGTATACAGTGTGAGGTTAAGAATTGAGATTTTGGTTTTTTTTTTCACCATATGGATTTTTTTCCAGGGGATTCTAGTTCCTTCTCATTTTTCTTTAAACTTGAGAATTAGGTTATCAATTTTGTCAAAAATCTGGATAAAATTGGCTTGTCTTTTAATGTTTTAAATTCTGATTACTCATTGGTAGTGTTTAGAAATACAGATTATATTAACCTCTATTTGCAGTCTTAACTAGACTCACGTATTCTAGTAGATTTGTGTAGATTTAGATAGTTACGATAGTTGCAAATGAAGACATTTTTACTTTTTCCTTTCCAATCTGGATGTGTTTTATTTTATCTTGTTTATATTGCCTATCACACTGGCTAGAATACAATTCGAGTAGAAGTGGTGACGTCTTATGTTTTTGCCTTGTCCATTCTTTCACCATTAAACATGATTTGTGTTGTAGTTTTGTAGATGCCTTTTCTTACATTGAAAACATTCCTGTCTATTCCTAGTGTGCTGAGAGTTTTTATCAGAGTCTATTTTTGTATTTTGTCAGATGCCTTTTCTGTGCGAGAGGAGGATACATTTTTTCAATTGTTAGTATGATGAATTACATTCATTGATTTTTTTAAATGTTAGATCAACTTGCATTCCTAGGATTAATCTCACATAATCATGCCGTCTTACTAACCTTTTAGTATATTGTTGGATTTTGCATTTATATTCGTGAGGGATATTGGTCTAGAGTTTTAATGTCTGTCTTTCTCTTTTCCTTTCTTTTCTTGAGTCTTGCTCTGTGCCCAAGGTTGGAGTGCAGTGGTGCCATCATGGCTCACTGGAGCCACATTCTCCTGGGTTTAAGCAATTCTCCTATCTCAGCCTCCCGAGCAGCTAGGACTGTAGGTGCACACCACCACACCTATTCCCCCATCTTGCTCCGCCTCTCATTGTTTAACTTTTTTTTTTTTTTTTTTTTTGAGACGGAGTCTCACTCTGTTGCCCGGGCTGGAGTGCAGTGGCCGGATCTCAGCTCACTGCAAGCTCCGCCTCCCGGGTTCACGCCATTCTCCTGTCTCAGCCTCCCGAGTAGCTGGGACTACAGGCGCCCGCCACCTCGCCCGGCTAGTGTTTTGTATTTTTTAGTAGAGACGGGGTTTCACCGGGTTAGGCAGGATGGTCTCGATCTCCTGACCTCGTGATCCGCCCGTCTCGGCCTCCCAAAGTGCTGGGATTACAGGCTTGAGCCACCGCGCCCGGCCTGTTTAACTTTTTAACTCATTGAAGCAGCAGTCCCCAACCTTTTTGACACCAGGGGCCTGTTTCATGGAAGACAGTTTTTCCACAGGTTGGGGGCTGGGGCATATGGTCTCAGGATTCCTTTCTCAAGAACAGAAAGCTCCACCCATATGTGTCCCTGTCCCCTGCAGGGACACCAAGTTAACAACTATCTACACAGAAAAAAACACCGTAAGAAACAAAAATCAGGCAAGCACTCACAGTACTGGATTTAACCTCAGGTCATCAGGCATTAGTTAAATTCTCATGAGGAGCATATAACCTAGATCCCGTGCACGCACAGTTCACAATAGGGTTCACCCTCCTATGAGAATCTAATGCTGTGGCTGATCTGACAGGAGGCAGAGCTCAGGCGGTAATGCTCTCAAGCCTGCTGCTTACTTCCTGCCGTGCAGCCCACTTCCTAACAGGCCACAGACTGGTACCAGCCCATGGGTGAAGGGCTGGGGACCTGTGTATTAAAGTGTGTTTAACGTGGGGTTTCTGTAGGCACCACGTAGTTGGACCTTATGTTTTGTTTTGTTTTGTTTTTTTATTTAACCTAATCTGAAAATCTGTGCCTTTTAACAAGGATAATTAAACCACTTATATTTAAAAGTGTTATTGATATGGCTGGGCTTAAACTTGCTATTTTTTTTTTCTATTTGTCTCATTTGTTCTTTACATCCATCTTCCTTTTGTTTTCTCTTTCTCTTTTTTTTTTAATTAATTGAGCATTTTTGTTATGAATTCATTTTATTTTCTTGTTGGTTATTGGCTGTATCTCTTTATACTTCCTTGCCTTTTTTTTTGTTGTTGTTGTTGTTACTTTAGGGCTTTATTACGTACATATTGTATTCGTCTACCTTCAAGTAGTATTTTGCCGCTTCCCATACAGAATCACAACTTTAAACCAGTATACTTCCACTTCTCATCTCCCACATTTGTATAATTATGTTCATACATTTTCATGTCTATGTATGTTAGCCAAAACCCCATAATACAAGTTACTATTTTTCTTTAGTGAATTATGTTTTAAATTGGTTTAAAATACAAACTGTATTTGATATTTATTATCACTTTTTCTTCTTTCAGTAATGCTAATAATGAATTCTTTCAGTTTTTATTTCACATATATGTGTTACAGATATTTTCACTGGGCCTAGAGATCTAGATTGGCAGGGTTTTTTCCCCATACTTTAAAAATGTTGTTCTGCTCTCTACTGTATTGCATTGTTTCTGATCAGAAGTCTGCTTTTTTTCCTGTATTTGCTCTTCTACAAAATGTGTCAACCTTTTCTTTAGCTGCTTTTGAGATTTCTTTTTTCTTTATCATTGGTTTTAAGCAATTTGGTTATGATGAATCTCAGTGTAGTTTTCTTCATGTTTCTTGTATTTGGGGTTTACTGACCTTAAAATCATGGATTTATAGTTCTGATCAACTTTAGAAAACTTTTTGCCATTGTTTCTAAAATTTTTTCTGTCTTCGCCCTCTCTTCTCTCCTTTAGATTCCAGTTAGGTATGTATTAGGGTGTTTGAACTTGCCCCACAGCTCAGTAATGCTCTGTTTGTTTTTCCTTTCAGCTTTTTACCCATTTCTTTTTTGATAGTTTCTCTTGTTAAGTCTTCAGTTTCCCTTTTCTTTTTCAGTGGCCAATCTGCTGTTGACGCCATCTGATATATTTTTCTCAATAGTACTATGAATTTTTTTGGTTTTTTATTTTCCAGTGTCTCTTTTTAGCATACGTAGTCTTCTAACTTTTTAGTGATATTGGATATAATTTTAATAAATGTTTTAATGTCCTTGTCTACCAATTCTATTACGTGTCATTTTAGGTTTGTTTCATTTTATTGATGTTTCTTTTCATTATGGTATTTTTTTCATTCCTTTAATGTACCTGATAATTTTTTATTGGTTACCTAAAACTACTGTATATATCAGAACCAGACTTTGTTCTTCCTGTTTCTTTTAGCCGGATCTTTACTGAGCCGTAGATAATCTGCACATGTCCTGGTCATGACTCAGCTGAAGTTTTGACGTGAAGGGGACACTCAATTTTCCAGAATTCTGTCTGTACAGCTTTTGCCTCTCCATGCAGGTCTCTCCCCTCCAGTACAATATGCTGTGAATTTCAGTCACATTGGCTTCCCCAGATTTTCAGATCTTGTCTCTTCAACTTGGCTGCCTGCTTCTCACACAGCAGACTAGAAACTCACTCTCCAGACAGCAAGCTGGGTAGTCATAGCTTCTGTAGCTTTTTCGTTTTTGTTTTTGTTTTTCCCTTGTGCTGCCTATTGTGCCTTATCTGAAACTGTGGTTTGATGTTTGTTGTTTGTTTTCCTGCTTTTTAGTTGATTAGGGTGGGAAGCTATATCTGGTCCCTGTTATTCTAGCATGGCTGAAAACAGATATCCCTTCTCTTTCACTTTTTATTTAGGTAACTATTTTAAAAGGTGACTAACAGCCACACTCATTACTGTTGATTATTTTGCCATTTAGTTAAATAGTTGAACGTGAATTTTGAATTTCTTACAGGTACTTTGTATAGACATATTTCTGTTGCTTCAAATGTATAGAGCAAATAGTTTTTCTAGAATTAAAAATAGAGTACAGTTAAGATTATTCATTTATCAAATTCTTAGTTCTCATGTTTCATATGCTGCTATGATGTTTTTAAAGTAGAATTTGGTAAGATATAGAAAGATTATGAGAAAATTGTTTTACTAAACAATTTGTTATTATCTATTCCAAAGATAAATATGAGTATTTGGAAGTTTTCTGATTACTATGTATATATTAATCAGAATAATACATTTTTGCCTGACCATTTTTTGCTGCTCACTGGATGAGATACCATTTTTTGCTACTCACTGGATGAGATACTCTTCATACTTTTCTCTCTAAAGAAAGTTGCGGCCGGGCGCAGTGGCTCAAGCCTGTAATCCCAGCACTTTGGGAGGCCGAGACGGGCGGATCACGAGGTCAGGAGATCGAGACCATCCTGGCTGACACGGTGAAACCCTGTCTTTACTAAAAATACAAAAAACTAGCCGGGCGAGGTGGCGGGCGCCTGTAGTCCCAGCTACTCGGGAGGCTGAGGCAGGAGAAAGGCGTGAACCCGGGAGGCAGAGCTTGCAGTGAGCTGAGATCCGGCCACCGCACTCCAGCCTGGGCGACAGAGTGAGACTCCGTCTCAAAAAAAAAAAAAAAAAAAAAAAAAGAAAGTTGCAACAATTCAGTCACCTCTTCAGGCCCCAATTCTAATTCTAGTTCTCTTGCTATATCCACCATATCTGCAGTGACTTGCTCCATTGAAGTCCTGAATTCCTCAAAGTCATCCATGAGGGTTGGAACCAGCTGGTAATGTTGTTATTTTGACCTCCTCTCATGAATCACAAATGTTATTAATGGCATCTGGATGATGAATCCTTTCCAGAAGATTTTCAATTTACTTTGCCTGGATCCATCAGAGGAATCATTGTCTATGGGAGCTGTTGCCTTAAAAAATGTATTTCTTAAATAATGAGACTAATATTATTTAAGTCAAATATACAATATTACATATAATATTAAGAAGTTGAAATTACTCCTTGATCCATTTGCTACAGAATAGATGTTGTGTTAGTAGGCATGAAAGCAGCATTAATCTTCTGTACATCTCCATCAGAACTCGAGTGACAATGTGCATAGCCAATGAGCAATAGCATTTTGAAAGGATTTTTTTTCCTGAGAATAGGTCTCAGTAGTGGGCTTTAAAAATTCGGTAAACCATGCTGTAAACAGATGTGCTTTCAAGTTCAGGCTTTGTTTTTCCATGTATAGAGCACAGAGTAGAGTTAGCATATTCTTAAAGGCCCTAGGATTTTCATAATGGTAAATGAACATTGGCGTAACTTCAGGTCACTTGCTTCATTATCCCTTTAACAAGAGATTCAGACTGTCCTTCGAAGCTTTGAAGCTAAGCATTGACTTCTCTTCTCTAGCTATGAGAGTCTTAAATGTCGTGTTCTTCCAATAGAAGGGTGTTTTGTCTAGTTTGGAAATCTGTTGTTTAGTGTAGCCATCTTCATCAGTGATCTTAGCTAGACCTTCCGGATAACTTGCTGCAGCCACTTGCCGCTTCACTTTGCACTTGTATGTTATGCAGGTGGTTTCTTCCCTTAAACCTCGTGAACAAACCTCTGCTTCCAACTTTTTTTCTGCTACTTCCTCACATCTCTCAGCCTTCATACGATTGAAGAGAGTTAGGGCCTTTCTTAGGGGAATGTTGCAGCTGGTTTGATCTTCTATCCTGTATTAGGCTGTTTTCATACTGCTGTAAAGAACTGCCCAGGACTTAGTAATTTATAAAGGAAAGAGGTTTAATTGTCTCATAGTGCAGCATGGCTGGGGAGACCTCAGGAAACTTATAATCTGGCAGAAAGCAAATGGAAAGCAAGGCACCTTCTTCACAAGGCAGCAGGAAAGAGAAGTGAATGCAGGAAGAACTACCACACACTTATAAGACCATCAGATCTCGTGAGAACTCATTCACCATCATGAGAACAGCATGGGGAAACTGTCCCCATGATCCAGTTACCTCCACCTGATTCCTCCCTTGACACATGGGTTATGGGGATTACAATTCAAGATGAGATTTGGGTGGGGGACGTAGTCAAATCATGTCATATCCAGACCACTAGAATATTCTTCCTGTTAGCAATAAGGCTGTTTCACTTTCTTGTCATTTGCGTGTTCACTGGGTTAGGACTTTTAATTTTCTTCAAAAACTTTTCCTTTGCATTCACAACTTGGCTGTTTGATGCAAGAGGCTTACCTTTTAGCCCATCTCTGGTTTTGACATGCACTTCTCTTTAACATTAATCATTTCTAGCTTTTGCTTTTGATTTAAAAGTGAGACACATGTGCCTCTTCTTTTCATTTGAAAGAGGTCATTGGAGGGTTATTAATTGTCCTACTTTCAATAGTATTGTGTCTCAGAGAATAGAGAAGTCTGAAGAAGAGGGAGAAAGTGGGGAAAATGTCCAATTTGTGGAGCAGTCAGAACACACAGATTTATTAATTATAGCACATATAACGAAAAGATTGAAATATCGTGAGAGTTACCAGAATATGACACCGAGGCACTACGTGAGCACATGTTGTTAGAAAAATGGCACCAATAGACTTGCTTGATACAGGATTACCATAAACCTTTAATTTGTAAAAAATGAAATATCTGCAATGCACAATAAAGCAAAACATATAAAACAAGGTATGCGTATATATGAATTTACTACTTTTGATAGTCAGGAGAAATGGTATTATTCAAAATAAAATTTGCCCACAGTTACACAGCTAGTAATCAGCACTGCCAGTATTTATCTCAGGTTTGTTTCACTTTAACATCTATGTTCATTCTGCTATCATATTGCTGTTGCATAATCATAAACTTTAGGAATTGTTCCAGCAAGATAGCTTACCTGCAACATGCTTTTGTTTCTTTCTTATCTTTGTAATTTTTGAGAGACAGGGTCTTAATCGCCCAGGAGTGCAGTGGCATGATCAATGCTCACTGCAACCTTGACTTCCCAGGCTCAATAATCCTCTCACCTCAGCCTCTCCAGTAGCTCGGACTACATGTGTATACCACCATACCTGGCTAATTTTTCAATATTTTGTAGAGACAGGGTCTCACCATATTGCCTAGACTGGTCTCGAACTCCTGAGGTCAAGTGATCCTCCTGCCTCAGCCACCCAAAGTGCTGGAATTATAATAGGTGTGAGCCACTGTGCCCACCCACTTTTATACAGACGGATGTTCCCTTTTCCTCTGCTCCCTTAGACTTTTCAAGCTTATGCTCATTCCGTTTTCCAGACCTTTGATCTTTCCTTGAAATTTCAACTGCTAGTTTATTCTCAGCTTCCAACCAACTTTTTCCACACTAAATCTGAAAGGGAAAACAAAGGAAGCAATATCAGACTTTGGTAAGTAACTTCACATTCCAAACAGGCACCATTTAGAAGCATGTGTTTCTTAATAGGCTCCATTTACATCAGTGATAAGTTGAATGTGAAATTTATTTGGAATTATATTTATAATCAGAAAATATGTTGGAAAACTTACAGTTAATGTCTGTTGTGGAATGCTCTGGATGTTGGTTATTGGTTTGATAGTGGACTTTGAAGTTTATTTTAATACAGATGTCTCCATCCACACCATGGAGTTTTAAAAATATTGAAGTTTAAAAATGGTTCCCTTAAATTTAAAAAAAAATGCATGAAGTTGAAGCCAACTGTTTGGTTTCCCTCCTTAGTCCACATTCCCTCCTTCCTTCTTCCTTGAGGCAATATCAATTTGGTGATATGTTGTGTATATTTCTAGTACTATATTTTAAAAACTACTTCCTGTCCAGAAAGTACATACTTGTGTTTTTAGTGTCTTACAGAAATGTTACACTGTTCACCTTGTTATGCTATGTTCTGTTTTCATTCAAATATTTGAAGTGTAACCATATACTGATACATAGGTCATTATTTTAATGATGTTACATGATTATATCAATTTGAAGAAAATTTTCTTATTTTTCCATTGTTGAGATTGTTTTCATTTTCATTTTTTTTATAATAAAATCAGTGGTGTAGTGAATATCGGTGTCTTGAGTGAGTGTAGTAAACAGTAAATGAATACACATGTGTAAACATTTCTCTAGGTATGGCACTAGGAGCAGAATTCCTAAGAAGAAAGTACGTTTTCATTTTTACTAAGTTTTTGTCAAATTATTCTTCAGAGTTATTTTATCAATTTACATTCTACCACTAGTGTATATGAGTTCCTGTTCACATCATTTTCAACTGTTGATATTACCATACTTCTGATATTTTTGCAGTTTGTTGGTATTAAAAGATATTCTATGAATGTAATTTGTATTTTCTTGATTACTAGTAATGTCTAGTATCTTTTCCTCTTTATTGGTCAGTTTTTCCATTCTGTGAATCACCTGTTTACATTCTGTTCCTGTTTTCCTCTTGATTGCAACTTTCTTAATGATTTTTAGGATTTTTGAGTATGTAGTGGTTATAAACCCTTTGTCAAGTATATTACAGATATTTGCCAGCCTGTAGATTGTCACTTTTACATACAAATATTTAAAATTTTGATTTTTTTCTATGAATTTTTTTCTACTATTTTTGTCTAAACAAAAACATATCTCTAAACAAATTAGTCTCTATCCTAAAGTGAAGGAGATATTATCTTATTCCCCTGTAGGATGCTTAAAGTCTGTTTTTGAGATTCCTTTTATATAAAACTGTAGAAATTTTTCTTGTATATTTTAGGATAAATAGTATGTTTGTTTCTTTTCTAATTTACATAAGCAAGATGAATATTGCCTGATAGTTCCTTTGTTAAGATATTTACATGGACTTTTTTTTTACACATCTGTAGATTCTTAGATTAATGATACTAAATATTATTTGTTTTTCTTTCCCAGATAAGAAATCATTTTTCAGTCCCACTGTCTGTTTACGAAGGGGATACCTTATTGGGAACTGCCTCACCTGAAAATGAATTCAACATACCATTAGGATCTTATCGGTATTTTTTCTTTATCATTTTATTTACTCTGAGATCTCTTGTAGACGTTTTAGTTTCTGATTTCACATGGATAACTTTGATCAAATCCATCCTGCTAATAGCTCATCTAACTCATGTTGGTTTCTGTGCACTTAGATCTTAAAAAAGAAGTATTATTTAATTTATTGTAATAACTTATAGCAAGCACATTATATATACTTTTCTCTTAAATATATTTTTGTTGCAATATAAGCATCATAAGCATAGTCATATGATTAAGAGTTTTTAAAATGTCTAATAGATGATGCCTGATGGTTTCTGAATTTATACTATTATGAAGTAAATTTTACTTCTCAAAGGTTTTATAATACAGTTTTTTTGACATTCTTTTAGTAAACAGAATATTTTATCCTTTTCATATTTGTTCATTGTTCAGGGATGGAGTTGTCAATAGAAGTCTATACTACATTAATTTTAAATTTTTAAAGTAATTAAATTTGATACAAGATATGTTTAAAGAAAATATTAAAATTATAACAAAATATGAGCTAGTCTTATAGATTTATATCATAACAAGTAAATATTAGTCAAGATATGTAATCTGGAATTGAAAATAATCTCTTATATGGAAATTTAACCCTATTGGAGAATAAAACTTTCCTCAGAATTAAGCATTGTAGTTTGTTTAAATACCATTTTAGAATACACACTAGAAATAGATACTTACCTCAATGCTACAGAAGGATAGAGGCAGAACTGCAAACAGTGCTTACCTGTTCCCTTGTCCAGAAGTTCAGAATGGGATCCTCAATGCTCTGAAGACAGTCTAGCAGTTTTAGGCACGTATTTTCACATAGATCGACCTGCTAAATCTAATGAGTGTTTTATTGCTTAGTTCAGACTTGCTGAGGGAAAGAATTGTATTGTTGAGAGAACAACAAAATAGTCATTTACAATATCTGATCTTGCTCTGGAGATGATTTGGGGTGGGTTACAAGACTAGATTAAATATGGCATGTAAGATATATTTAAAAATTTCTGTGAAGAACTTTCATTTTCTTCTTGGATAATAAAAGTTAATGATACTCTACTTTTTAATACATTTCTGGTATATATTTTGTGTCTCTCTCCGTAGTAGAGGAAACAGTACCTTTATACTTTTTTCCAAGGCTGAATGTTAATTTGTTACATGATAGTTAATCTATCTTAATGAGAATTAGTAGTGATTAATTCATCTTAATGAGAATTGTTACTGATTAAGTACTTCATCTTAACTAGAACTATTAGTGACTAACCAGCTTGGATTTTTCATTGGGCATTTTTTTTTTTTTTTTGAGATAGAGTTTCGCACTTGTTGCCCAGGCTGGAGTGCAATGGTGGGATCTCAGCTCCCAGATTCAAGTGATTCTCCTGCCTCAGCCTCCTAAGTAGCTGGGATTACAGGCATGCACCACCATGCGCAGCTAATTTTGTATTTTTAGCAGAGACGGGATTTCTCCATTTTGGTCAGGCTGGTCTCAAACTCACGATCTAGGTATTCTTTTAATCTGGTACTTCAGTGTAGGTGCACATGTATTTAAGATGTGAGGTCTTAACAAACAGTTATCTTTCTCTATTCTGTTTCTATTCTTAGATTAATGTTACAGATAAGTATAGATGCAGATAAATATAGGAAAACAATTTATATTTTATTAAAATATTTAAATAGAATTTAAATATACTGATTCTTTTATTAATTTAACAAATATTTATCAAGGTTTTCTGTGGATGAGACACTCAATACCAAGAAGAATTGCATGTGACTTTTGCCATCAAAAGATGGATATATTACATAAATGTATGAAGTAGGAAACAGTGGGTTTTGGAGAGTTATAGAAAGTGTTACAGTTGCCAAAAACTATGGAAAACATAAAAGGGATTAATGACTGACTCCTGGGCAAGATACATGAAGTACAGTAACATGTAATATAGTAATAGGGAGATTAGATGGAAAAGGCTAAGAGGAAGGTGTGCATGAACAAAGATAAGGAAGCATGAAAGCATAGTGTTATGAGGAATAGTTGGGAATTCATTGGAATGTAGAGTACATGTTGGAAGATAAAATTTGAAAGATAAAATTAAGTTCACAGTTAGATGGTTGCTCTCTCATTTTCTTGCTCCATTTTTATAAATTTTATCTCCGTCTATTAGTTTGATCTGTTTTTTTCTTCTTGTCTCAGATCATTTGATGTTCTGTTTCAAGACCATTCACTCTATCTTCTCATTTAAAACCTCTTGTCATTGATTATCTTTCTTTCCTGTTTTCTTCATTCATTCCTTGAACTTTCCTTTGACCTTTTATATTTCTCTTACTCAGATCTTCTCTTCAGAACACCCTTTTTGGGAAAATAGTCACTTCTGCAAACACCTTGCAGTCTGTCTGGAAAGAGCCAACCACTCTGCCCTCAGTCTACTCTATACATGTGTTTTGGTACCTATCACAATGCAGTAGTTATCTTTTAACATTACATTTCCCACCTGATTATGATCTTACTCATTTGTTTGTTTTCAATTTTGCCTTATTGGTACATAATAAGTCCAATAAATGTTTTGATAAACTGGGTAAGTGTATTACCATTAGTTTAATTTGGAAAAAAAATAAGGTTTTACCTTTAAGTGTTAGGAGTAAGAGTGGAAAATAGAATGAAAATTATAGAAGGAAGTAGAAGTAGAATAGGCTATATCTGTTAACTCTTTTGACAAATAATTTATATACTTCAGTCAGGGAAGAAGGAAGTCTAATATTGTGTCAAAGTCCAGGGTGCCAGTAGCTGGAAGTCACTGAAAAAGGACATGCAGAAAAGTGGGTAGAGTGGTTCAGTGTTCAGTCTAGCAAATTTAAGGTGCCATCAGAAATTATTACAGAAATACATCATAGATATTTAACATTTTAGGAGTAGAACTTAGGAAAATAATCAGGGTTGGAGATAGTGTTGACTGTTGTTCATCTATAAAGGACAGTGTCATAATTATAGCTAATAATTTTTACAAACATAAAAATATTTCTGAAATGTTTATTCTTGGCTACAGTGTCGGTTCAAAAATTATTAAGTATAAAATATTGCTGAAATGTAAACAATGTAATATTCAAATATAAAGATTAACTATGTGACAACCAATAATTTTGTCATCATTTTCTTAAACCACTTTTCTGCAATGACAACAAAAGCCAAAATTGACAAATGGGATCTAATTAAACTAAAGAGCTTCTGCTCAGCAAAAGAAACTACCATGAGAGTGAATGGGCAACCTATAGAAAGGGGGAAAATTTTTGCAGTCTGTCCATCTGACAAAGGACTAATATCCAGAATCTACAAAGAACTGAAAAAAATTTATAAGAAAAAAACAACCCCATCAAAAAGTGGGTGAAGGATATGAACAGACGCTTCTCAGAAGAAGACATTTATGCGGCCAACAAACGTGTGAAAAAAAGCTCATCATTACTGGTGATTAGAGAAATGCAAATCAAAACAACAATGAGATACCATCTCATGCCAATTAGAATGATAATCTTTAAAAAGTCAGGACACAACAGATGCTGAAGAGGATGTGGAGAAATAGGAATGCTTTTACACTGTTGGTGGGAGTATAAATTAGTTCAACCATTATGGAAGACGGTGTGGTGATTCCTCAAGGATCTAGAACCAGAAATACCATTTGACCCAGCAATCCCATTACTGGGTATATACCAAAGAACTACAATAAATCATTCTACTATAAAGACAGATACACACATATGTTTATTGCAGTACTGTTCCCAGTAGCAAAGACTTGGAACCAACCCAAAGGCCCATCAATGATAGACTGGATAAAGAAAATGTGGCACGTATACAGCATGAAATACTATGCAGCCATAAAATAGAGTGAGTTCATGTCCTTTGCAGGGACATGAGTGAAGCTGGAAACCATCATTCTCAGCAAAGTAACACAGGAACAAAAAAACCAAACACCACATGTCCTCAATCATAAGTGGGAGTTGAACAGTGAGAACTCATGGACACAGGGAGGAGAACATCACTCACTGGGGCCTGTTGGGAGTTGGGGAGCAAGGGGAGGGAGAGCATTAGGAGAAATACTTAATGTAGATGATCAGTTGATGGGTGCAGCAAACCACTGTGGCATGTGTATGCCTCTGTAACAAACCTGCACGTTCTGCACATGTATCCCAGAACCTAAAGTATAATTAAAAAAAAAAAAAATGCTAAAGCAGAAAAAAAAAAAATAAAGTACAATATCATACTGCTGTAAAACACCAACAAAAACAAAAACAAAAGAGAAAAATACTCTTCTGCATCTATGGCCCACATTTTAATAAAGTTAAATATCAATTGAAAACTTTCATTTGATTAATGTTGGAAAGCTTGTGATTATTTTTTCAATAGTAATTTTTTTAGTTTATGAATTCAGTCATGGCATTTATTTCCTTTTAGGCCCACATATCCAGAAAAGCCAAATTCTTGCAGTTATATGTACAAGTCACAGATGATTCTATGTGGTTTGCTTTGCATATATAACTGATATGATTTATGTATTTTTATATGAAACGATTCATCTTATAAGTGTACTTGTAAGATAGTAAGTTTGTAAGAAAAATACTCTCCTCTTAAAAGTCAAAAAACTTGATGAGCTTCCAGAAAGTTAAGGTGATACCTGTTTATCTATCTTACTTATATCTAAAAGGTATATGAAAATATAAAAATTTATTACAATATTGTGAAAGGAGGTAGTTTGTTATTCTAAAGCTGTAATTATATACTTTAATATGTTTTCCTTTAAAGCATTTTAAATTGTATCATTTAATCTCATGCAGATCATTCCTTTTTCTGAAGCCAGAAGATGAGGACTATCAAATGTGCGAAGGAATTGACTTTGAAGAGATTGTGAAAAATGATGGTGCTCTTCTAAAGAAGAAATGTAGATCTCAAAACCCTTCCAAGAAATCATTTCTCATTAATATTGTTCCAGAAAAAGATAATTTAACGTCTCTATCAGTGTATTCAGAAGATGGTTGGGATTTACCATACGTAATGCATTTGTGGCCACCTATCCTGCTCCGAAATCTTCTTCCTTACAAAATTGCTTATTATATAGAGGTATCGGCAAATTGTTTTGGTGCTTTCCTGTTTTTGATTTTGTAGTTTCAGTTTTTTAAGATTAAGAACAATAAAAACTATTTTAAAGATCTAATAAAAATTAGAATACTAGAATACTAGTAAAGAATAGGTAATGCAGATACTCTTTTGCAACAAGTATGAGAATTATTATTGAAATAACAGTTAAGAACTAGACTTCAGTGACAAAAAAAGCCTGCTACATTATATTGTATTCTTTTAGCGCTGATTTTCTTAAAAGATTATATACTTGGTAAAGTTGCTTTTTTTCTTACATACTCTTTGTTTTAACAGATGGTGTGGTTTCTTCCTGTTGTTATAACATAGGAATCCGTACATCTTAAGATTTTATGTGAATATTTCATTTGCGAGGCTTATCAAATGGAAGAAAGTAGTTCTTCATTGTCATCTATTAAAGGTTTATTTTACCTTTAGAATTACCATTTGTTTGCTTTTTAAAAAAACAGATTTCTCTCTGTTGCTCAGACTGGAGTGCATAGCTCACTGTAGCCTCAAACTTCTAGGCTCACGTGATCCTTCCTCCTCAGCCCCCCAAGTAGCTGGGACTACAGATGCATGCCATGCCTGGATAACTTTTTTTAATTTTTAATTTTGTAGGGACAGGGACTCACTGTGGCTTGTCTTGAGCTCTTGGGCTCAAGTGATCCTCCCGCTTTGGCCTCCCAAAGTGCTGGAATTACAGGCGCGAGCCAGTACGCCCAGCAGTTTACACTTTTCTGATACATGTCTCTTTTGGAGGAAAAAGTTAACGTATTTATGGTTTTAAATGTGTATTTCCATATTGAGTAACAAATTATCATAATGGTTAAGAATTTGTACTTTGCTGTCAGATTTGAAATTGCATCCTAGCTCTGTCACTTGCTAGCTGTATGTTCTTAAGTGGGCTTTATTGCTTTTGTAAATCTTTTGTTGTAGTCTATAAAATGAGAATAATAAAATTTGCTTGGTTAAGACATGGGGGAAATCAAATTAGATTGTATATGTAAAAGATTTGGTACAGTGCCTGACAGACAAGGGTTGCCATTTATTTATCACTCTAGCACTACCACCACCATTGTTATTTTGTGAAATATTATTTAACTTGTAAAAAATCAAGAACTCCTTACTTTTGCTTTAATTAATTTAAAATCATGAGATGAAGAGATTCATATATTATAATAATAGGAAGAGAACAAGATAGAGATGCTGGAAAAACTGGTGAGATATTCAGATGTACTGTCAATTTATGTTTCTATTCTCATAGAACTTTTAATTGGATGCTTTTAGTGATCACATTCTGTCTGGCAGTTTCCAAAGGATATGATCAGTCTTTAGAAAGACAATTGAGCCATGGTATGGGGAAGGGACTAGAGGGGACAAGAGCGGTTAGGAGACTCTTAAACTGAGAGGTCATATAGTGACTTGAACTGAGATAATAGAAGGGTGGGTCCAGGGAAATGAGCAGCTTGGAGAGATACATATGATGTAATAATATAAACAGTGATTGGAAATGGGTGATGAGGGATTGTGGAGGTAGTAGGGATTGCTTATTTTGGATTCCCATCAGTTTTTGCCCACATTTTACATTGTTTTGTTGTTTTCAAAACAAAAATCACTAGTGGTTAAGATTGTCTTTTTGTTGTTTTACCAATTGTAGTGTTTTATGTTTATAATTTCCAGGGGAGTTTCCCATTATGTTATTTAATCTAATCTTCACAGTTTGTCCTTTGAAGTAAGTCATTTAGAACATTTTACAAATACAGTAGCTCAAATCTCAGATTAAATCCTGTGTAGAGATTTACACAGTTGACAAAGTTAGAACTTGAATGTAAGTCTTCTGACTTGTTCTGATAGGTGCTTCAGAAGCATTTTGTGCAGCATTTGGAATAAATAAATAGAATTTTGAGGCATATTATTCTGCAACATTTAAATTTTTTTTTTTTATTACAGGGAATTGAAAATTCAGTTTTTACTCTAAGTGAAGGACATTCAGCCCAGATTTGTACTGTACACTTGGATAAAGCCAGGCTACGTTTAAAATTACTTGACTATCTCAATCACGATTGGAAAAGTGAATATCACATAAAGCCTAATCAGCAAGACATTAGTTTTGTCAATTTTACCTGTATTACAGAAATGGAAAAGACTGATTTAGATATTGCTGTCCATATGACTTATAATACTGGTCAGACAGTTGTGGCATTTCATAGTCCTTATTGGATGGTCAACAAAACTGGTCGCATGTTACAGTACAAAGCAGACGGAATTCATCGAAAGCATCCACCTAATTATAAAAAGCCAGTTCTCTTTTCTTTTCAGCCAAATCACTTTTTTAATAACAATAAGGTATGCATTGTTTATTCTGTTTTTCCCTTGTCTTTATCTGTTTGTCGATTTTTAGTTTTAAATATGAGGAATAAATATTATGAAACTTGGATAGAAATAACTTGTTAAATATTTGAGGCCGAAAAGATTGGAATTTAATATTATAAAGGTTTAGTGCATTTACAATGTAATATTTTGTTTATGCTAAAAACTAATTTTTATCGGTTTAAGCAGGAATTTTTAAGGGTACCTAAATTGTGATGTATTTCAAATATTTTTTCCTAGGTTCAACTTATGGTAACTGATAGTGAATTGTCCGATCAGTTTTCAATTGATACTGTTGGTAGTCATGGAGCTGTTAAATGTAAAGGCCTGAAAATGGACTATCAAGTGAGTTCATTCTGTGCTTATCAAGAAACTGTTTATTTTAACTGTTTTATTAACTACTTAATTAAATTTTATAAGGATGTTATGATACATAACAGTCTTTGAGCTGTTAATTTTATTTTTCTTAGGTTGGTGTCACTATAGACCTGAGCAGTTTTAACATTACTAGAATTGTGACATTTACCCCTTTTTATATGATTAAAAACAAAAGCAAATACCGTATATCAGTGGCTGAAGAAGGAACTGATAAATGGCTCTCTCTTGATTTGGAGGAGGTGGGTAGATGAATTTCAGAAATATACCTCTTTGGATTCTATTTTCTCCTTAATGTTAGATACCTAAAGTCACTATGTAATGTTTTAACTCCCCTGTTACTCCAATGTTGTTTTAGTTTCATAAATCTTCATTGAATATTTGTACCCGGCTCTAGATAGATGGCAAGGTTCAATTTTTAATAATTAGATAACTAGGAATGCCCAGCTTGTTAAGGGAGGTAGACGTTTAACAATTAATAACCACTTTGGTTAAATACAGCAGCCAAAGACTAGATAAGGTATAAATGCATCAAAGAGACGGAAATTATTTATTCTCTCTAGGAAGCTATTAGGAATGCCTTCAGAGAGTAGGTTAAGCCAGACTCTTCTCTAGTTACTTGAGGAGAGTAGTAACATAGAAGAAATGTTGATTCTGTGCCATCATTAAACCTTTGGATAAGAGTTTTCTGAATGACTGACAGAGGTTGATGGAATATTTTATTTTTGAAGAACTTTTATTCTAAAAGTTAGGATTAGAGAAGTGTTGCTGTTTCTATTCATTATTCCTTTTTGCATATAAAACCATCCTTTTTGGGATTATTCTTGAAGTATATTCTTTAGCATCTCCTTTAGGGCTGGTTTTGAAGGTAAATACCATCAGTGTCTCTAGAAAAATCTCTCTGGCTGGAGCACAGCGAGAGGGACAGTGATCGGGATATAAACCCAGGCGTTCCATGGGGCAACGGCAACCCCCTTTGGGTCCCCTCCCATTTTATGGGAGCTCTGTTTTCATTCTATTAAATCTTGCAATTGCAAAAGAAAGAGAGAAGAAGAGAAGAGGAGAAAATAGATAGATAGATAGATAGATAGATAGATAGATAGATAGATAGATAGATAGATAGATCGATCGATCTCTCTGGCTGCCTTCACAGTCTTTCTTCTCTTTGTCTTTGATGTTCTGCGGTCACGCTGCTATATGTCTATATGTGGTTTCCTTTTATTTACCCTGCTTGAGGTGCTTTACTCCTAGATCTGTGGATTGAAGTATTTCATGCTTTCTGTAAAATTTGCTACTACTGTCTCTTTAAATATTGCCTCTCCTCCGTTCTTCCATTTTTTCCATCTAAGCCTTTAAATCAGACATGTTGGACTTTCATACTCTATCCTCCATGTCTCTTAATAGCTCTTTTATATTTTCCAACTCTCTTTGCTTCATTCTGGGTAAGTTCTACATATACATCTTTCAATTTTTTTTACTTTTGCTGTGTCTGAACTACTATGTAAGTCTTCAGCTGAGTATTTGAATAATTATAGTTCTTATTCCCAGAAATTTCACCTTTTTTCAAGTCTATTCATTCTTTCAACAAATATTGTTTATTTTTATGTGACTTGCAATATACTATTTAAAGGCACAAGTTCCCATCTTTATGTAGTTTACATTTCAGTGGGTGTAAGGGGGAAACATTAATAATACCATAATCAATTAGTATATAGTATGTTTCAAAGTGACAAGTCTAATGTGGGAAAGTCTAATGTAGGATAAGGGATATTAAGAGTTCGAGAGCCAGGGGTGGTCTCTAATTTTATGTAAGGTGGTTAGGATGGGACTCATTGGAGTCACATTTGAACAATGACTTCGAGGAAATGAGAAAGTTAGCAATTGTCAAGAGCTCAGCTGAGGAGAGAGCTGAGCTGCCAGGTGTTGGAGTAGCTGATTAAGACAAGCCACAATGAAAGTAACAGTCAAACCTTTAATCACTTACTGTGATAGTAAAGATTGAGCATCCTTAATCTGAAAATATGAAATCAAAAATGCTCCAAAGTTCGAAATATTCCAAAATCCAGAACTTTTCAAGTGCCAACATGATGCCACAAGTGAAAAATTCTACACCTGACACTTTATTTTTTTCACTTTCTTAACTGTCATTTTTTTTTAACTGTTAGGTACTTATGTGTGAGTAAGTGTAAGAAAATGATTGTTTATTGGTAACACAAACTGAGAGTCAGGAATGATGGTGATGCCACACAGCCATAGATTGTCAACATGGGTGGTTAAGATAGTGACACATTCTCTTTCTGATGGTACAATATGTACAAACTTTGTTTCATGCACAAAATTATTTAAATATAGTATAAAATTACTTTTGGGCTATGTGTATAAGGTGAATGTGAAACATAAATGAAATTTATGTTTAGACTTAGGTACCATCCCCAAGATATCTCATTATATATATGCAAATATTCCAAAATCCAAAAGAAGTCCAGAATCTGAAACACTTCTGGTACCAAGCATCTCAAACAGGGGATACTCAGCCTGTGTAAGCAGGAGGCCAAATCAGAGAAAGCACAGTTACCACCTATTCTGGAATGGCATTGGACATGGTCAAGTGGATCAGCACAAGACATGGGGCTTGTCTCACTGTCTATGAAACCTTGAACAGTGTCCAGCAGTTTTATGGACCTGGGGAATGGAGTAGGACAAAGGGGAGGAGCTAGGAATGAGCACTGAGAGTAGACAAAAAGTGTCTTCACTTTTTGTGAAGTGACCATACCCTTGTTTTAAACTGATCATCCGTGTCCCAGTTCTCAGCTCAGGCTCTACCTGTCTCCCTGATAAAGAGGTCCTGCAGAAGCTCCCAAGGAAGGCCTCTGCCGCAAAGCTCTCATAAAGAGCCTCCAAATGAAGTGCCTGGGCTAGGCATGCAGACATGGGTAAAAGCTTTGGGACAGGGTTGCTTGAATCCTTAAGACTGCAGTGCCCTGGCTGTGCACAGTCAGGTTATATTCCTAAGCATGTCTCATATCTCATTCCATTAATTCCATTTTATGGTTGAATAAAACTGTCTTTAACAAGCTAAGATACTTAGCTATAACAACCAGGTTCTGCTACATTGTCCTCAAGTCATGTAATGATGATCAGGTATCACACATGAGCAGTCTCACTGAAATATATGAAAGGATCAGTCTGGTCAGGAGTTGACTTAATAGCTTACAGACAAGGCTGTTCTTCATTCTTGTTCTTTTAGCTCAATTTCTAGATTCTTTTGTCCAGTCTTCTTTCTGGTACCTTGACTATCTCCTGTTCTTTTAGTTTGGTTTCCAGATCACTCATGTTGAAGTTATTTCGTAAAATTCCGAACTTCCTTCCTACTCTGAACTTTGAATACTACTTTTACTTTTTTACCCTTATTTGACAACCAGATGCTAGATTTAATATATATTCTGACTTACCATTTTTGTGTACTTTGACTTCTGCCTAATTTCCAACGTTCATACCTGATTTTGATTTTTAGTAACTGAATGTACACTTGTTTTAAACCTGATCTGTGTCCCAGTTCTCAGCTCAGGTTTCTTGCTGATTTTTCAACCCTTCTCTGTAAGATCATGACCACATTAAAGTCTCTTTTCTCGCCAGCAGTTCACTTACCGTAGTTCTTCAATTTGCTATCCACTGCTTCTTGAGTGCATAGTGCTGACAAGTGACAACCCATCTTCAAGTTGAAAGTTTACAGCTGTTTAAGCAACCCAATAACTAGAGCAGTGTTAAAAGAGATTTTTTAAAGTTTAAGTGTACTCTGATGGGAATATTAAGATGATTTGTGTATTTATGGTGAAATCTGTTTATTTTTATAAACACATATAATGTATATTTTAGTGTATCCCCTTTTGGCCTGAGGATGCTTCTAGTAAACTTCTTATTCAAGTTGAAGGGAGTGAAGATCCTCCCAAAAGGATATATTTTAACAAGCAAGAAAATTGTATTCTATTGCGTCTGGATAACGAGGTAAGTGGTTTTGTTTGTTTGTTTGTTTGTTTGTTTTTGTGTGTGTGTGGTATGTGTTTTGGGCATATATCATTAGAAAAGCTAAAATATACTGACTGGTATTTTATTTATTTTTTTGTATCAAATAATTACTGCTGTTGATTTTTCCTCTTTCCCCAAAAATGAACAAACATTTCTTTTTGTAAAAGGAAACAGAGATCTAAGATAATTTAATTGTTATATAAAAAGTTAGTTGGAATGCCTGGAATACTAGAATATACCACATCTGGAATGTGATCTGTCTGTAATACAGTGATTGAGATTATAGATTTCCAGAAATGCAATACAAAATTCTGAATTGTTTTCTCAATCATCCCAAAAATTAAATTATCAAGTTATGAGTAGTCTGTTCTTAGATGTTATTAGTTAATATTCTTGGGAAAATGATTATATTAAAAATGTTTTCTTTTTCTTCTAGCTTGGAGGTATTATAGCAGAAGTGAATTTGGCTGAGCATTCTACAGTTATTACATTTTTAGATTATCATGATGGAGCAGCTACATTCCTCTTAATAAATCACACAAAGAATGAACTTGTTCAATACAATCAAAGGTAAGATTATCACAAATACAGTAACTCTTGATGGTGTAAGTCTAGATGATGAGGCATGGTTTTTATGATAATTTCTTAAGAATATAAACACTGATAATAGCATTGTAGCTATATAAAACGATGTTCCATTAAAAAAGGTATTTGAAGTATGTAGGGGTAAAACTGACTTGATGTCTACAGTTTATTTTGAAATGCTTCAAAGAAAGAAAAATGGAAGAGGTGAAGCAAGTGTGGCAAAAGCTTGTTCATTGTTGACTCTGATGAGGACTGTCAGAGTTTGTTGTGAGTCTGAATTTTGTCTATTCAATATAGTATAAATATGTAAAATTTCAGATTTTCTTTTTTCAAACAGTAGGTACCTTCTTGTTGAGGTGTCTGGGGGAAAGGACTGCTTCCTTAAAGGCTATAATTGAATCTTCGTGGTTTAGGACTACTCTTAAACATCATTCATTTTAATTTGCTGTGATATCATATCTTGTTAGTGCTACTACAGCTTATGCAAGTTTCTGATCCTGTACTTAGTAGTTCCAGGTTGTCCTGAATTTAGTTTGTTTGCTTTCTTTCTGTATTTTCACCTGTTACTTTTCAACAAGCACATATTTATCATTGCACTTACACTTTCTTTCCACTGCTAACTGTACAACTTCTTATCATTGATTAAAATCAAACAGACATTGCGTAAAGACCACAGGGCTGGACTAGCAAGTACCTAAAAGTCGTTTTGGGTAGCATTCTCTCATCTATTTAAGATGTTAAGAAAGAGGAATGCCTGTTTTCTTAATTATCCACGTTATAAAAATGATAAATTGTTTCTAACCATGTGTGTGCAAGTGTCTTTTTAGTATAATAACTTCTTTTCCTTTGAGTGGATACCCAGTACTGGGATTGCTGGATCAAATGGTAGTTCTACTTTTAGTTTTTTAAGGAATCTCCATACTGTTTTTCATAGTGGTTGTGCTAGTTTACCTTCCCACCAGCAGTGTGAAAGTGTTCCCTTTTCACCACATCCATGTCAACATCTATTTTTTTTTTTTTTTAATTATGATCATTCTTGCAGGAGTAAGGTGGTATCTCATTGTGGTTTTAATTTGCATTTCCCTCATAATTAGTGATGCTGAGCTTTTTTATATATGTTTGTTGGCCATTTGTGTATCTTCTTTAGAGAATTGTCTATTCATGACCTTAGCCCACTTTTTGATGGGATTATTGTGTGTGTGTGGTTTTTTTTTTTTTTCCTTGCTGATTTGTTTGAGATCCTTATAGATTCTGGATATTAGTCCTTTGTCAGATGCATAGTTTGCAGATATTCTCCCATGCTGTGGGTTGTCTCTTTACTCTGCTGATTATTTTTTTTGCTGTGCAGAAGGTTTTTAGTTTAATTAGGTCCCATGTATTTTTATTTTGTTGCATTTGCTTTTGGGTTCTTGGTCATGAACTCTTTGCCAAAGCCAATGTGTAGAAGAGTTTTTCCAAAATTATCTTCTGGAATTTTTATGGTTTCAGGTCCTACATTTAAGTCTTTGATCCATCTTGAGTTGATTTTTGTATAAGGTGAGAGATGAGAATCCAATTTTATTCTTCTACATGTGGCTTGCCCACGATCCTAGCACTTGATGATCTCCCAGAGTAGGAGATAGTCAAGGTACCAGAAAGAAGACTGGACAAAAGAATCTGGAAACAAAAGAACTAAAAGAACAAGAATGAAGAACGAGCCTTGTCTGTAAACTATTAAGTCAACTCTATCTTAGGCCCTGACCAGACTGGTCCCTTCACATCTAGTCCCTTCACTATAATAGGGTGTCCTTTCCCTACTTTGTGTTTTTGTTTGTTTTTTTGAAGATAATTGGCTCTAAGTATTTAACTTTATTTCTGGTTTCTCTATTCTGTTCCGTTGGTCTACATGCCTGTTTTTATAGCAGTACCATGCTGTTTTGGTGACTATAGGCATTGTAGTATACTTTGAAGTCGTATAATGTGATGCCCCCAGGTTTGTCCTTTTTGCTTAGTACTGCTTTGGTTATGAGGGCTCCTTTTATGGTTCCATATCAATTTTAGGATTTTTTTTCTAGTTCTGTGAAGAATGATGATGGTATTTTGATGGGAATTGCATTGAATCTGTAGATTGCTTATGGCAGTATGGTCATTTTCACAATATTGAGTCTACCCCTCCATGAGCATGAGATGTGTTTCCATTTGTTTGTTAAACTTTAACTTTTAAATAAATATTCCCTTCTTATGTAATCTCCGCTGTCATTATCCTAGTTCAGTAACCCTCCATTTCTTATGTATTTGAGTAGATTTTTTGTGTATTGTTTTGTTTTGTTTTATTTGAGTAGAGTTTTGTGTTTTGTTTTGTTTTGAGACACTGTCTCAGTCTGTTGCCCAGGCTGGAGTGCAGTGGTGTGATCCAGGCTCACTGGAACCTCCACCTTCTGGCTCAACTGATTTTCGTGCCTCAGCCTCCCAAGTAGCTGGGTTTACACGCATGTGCCACCATACCCAGCTATATTTGAGTAGATTTTTGATCTATCTCTATATATCTAGTCTTATCTCTAGTAAATCTCCCACTTTCTACTAGAATGAATTTTCTAAAATAAGAAATATAATCATATCTCTCTTTCAAATTTTTCTTTTTTTACCCATTTCTTTAAAAATATACTTCTAGGCTGCCTTTCTAAAAATTTGTCTTTCTGTGGCCTAAATCTTACCCTATACAAAGTGAAGTTTTTGTTTCCTCAGTGCTCTAGGTCTTTCCGTAGGTTTTTACCTGAATAGGTGTTTCTTTCAGCTAGAAAAATGCCATTCTGTAATTATTTAAAAGTCAAGAAACAACAGATGATGGCAAGGCTGTGGAGAAATAGGAACGCTTTTACACTGTTGCTGGAAATGTAAATTAGTTCAACCATTGTGGACGACAGTGTGGTGATTCCTTAAAGACCTAGAATCCGAAATACCATTTGACCCAGCAGTCAGTCCCATTACTGGGTATGTACTCAAAGGAATAGAAATCATTCTCTTATAAAGATAGATGCACGCACATGTTCCTTGCAGCACTATTCACAATAGCAAAGACATAGAATCAACCCAAATGCCCATCACTGATAGACTGGATAAGGAAAATGTTGTACATATACACCATGGATACTATGCAGCCATAAAAAGGAACGAGATTATTCCTTTGCAGGGATATGGATGGAGCTAGAAGCCATTATCCTCAGCAACAAGAACAGAAAACCATTCCCACTTATAAGTGGGAGCTGAACAATGAGAACACATGGACACAGGGAGGGGAACAACACACACTGGGGCCTGTTGGGGTCACGGCAGGAGGGAGAGCATCAGGATAAATAGCTAATGCGTGTGGGGCTTAATACCTAGGTGATGGGTTGGTAGGTGCAGCAAACCACCATGGAATACATTTACCCATGTAACAAGCCTGCACGTTCTGTGCGCGTATTCTGGAACTTAAAAAAAAAAAAAAAAAACGAAAAATGCCATTCTATGTGATCCCTTCCCTTGCCACCTCAATCTAAGTACCCCAGTTTTTGATAGCACCTTTACATATGTAGATTACAGCATTCATCACATTGTGTTATTTTCTTGTGAGTTTGAGATGTGTACACACAGATAGTTAATAGTCTACTAAACTATGGTTAGTTTCCCTTTTCTTGGAATTTTCATTGCCTGTCCTAGATAGCCCAGTACATTTTTGCATAAGGAATACTCTGCAATGAATTAAACAGATTAAAATTTGTGTGAATTAAAAGCAGTTTTAAGTATTTTTAAACCAAATTTATTTGCTAATCAACACATTTACATTTGATTTTTTTTTTCATGGAGAAATGAAGACTGTGATTTTGTTTTCTCCTCCACATTTCTGTCTCTTGGCTTTTTAAAAAATATAGATATTATTTCCTGCATATAAAGGTAATAGTTGTTAAATTACTATTTTAAAAAATACTAGAGAAAAAAATGTGAAAGAGGACCATTTAATCCCTGAAATCCTAATACTGTCAACATTTTGGTTCATTCCTTTTCCTCTCCTTTCCTTCCTCCTTTGTTCTCTCCCTCCCTCCCTTTCTTCCTTCCTTATGTATCTCTCATATTTGACAGCTATTGTGAGCATATAAATTTGTTTCAAAGCACAATTTTTTTTTCTTTCTAACTTTTATTATAGGTTCAGGGGATATATGTGCAGGTTTGTTACGTGGGTAAATTGCATGTCACGGGGTTTTGGTATACAGATTGTTTCGTTACCCAGGTAATAAGCATGGTACCCAATAGGTAGTTTTTCGATTCTCAGCCTCCTTTTACTCTCCACCCTCAAGTAGGCTGCAAAGCATGATTTTTACTGAATGAATGATATTCCATCATTTAGATGCTCTTCAGTTAAATAATACTTAATTGTTCAGAATTTTTATTTCAACTTTTATAATTTTAGAATCAGTTTATCTTCTTTTTTTGTTTGTTTGTTTTCTGAGATGGAATTTTGCCCTTTCGCCCAGTCTGGAGTGCAGAGGTGCGATCTCAGCTCACTGAAACCTCTGCCTCCCAGGTTTGAGCAATTCTACTGCCTCAGCCTCCTAAGTAGCTGGGATTACAGGTGTGCGCCACTGTGCCTGGCTAATTTTCGTATTTATAGTAGAGACAGGGTTTCGCCGTGTTGGCTGGCTGGCCTCGAACACCTGACCTCAGATGATCCGCCTGCCGCGACCTCCCAAAGTGCTGGGATTACAGGCATGAGCCACCGTGCCCAGCTCAGTTTATCTTCTAATAATGATCTTCAACCCATTTGTAATCATTGTAAAAACTAATTTATAATTCCTTACCATATTTTTTGTAGTATATTTTCTTCTAATGATTTTTTTGAAAATACGTATTCTGTTTCAGTTATGGATAATTCCTTTTTTGTTATTGAAGGTTTTGATACATTTAAAATCAATTTTAAGATTGAAACAGTATCTGCTAGCTTAGCCATAAAAAATTGTAATGCTTTTTTACCTTTTCTTCAACCTCTTTCCAAATTCTTACTTTCTTGTGAATGTAATTTGGAATTTTTTCAACCAGATTAATATAAAATGGTTAGCTTTTCAAAATATGTATTATTTGATTCAAGGCCCTTTTGGTATTTGCATTGATTTTTATGTTTTAACAATAAAAGACTTTCTTAAACTGGTTTAGTTGTTCACTATGGGTTCTTCAATATTTCTATATCCTAGTTGTTAAAATGTTATTTTGAGTTTGTCTCTAGCTTGGTTGGAAAAAGTCTTGAGTTTTTTTTTTTTAGTAAAGATTTGTGGGTAGTGTTATGCTATTGCTTGTTTGAAATGTCTTATTCTTACAAATTTATGACAATTTGACATAAAATTTTAAGTGATAACATTTTTCTCAAAATTGTGTAGATAGTGTGCCATTGTTTTTTGACATTAAACGTCATTGAACTGTGAGAGGAGCATTTTTATTTTCTTGCGAGTGACTGTGATTTTCTTAGATATGTGTTAGGGTTTTTTTCCCCCCATTTTCTTACAAATATATGTCTAGAATGATACTGTTTTCTTTAATGTCTGATACCCAGTGAAGTCTTTTTTTTTTTTTTCTGAGACGGAGTCTCACTCTGTTGCCCAGGCTGGAGTGCAGTGGCGCCATCTCGGCTCACTGCAAGCTCTGCCTTCTGGTTTCACACCATTCTCCTGCCTCAGCCTCCCAAGTAGCTGGGACTACAGGTGCCCGCCACCACGCCCGGCTAATTTTTTCTATTTTTAGTAGAGACGGGGTTTCACCGTGTTAGCCAGGATGGTCTCGATCTCCTGACCTTGTGATCTGCCCGCCTCAGCCTCCCAAAATGGTGGGATTACAGGCATGAGCCACCGCGCCTGGCCCAGTGAAGTCTTTTAATCTGCAGATTTAATTCCTTCTTCTGCTCAGAAGAGCTGTATTTTATTACTTGTTTGGTGTATAACTTTTGTAATTTTTTTTCTTTCTGAGCATCTTTTTTGAGTCAGTTGAATTTCTTAGATGTATATTTCACGTTTTGTGATTTTAAAGACTAATTTAGTTACTTTGTTTTTGCTCTAGTAAGACTTAGGAAAGAGTTACCAATTAAATTCTCTTAGAATTGGTATAAATAGAGTAAAGTAGTTGGAAATAATTTTCCGTAATTAATTGGTATTAAAAAATTGACAAAACAGTTTTAAAGACTTGAAGACCTTTATTTCGTAAGTAGAACATGTATTTTCTAAGTGGGAAAATAATGAGAAATATTCATTAGTGAACCCTTTTTTACTTGTATAAGGTAAAAATTTCAGCCTTGTTTTAATCAAAACTATCACAGATCTCAATTAGTGAACTAAGAATTAATGAAGTATTATTTTAGGTTTTTAAAAATCTATTAATGTACTTGCATTTAATTTAATGCATATTTTTGCGACTTATGTCAGTTCTCTCAGTGAAATAGAAGATTCCCTCCCTCCTGGAAAAGCAGTGTTTTATACATGGGCTGATCCAGTGGGCTCTAGAAGGCTGAAGTGGAGATGTAGAAAAAGCCATGGTGAAGTAACACAAAAGGATGTAAGTATTGGGTTATTATGGGTTTCCAGCAGCCTTTTTTAAAAAAGGTATTTGGGCTGGGCGTGGTGGCTCACGCCTGTAATCCCAGCACTTTGGGGAGGCTGAGGTGAACCATGAGTTCGAGATCAGCCTGGCCAATATGGTGAAACCCTGTCTCTCCTAAAAATACAAAAATTAACTTTGGGAGGCCAAGGCAAGCAGATCACCAGGTCAGGAGTTTGTGACCAGCCTGGCCAACATGGTAAAACCCCATCCCTACTAAAAATACAAAAATTAACCGGGTATGGTGGCAGGTGTCTGTAGTCCAAACTACTAAGGAGGCTGAGGCAGAAGAATCAGTTGAACCCTGGAGGCGGAGGTTGCAGTGAGCCAAGGTTGCACCACTGCACTCCAGCCTGGTGACAGAGCGAGACTCCATCTCAAAAAAAAAAAAAAAAAAAAAGGTATTTGATTTTCAGCCTTTCTAGTTTTAAGGACTGTTTGTGGCCACACTTCTAAAAAGCTGCCAAAAATCTTCAAAATAGTATTTAAGTATTGACTTAACCAAAAATGTTTCAAAACAGAAATAGTCTTATTTTGTTTACATCATTTGCTTCTACTGTGTTATAAAGAGTAAAGTTGTGTTTAGAGAAGTGCTTTCAGCATTCACCTGAAAAGCAAATACGTTCTCTGCCTTGACAATCATACTAGGTAGATTTAGCTTCTAGAAGGAACATTTAAGGATCCACTGAGTGAACTAAAACAAATTTATTTCTGGGTGGCAAGCTATGATGATCATGTTATGCGCATCTATTTTCCAGTAACATTTTAAATACTTCCAGAACATTTTTTAAGTTTTTTGTCCTTCAAAATTCATCTTAATTTGACTCCTGATTTTTTTTTTTTTCTCACCACTAATGATTTTTTCTTCCTGCCTATCAGTAGGTGGTATTTTCTCATTGTCTTTCAGTGCTGCTGTTGAGGAGTCTGGTGTGGGTGTTGTTTACATTGTATTTAAGAGGATTGCCTATAAGTGGCCTAACTTTAGGTTTTAAAAATTCATGACTATTAGATTTATTCAGGAAAAAAAATTGTACTTTGATATAAAAATAGTCTTATTCATTTCATCTATTGATTAGTACTTTGCATATTTATATCATAGTGATAGTTTCAAGCTTATAAAGATAAATCAGACATTCACTGTAAAATACTAGAAAGACTAGTGAAATAAGTTAGTTTTCTTGATTCTCAGTGTGGTTTTAGTGATATACGTATATATACTTAGAAAGTATTATAACTAACGTAAGTACACCTAGATAATTATTTTATGGTAACAACTCACAGTTTTTAATTTCTGTATATTGTAATGTGAATGTATGCTATACAGTAAAATTTTCTGAAAATCAGAATATTAACTAGAAATTAATGGCTGAATATTAATTATGACAATTTGCTATGTTTATCGTGTCATTGACCCTCAAAACCCTGATATCAGCACATTTATGTGAGATTCCTGCAGAAATAACCTCATGATGAATATACATGCTTTGTAGAATATGCAATTGAGAAATAAGATTTTTTTTATCCTGTTTGATTCAGCTATGAAAGGAAATGTGAATTTCAGACTGAAACAACTTTTAATACATATCTGTATTCTTAGTCTTAGAATTGCTGTAGTCTTAGAATAAAGCAGAAAAAAATACTTTGTGTTACTGATTAGCCTACACGGGAAGATTCAATTTTATTAAAATGTTTAAATTTAAAAAATAAACAGCTGGCCTGTTTTATGAGTAATAACTTTATATCAGATAACATCAAATGATTTCAGTAATGTAAATTTGCAAGTATTCTACAAATATTAATTCACTTAGTTGCCACTAACCCCATGAAGTAGGTGCCATTAATAGTCTCATTTTATAAATGTAAAATCTAAATTTCATGTTCTTTGGGACCAAATTCTAATTTTTTGTTTTTGTTTTTGTTTTTTGGTGGTTTTGTTCTAGGATATGATGATGCCTATAGATTTGGGGAAAAAGACTATTTATTTAGTTTCATTCTTTGAAGGTTTACAACGCATTATTTTATTCACTGAAGATCCAAAGGTATTTAAAGTAACATATGAAAGTGAGAAAGCAGAGTTAGCAGAGCAAGAAATTGCAGTGGCATTACAAGATGTTGGAATTTCTCTTGTCAACAATTACACGAAGCAAGAAGTAGCCTATATAGGCATCACAAGGTTAGATGCATTAAATTTTGGATACATTTAAATGATCAGTTTCTAATTGTTAAGAAATTGTTGTTGTAAAATCTTTTTTTTTTAATTGTTATTTTTTTTATTATTATACTTTAAGTTCTAGGGTACATGAGCATAACGTGCAGGTTTGTTACATATGTATATTTGTGCCATGTTGGTGTGCTGCACCCATCAACTGTTGTTGTAAAATCTAAAATGATTTAGTTTCAGTTTTGTGCTTTGACTATTCATTGACACTGTGGTAATGCTAATTTTAACTGTGCTTGAGGGAATGTTTTGCCTTTTGAAATAAAGATATGGCAGAAATCAAATTTGTAAACTCCTTATATTAATCCTTCCACTTATCTAAAAAGTTATATTTATTCAACTTACCAAAAGTATGTTTTGCATATCATACAAAATGCTTAGTTCATTTTCCATTACCATCCAGCACAGTTCAGGGTACATATGCTGTAGCTTTTGAAGGATTAACATAAAGACAATCACTTTCTAATTTGACCTTGGCACTTTAAGATCTAATAAGATCTAATAATAATCACTGTATTTATCATATCTCATATAAGACATCACCATTAAATCTTTTGTCTCTCCCTTATGTCCTTATTATTCCTATTCATAAACAGTTAAGTTTAAATTAATTTACATATATTAATAAGTGCTTAATGTGAGAATATTTCTTCTATATAACCAGGATAATGTAATTTTAATCCTTTACTTGAGTTAAATTCTTGAATATATATAAACGTATATGATACAGATGTAAATTTAGTTTTCTGTGTACATTAATCTATATGTGCCTCTGACCTCTTATTGAATCTAATCAATGCCATCTTAAAAGGAATATTAAAATCTATTTTCTTAAGGATTTTTCTTCTCAAAAAATGTTTTTACTATTTAAATAGATAAAATACACCATAGATTTTTAAGACCTTTAGACCTATTATGTGTTATCTTCTAAGCTAAGTGATGTTAATGCAAAGATGAATAATACGTGGTCTCTACCTTTCTATTTATTAAATGAATATAAGTTCTATAAGGAATAAACAAATAGAATGCTTAAATAAAATTAAACAACTTAAATATTTAAACAGAATAAAGTCTATAGGCCTTTCAGCATTTTAATTTCAGTACAACTAGATTTCTTCCATTCACACTCTGTATCCTAAATAACTATTTTATACTTTGTCTCCCCTCAAACCGCCATTCTCTCAGCTTACTACCTTGCATCCCACTTCACTGAAAAAATTGAAGCAGTCAAAAGCAAACATCCAGAGACCCATCTCACCCCCTAGTATCACAGCTTGCTATCTACTGGCATTTGCATACTACTTGCTGTACTGACATACTCCCAACAGTTTGCAGTAGATATATGTGCTCCCGTTTAAACAGATTTTTCTCTACTTTTGCACTGTACTTCATTTCCTCCTACCTACCTGAGGACATTGTTCCAGCAGGCCTTTTCTTCATCTCTCCTAAGTCAACAGCTTTTGGCTCTCTACTGAATTGTTTCAGTGTTACTTCTCTCAACATAAAAAATTCTCTTGAACCTACTTTCCTGCTTAAGCGTGTGCCTCTTCTTTTTTTTTTTTTTTTTAATTTATTTATTATTATTATACTTTAAGTGTAGGGTACATGTGGCATAACGTGCAGGTTTGTTACATATGTATACTTGTGCCATGTTGCTTGCTGACCCCATCAACTCGTCAATTACATCAGGTATAAACTCCCAATGCAGTCCCTCCCCCTCCCCCCTCCCCCCATGAGAGGCCCCGGTGTGTGATGTTCCCTTCCTGAGTCAAGATTTCTCATTGTTCAGTTCCCACCTATGAGTGAGAACATGCGGTGTTTGGGTTTTCTTTCTTGTGATAGTTTGCTAAGAATGATGGTTTCCAGCTGCATCCATGCTCCTACAAAGGACACAAACTCATCCTTTTTTATGGCTGCATAGTATTCCATGGTGTATATGTGCCACATTTTTCTTAATCCAATCTGTCACTGATGGACATTGGGTTGATTCCAAGTTTGCTATTGTGAATAGTGCTGCAATAAACATACGTGTGCATGTGTCTTTATAGCAGCCAATTTATAATCCTTTGGGGTATATACCCAGTAAATGGGATGGCTGGGTCATATGGTACATCTACTTCTAGATCCTTGAGGAATCGCCATACTGTTTTCCATAATGGTTGAACTAGTTACAATCCCACCACAAGTGTAAAAGTGTCCTATTCTCCACATCCTCTCCAGCACCTGTTGTTCCTGACTTTTTCATGATCGCCACATCGTACTTACTCCAAATGCCCAGTAATTGGAAGTAAAGCACTCCTCAGCAAATGTACAAGAACAGAAATTATAACAAACTGTCTCTCAGACCACAGTGCAATCAAATTAGAACTGTTGCTCATTTCTTTGTTTGCATTTATAACCAAACTCCTCAAATGTACTGTCTGTTTCAAAGGAACTTAACATATCCTGTGTTCTCCAATTCTTTTTCATCCATTTTCCTCTTTAACCACTCCAAACAGGATTTTGCTTTCAAAACACCATGAAACTGGTTTTGTCAGCATTATCAGTGACCTCCGTAATGCCATATCCAGTGTAGAATTATCGGTCTTTACTTCATAACATTTAACACAGATCCCTCCTTGATGTAGTGTCTTTCACTTGACTTCCAGAATACCTCACTGTCTTGGTTTTTCTTCCTATCCAGTCTCATTCATTGGTTCCTTGTCTTCCCTCAACTGCTTACATTGGCCAAATGCCTTGAGGCTCTTAGACCTGGTCTTTTTCTCTTGTGGATTTCAGTTTTATGATTTCAAATACTGCCCAGAATATCTCTCTTATGTATGTCTTCTGTCACCTGTCATCTGACCTTGAGACTTCGTATATCCAACTGTGCATGCAAAATCTCTGTTCAGATATTTAAGAGGCTTCTTAAACTTCATATGTATATACCAAACTTTTTATTTTCTCCTTCTACCAAAACCTGCTTTCCAATCAGAGTTAATCAAAAATAGTTCCTTCTAGTTATGCAGCCCAAAAATATTGAAATTGTCTTTGATTCCTCTCTTTATCTTGCACCCCAGACCTAGTTCATCAAGAAGTTCTGTGCTAGTTCTACCTTCAAAGGGCACATAGATGTGACCACTTTTCTAATATCTCACTGTCAGTAGCCTCATCAGGGCCATCACCATTTTTCATCTGGTTTACTGTAGTAAACTAACAAGTTTTCCCGCTTCTAGTCTTGACTCCACTCTTTTTTTTCCATCCACTTCAACACAGAGTATATTCTTAGCAAAATGTAAGTCAGATTATGTTGCTAGTTGTCTTATAACCGATCAGTGGTATCTCATATCACTCAGAATAAAACTCAGAGTCTTTCCAGTGGTCTACAAGGCCTTACGTTATTTGCTCCCCCACTGTAAGTCTTACTTTATTTTCTATTCCTAATGCGTTTCTGACATGCCAGCCTCCTTGCTCTTCTTCATATACTGCAAGTGTGCCTCCTGCTTAAGGTTCTTTGCTTTAGCAGGCCTCTCTACCTGAAGTGTTTTCCTCCTCTTGTCTGCTGGATAATTCTCTCAGCTCTTTTAAGGTTGCCAAAATCTCACTTTCTCAGTGAGTCCCCCGTTGGCCACTCTGTTGTAATATTGCAGACCCCACCACTTTACATATTCCAGTTCTCCAGATCCCCCTTGCCCTGTCTACATTTTCTTCTTTCAAAAGCATTTTCACCTCCTACATATTAAATTTTACTAATTTATTTTGTTCACTATTCATTTTCATTCCCCAATGAAAATGAAGCTCCAGAATGACAGAGATGTTCACTGATACAGACAGCCCTAACCCCTAGAATAGTGCCTGAGTAGTAGCTTAATAGGTAGTAGTTGAATGAATTCATGTTTTTAAATTTGTAACATGCTCACTTGTAACTGAGGCTATTGTAAAATTTTACTGAAGGTATTGTAATTCATGTAATACACCAGTTAAAATAAATATGTTAATAAGTTAGTATTAAATACTATGATCTTTGCTTTCTTATATAAGTTCTGATGTGGTTTGGGAGACAAAGCCCAAGAAGAAGGCAAGGTGGAAGCCAATGAGTGTAAAGCACACTGAGAAGTTAGAGAGAGAATTTAAGGAATATACTGAATCTTCACCTTCAGAAGATAAGGTTATTGAGTTGGACACTAACATTCCGGTAATATTTTTAAGTACTGATGTGAAGTTTTAATTTTGTATCTGTTGTAGTTTGGTGAATCACTAGTGAAATGTAAGGGAAGTTTGGCTTCCTTATAAAACAAAATAATCAATCATGTCATACATACCTTGTATAAAATGTTTTAAAGAGGTGGTTATCTATATTAAGAAATCAGGCTGGGTGCAGTGGCTCATACCTGTAATCCCAGCATTTTGGGAGACCAAGGAAGGCAGATTACTTGAGGTCAGGAGTTCAAGACCAGCCTTGCCAACATGGCAAACCCTGTCTCTACTAAAAATACAAAAATCAGCCAGGCATGGTGGCAGGCACCTGTAATCCCAGCTACTCAGGAGGCTGAGGCATGAGAATCCCTTGAACCCGGGAGGCGGAGGTTGCAGTGAACCGAGATGGCCCCACTGCGCTCCAGCCTGGGTGACACAGCAAGACTCTGTCTCAAAAAAAAAAAAAGAAAAGAAAACATTCTTTTAAGATGCTAGATGCTAATGGTCTGCTCTTTGGGTTAGCAGGAAACTTAAAAATGTTTTGTTTTTTCAATGTACTTTCTTTATTTTATTTTTCCTTTATTCATTTTTATTGTGTAAATTTTAGTACATTTATGTAAAAAGTGATACAGCGAAGCATTGTAAGAATTATATGAATATGTGAATTTTATGGACATGGGTTATTAAGATCTAAATCTAAACCAATACAAAGATTTAGCTTACTGTGAGTTTTTGGTATGAATTTCTAATTGTAGTCATTTATAGATAAATTAATGTTTTCACTTGGGGGGATATATTTTTCAGGTTCGCTTAACACCTACTGGTCATAACATGAAAATTCTGCAGCCGCGTGTAATAGCTCTACGAAGAAATTATCTTCCAGCATTAAAAGTGGAATATAACACATCCGCACATCAATCATCATTTAGAATTCAAATCTACAGAATACAGGCAAGTCTTTCTGGAAATATAGGCAAAATTGTATTCTAAAGGAACACAATAAGAAACCAGATCTGTTCCCACAGTCTGCTTTATCTAGTATTCAGTTTCAGTGTTGTGCTAGACTTTTTTTTTTTGAGACCGTCTCCCTCTGTCGCCCAGGCTAGAGTGCAGTGGCAGAATCTCAGCTCACTGCAAACTCTGCCTGCCAGGTTCAAGCAGTTCTCCTGCCTCAGCCTCCTGAGTAGCTGGGATTACAGGTGTGCACCACCACGGCTGCCTAATTTTTGTATTTTTAGTAGAGATGGGGTTTCACCATGTGGGCCAGGCTGGTCTCAAACTCCTGACCCCAGATGATCCACCCGCCTTGGCCTCCCGAAGTGCTGGAATTAAAGGCATGAGCCACCGCGCTTGGCCAGGGCTAGGTAGACTTTGTGATTCTTTTTATTTTTTAAATCCTGTTATTCTGGTCAGGTTGTATAATTGACATATTAATATACTGACATGTTTTTATTTTCTTAGATCCAAAATCAGATACATGGTGCTGTATTTCCCTTTGTGTTTTATCCTGTTAAACCTCCAAAGTCGGTCACCATGGATTCAGGTTTGTTTTTATTTTTAGATTTCCATAAAAGCAGTTGTATTAGCTGTTTGATTTACTTTACTGTAAAAATATGAAGTGAAACCATTCTTGGGTTTAATTTTTATAGGATCATTGGAAAATTAAACTGCTTGAAAAAGGACCAGCAAGTACTGTACACAACTAACTTTGATAAGATTTTGAGTAAATCTTGAAGAAAAGATTCATTAGAAACATATATTGAAATTTTTAGAAACATTAATTTAAAAAGCAGATAATCTGTAAACCTGTGATGTAAAATCCTTTAAAACCTTTGAATGAACAATAAGGAAGTTCAAATCTAGAGTGTTTTCTAACAGCAGAAACTGTCCTATGTTCTCCAAATAAGAATAACTGACAAGTCCTTTCTGCCCTTTTCTTTCCCTTTGCCTTTCTTCTTTCCTGCATATCCCTCTTCCCCCTACTTTCTCTTCCCTCCTCACCACCCTACTTAACTTTCTTCTCCCCTTGCTTTCCTACCTCCACCCCACACCACTACCTCTAAAGTATCTCATGGGGAATACTCTTTATAACTCGCTCAAAAGCTTTTTGGCCAGTATAATGCCTAAGCCCTTCCACCTAGAGGTCAGGAGCAAGTCCCCAGAATCTGTTTTCACAGTTTCCCTGGTGATTCTAATGTATACTTCTAAACCGCTAATTGTAGAATTAGTTATCTTCAGAGTGACTATAGATAGTTTTAAAAACAATGCTGGAGTCTGAAATTAAGATTGTAATAGATCTTGCCAATATCAGTAATTTTAACTGATATTTATTATTTAGTAAATGATTTTCCATTGTGGTGTATATTGGAAGAAAATGCCTACTTTTTACTTAAAGCATCATGGGAGTAATTATGTTTATAACCTTTACAGCACCAAAGCCCTTTACAGATGTCAGTATTGTCATGAGATCTGCAGGACATTCCCAGATATCACGTATTAAGTAAGTGTCTTAATACATTTCTTGTATATTTATTTAATGTTTGATTTAAATATATGAATTGTTTATACTCTTTAAATGTTAGACAAGTCAAAGATTTAAGCATATTAATTATAAAGGTCAAATAAAAAAATCTATTATAATGTTGTGGCTCACGCCTGTAATCCCAGCACTTTGGGAGACCTAGACGGGCGGATCACTTGAGGTCAGGAGTTCGAGACCAGCCTGGCCAACACAGTGAAACCCCATCTCTACTAGAAATACAAAAATTAGCCAGGTGTGGTGGCACGTGCCTGGAGTCCCAACTACTCAGGAGGCTGAGGCACAAGAATCGCTTGAACTCAGGAGGCAGATGTTGCAGTGAGCTGAGATCGTACCACTGCACTCCAGCCTGGGTGACAGAACGAGACTGTCTCAAAAAAAAAAAAAAGGAGGGGGGGGCTCTGGATGAAATACATCTAGGTATTTCCAGTCGTCGTTTCTGGATTTTGAATATTTATTCTCTTGTATATGTATTTGTTTTTGTTTGCGGTTGTCTATAATCATATATTGTTTTGAAAAAGGAAAACAATAATATTTTCATCTTCACTCACTACCCATTCCAAGAAATGGAGGATGGACTGAAACATCTATGTAATAATGTCTATCTAGTTTCCCCTTCCTTATCATCAAGATAAACTCTATTTCCTTGCTGTTTAAAATATAGTTTTATTGTGCATGTGTACCTAAACATTATGCCTTTTAGTTTTAATTTTTTAATTTTCAGAAAATTGTTTCAGACTGGAAATAAATGTTGGAACTTGCTTTTGTTCATTCAACATTTTTATTAAAATTTATTCATTTTGTTGTATGTAGCCATAGTTTATTCATTATCACTAATGTGTAATATTCTGTTTTATGACTCCGTATGGCAGTTTACTTATCCATTTCCTCTTTATGGCCATTTTCATATTTTGACTTTGTTGCTATTATTAACAGTGTTCCATGATTTTTTAAAATTTAGTCAACTAAGTAGGCCTAAGTTTCAGAGTTGTAATATTGATCTCATACTTTTTTCTCATCTAATTTTTGTAATACAGTTGTTAATTAATGATTTTTAAAACATCTTTTCTTCTTTGTAATATAGGTATTTCAAAGTATTGATTCAAGAAATGGATCTCAGGTTAGATCTTGGGTTTATCTATGCTTTAACAGACCTTATGACAGAAGCTGAGGTAACTGAAAATACAGAGGTAAGACTTAAAATAATAACATTTGATGGAAAGGATTAGGGAAGGAGAACTTTAAAAAAGATTATTATAAATTTTTAAAGACATTAAAATGATTTTGTCCCATTTAAAAAATACAGTTAAACAAATTTTATTACTCTCTTGTGGTACATACCTTTTTAGAAATCTTATTTTCTGATGACAGAAAATCAGCAAACAGAAGGAAAGGCTTGGGGTGAATACCAGGTAGAAAAGGATAATTTATTATGTTCACATCACTTTTTTCCTCTTTTATTTTCCTGGATTACTTTGGCTTTGCTTTCACTTTCATTAATAATTTAGAAATTTAGGGTATGTCCAGGATATTTAATGAGCGAAAGGATAGGAAAATTAAAAGGTGGTATCATCTTGGTGACTGGAAGACCATAAAATCATAGTTATAAAGTAGGTCAGATATAGTCTCTTTTTTACTTGCCCTCATAGATTCATGGGTGGAGAAAGAGCAAATTAATAAGAGTTTATTGAGGTGTAGATCACGTACCATACATTTCACCCATTTAAAGGATAGGGTTCAATGACTTTTAATATATTCACAAAGTTGTACAATCATCATCACTAATTACGGAACATTTTCATCATCCCCAAAAGTAACTGCCTATGCAGCCACTGATACACTTTGTGTCTGTAGGTTTGCCTGTTCTGAATATTTCATACAAATAGAGTCATACACTGTGTAGTCTTTTGTGAAGGGCTTCTTTGACTCAGCATAATACTTTCGAGGTTCACCTATGTTGTAGCATATATCAGTACTTCATTCCTTTTTATGGTCAAGTGATACTCCGTTATATCACTTTTTTTATATCAAAAAGTGGATGGGCCACTTTTTGTTTATCCATTTATCTGTTAATGGACATTTGGGTTGTTTGTTTACACATTTTGGCTATTATGGATAATGTAATGAATACTTGTGTACATGTTTTTATTGGACAAAAACTCTATTTAAAGTCTTAAATGAAACTTTATTTAAACTTAATCACCATGTGATTAAGCAATTCCACTCCTAGGTATATAGCCAAAAGAAATAAAATTTATTAGGAGTGGAATTGCTCAATCACATAGTAACCTTATATTTAATCATTTGGGACTGTTAGACAGTTGTGTAAAGTGCCTCTACCATTTTACATTCTTACCAGAGCGTATAAGGGGTCTGATTTTTCCATATTATCTCCAACACTTGTTATTATCTGTCTTTGATTCTAGCAATCATAGTGGGTGAATGTGAAATAGTTTTTCACTGTGGTTTTGACATGTAATTACCTGATGACTAATGAAGTTGAGCATCTTTGATATGTTGATTATCTTTAATATGGTGATTAGTTAATTTGCATATCTTCTGTGGAGAAATGTCCATTCAGATCCTTTGCTTATTATTTAATGGGTTGTCTTTTTTATTATAAAAGTTCTTTGTATATTCTCGATACAGATCTCTTATCAGATATATAATTTTCAAATATTTTTTCTCATTCTGTGTGTTGCTTTTTCACTTTCTTGATGTTGTCTATTGAGGACCAAAAGTTAAAGTTAATGGAGTTCAAATTATTTTTTCTTTTGTTGCTCATGCTTTTGGTGTCGTTTCTAAGAATCCTTAGCTAAATCCAAGGTCAGGAATATTTAGTCTTAACGTTTTAAGAGTTTTAAAGATCTAGCTCTTATGATTAGGTCTTTGATCAATTTTGAGCTCATTTTTGTATATGATGTCTAAGGATCCGAATTATTCTTTGGCATGTCGCTATCCAGTTGTCCTATTACCATTTCTTTAAAAGACTATTTGTTCTTTGAATGGTCTTGACACCCTAGTTGAAAATCAGTTAAGAATACACACATGATTTTATTCCATCGATCTATGCATCTGTCCTTGTGCACTGCACACTGTCTTAGTTATCGTTTTGTATTAAGTTTTGAAATTGGGACATATGAATCTTCCTACTTTGTCCTTCTTTTTCAAGATGGGTTTGGCTCTTCTGAGTCCTTTGGAATATCATATGAATTTTAGAATCAACTTGTCAGGTTCTTCAAAGAAGTCAGCTGGACATCTGATAGAGACTGCACTGAATCTGTAAATCGATTTGGGAAGTATTGCCATCCTAACAGTATTAGGTCTTTCAGTCCTTGAACAGGACATGTTTATCCATTTTTGTAGATTTTTAATTTTTTTTGCAGAGTATAAGTTTTACACTTTTTTCGTTAAATTTATTCCTATGTATTATATTCTTCTTATAGTATTATGAATAAAATTGATTTTTTAATTCCATTTTTGGATTGTTCATTGCTACTGTATAAAAATACAGTTTTTTTTTATATTGATCTTGTATTTTGCAACCATACTGAATTGTTAGCTCTAATTGTTGTTCCGTATATTCTTTTGGGATTTCTATACGTAAGATCATGTCATCTGAGAGGAGAGGTAGTTTTACTTCATTCTTTCTGATCTGAATGCCTTTGTTTCTTCTTCTTCGGTAGTTGTTGTGGCTAGAAACTGGTGACACGTTGAACAGAAATGCCAAGAGCAGACATTCTTGTTTTGCCTCTGATCTTAGAGGGTAAATTTTCAGTCTTTCAGTATGATGTTGACCCTGGGTTTTTCTTAGACATCCTTTTTCAGGTTCAGGAAGTTCTTTTCTTAGTTGGTTGAGTGTTTTTTAAATCATGATTATATATTTTGTTGTTCTTTTTTCTGCATCTATGGAGATGATTGTACAATTTTTGGGTTTTCTATTGATATGTTTTATTACATTAATTGATTTTTTTTTTTTTTTTTTTTTTTTTTTTGAGACCTAGTCTCGCTCTATTGCCCAGGCTGGAGTACAGTGCTGCAAAAGCAATCTCAGCTCACTACAACCTCCGCCTCCTGGGTTCATGCAATTCTCGTTTTTCAGCCTCCCAAGTAGCTGGGATTACAGGCATGTGCCACCATGCCCAGCTAATTTTTGTAATTTTAGTAGAGACAGGGTTTCACCATGTTTCTGTGTTTTTCATTCTGACTCCAGGAAAACCCCTTCCATTTGTCACTTTCTCTGATTTTCTTCTGCAAACTAGTAGGTCTACAGATTAGCCAGTATCTTCTGTAAATCAATGACTTTCCTTTTAGTTGTCTTTCACCACATCTGCTGTTTCTGAGAGCACCCTTAGGCTCGAACTGCACTCTGTGTTATAAATGAAATTAGTTCCTTTGGGAAGAGATTAATAGTGATCTGTTTTAAAACCTACTTTCCCCATCAGCAAAAACCTCTAACCCAGGCCTCTGAAGCTGGCGGTGGGGACAGTTGTGACACCTTTCTATTTGAGTAACACCCCAGTTTAGGAGCTGAGCACTATGTGTGGTGGGGTAAGAGGAGCAGCGGACTGAGATGATCTCAGCCTGCCTCGGCTAGCATGGAACCAGCACGTTACAGGCCTGGGCAAGGGTGATCAGAACTCTAGTATTCTCAGTGGTTCTGTACCCAAGGCAGAGCTTTTTTACCATGCACAGAGGCTGGACAGAGAAAGGAAGCCCCGCCAGGTGCGGTGGCTCACGCCTGTAATCCCAGCACTTCGGGAGGCCAAGGCAGGCAGATTGCTTGAGGTCAGGAGTTCGAGACCACCCCGGCAACATAGTGAAACCCCATCTCTACTAAAAATACAAAAATTAGCCAGACGTGGTGGCAGGTGCCTGTAATCCCAGCTACTCAGGAGGCTGAGGCAGGAGAATTGCTTGAACCCAGGAGGCTCAAGTTGCAGTGAGCTGAGATTGTGCCACTGCATTTCCAGCCTGGGTGACAGAGCGAAACTCCATCTCAAAACAAAACAAAACAAAACAAACAAACAAAAAACCATAAAGGAAGCCCCCACCTCACAATTGCACTCAACCATAACTTAACCTCAGCAGCAGGTAGCTGGGAACAGGATGAGAAATGCTGACGTCCTGTTCTTCCCAGGAAGAAAATCCTCCAATTGACAACTGGGCCAAAAAGGAGCTCTGTGTTCTTGGGTATAGTAGTCTAGAGTAGAATTCTGGCTCATTAGTCTGGGAGAGGGGACAGAGGGAATGGCCTTTGTTAAAATACCACAGGTTCACTTTTCTTACCAAATTTTTTAGGTTTTCTTAAATAGATGTTTCTTCATTTGCTTATGACCTTGCAACCATTCCTAGAGGCCTTAAATTTGTTGCTGCTGCTGTTGTTGTTGTTGTTTAAATTTTATCAGTTTAGCTGGGGTGCTGGTTTGGAGAGCTTCCCATACTGTCATCTCAGAAATTGATTTCCAAATATACTTTTTATAAGGCTATCGTTTTTATGTTTTTATGAATATGTTAAAATAATCTGGGAGCCCATTTTTCAACACATTGAAGTTACTTCAGTCTGAGCATATAGAGAAGTACTGATGAATATCAATAATGAAACCACTAATCAATTAATACAAAATTATTTTCAACACCTTCTTTATTTTATTATATTACTGGTCTGTGTAGGTTGCATTAAAGCAATTACAAGTAGACTACAAAATACAAGTCGACTGTATGATTATGTTTAAAAAAACGAATATACCCAAGAGAGTGTTGATAGTATGGATTAGTGTCATTTTGGGATAAGACTTATAGTTACATGGAGAAAAGCTTAGTGTCTTAATGGTTTGGGTAGAAATATAGAAGATAATACTTGTCAGTTTGTCAGTGGCAGACAGAACTGTCCTAATTATAGAGATGTTACTTTCCCTTCTGAGGCAATCATAAGCAATGTTAAGTGAGTCTAGATCTTATAGAAGAGTTTTGGCAGTGTGTCTGCTATTTGCTTAAATATCTCATGCAGGTAGTTCCATTTAGTTTTAATATTTTGTGTTCCTTTTATAGGTTGAGCTTTTTCATAAAGATATAGAGGCTTTCAAAGAAGAATATAAAACAGCCTCATTAGTAGATCAATCACAAGTCAGCCTCTATGAATATTTTCATATATCTCCTCTCAAGGTAGGAGAAAGTCGTTTTTATTGTCCTTGATAATCTAGGTAATAGCAAATTGATGTAGCATTTACATTGTATTCTTTAGTAACACATAAAATCGGTAAATCTACAATTAAACTAATTAAGTAACAAAGGAATTACCCTTTTACATTTTTATTTATTTTTAAATAATTTTTTATCATGTGGAGTCACCTACAGCATGTATTTATGTTTATAATTTGACCTAACATTATTTTACCTTGATTTTCTGTTAAGCTGTTAGGTGACAATTTTCAAAATTTTGCATATGATCATTTGTGTATTAGTTTTAAAGTAATTTATAAAGCAGCCCTAAGAACTGAAGATGGAATGGTATCAAATCTAAGTTAGTTTTTAATGCAAAATTCCTATAAGCTAATTATACAAATAATTGAAGAAAATTATTAACCATATATGTCGAGTATATACAATACTCTTATTGTATTGCATATACTCGACATATATGGTTAATATATGTATGTGCAATACAATACAGAAGTGTTTTTTAACTGGCTATTAACTTGTGAAATAATTGAAACATACACTTTTGGAAATACAAATGCCTTTCAACTTATGACAGAGTTACGTCTCAGTAAAACCATCATAAGTTGAAAATCTTTTAAGTCAGAAATGCATTTAATACACCTAACCTACTGAACATTAAAGCTTAGCCTAGCCTCTTATACATGCTCAAAACAACTGGGCACAGTCATCTAACACAAAACCTATTTTCTAATAAAGTTATTATAAAGAATTTTGAATCAAAATTCAAAGTACAGTTTCCACTGAAGGTGTATTGCTTTTACAGCATTGTAAACTTGAAAAATCATAAGTCACACATAATTCATATACATATGGTCCCCATCATAAGTTGGGACCATATGTATTTGCATCATTTTCAACAGCTTCAACTTTTAGATTTTTAATGTTATTAACAAATATATAAAAATTAGTATTTTCTTAGGTTTACCAAAAGAATGGGATAGGATTAAATATTATGCAATCTTAAATTGTTGAATTGAAGATTTAAATAGAGCTATGTTAGATTTTAAATTTCTTCATATTTCTACTTAGTAATTTTAACATAATCCAGATAACTTTGAAATCTTATTTATGGTGTAGTGAATTTAAAATTAAACTATTTTTTAAGAGTTAAAATTGTCAATATGAAGAAAGTACTTTTCAATATATATCTCTTTATCTTTTTAGTTACATTTAAGTGTTTCACTGAGTTCGGGCGGAGAAGAAGCTAAAGATTCAAAACAAAATGGAGGACTGATTCCAGTTCATTCTTTAAATCTTTTGCTGAAGAGTATTGGTGCCACACTGACAGATGTACAAGATGTAGTTTTTAAGTATGTTTAATATTCAAATCTGTAAATTGATGAAAATATTTCTATTTCATATGTACCTAAAAATTTCGTAAATGAAAAAGTGTGTAAAGTACATTACAGATCATAGGCAAAATGAGGTTTTTGCATTTAAGTGAGGTACAATCTGAATAACACAGAACGTATGGTTTGCTAACCCCTAATTACTAAATTATAGAATTATTAAATAATTTCCTTAAGAAAAAGAGACATAGGCCATGCAAGTTGTACGTTTTAAAAGATCTTTCTGGCTTAGGGAAGGATAGGATGTGTATGCCTGAAGATACGGTGTCTGAAATGTATGGCTTTAAAGCTAATAGGAATAAGCCTCTTCAAAGCATATGCAACTAGAACAGAATGAATGCAATAATATGGGAAATGAAAGGATCGATTTTAAATGTTGTAGCCAGGAATTTATATTTTAATGTGAGTCATAATGAAGCTTATAGAGTGGCTGACCAAAGAGATTCAGTGTCTGAGTTGAGACTTTAGAAGAGAATAACCCTTTCAAGTAGCATCTAGAATTGATTATTAAGAACAGTTGTGCGAATTAACAAGTCCAACACAAGGTAACACTGAACCTAGATAAAGTTAAGTTAGTGTCAAATAAAAGTACACAGGTATGACGTTAGCAGAAATAGGATTCCACTTAGCAACAAGAAGCATAGAGCTTTTCAGTTACTGTATCAGGTATATCCTATGGATGGGTTATAAGTAAGCTAATCTTAGAATATATATTCTGTGAATGGGGTTGTAAGTAAGCAGGCAAAACGTGCTGTAACTGAACCTGGCCATTCTTGAGCAACCTCTTTATCAGTGTGTCAGACATTTTCTATGTGGGCCATTATAGGACAGAATGGTGAAATAAAGTTCTAGTGAAATCCCATTGTAGTACATGAGTGGGATTCAGAGGATCTCAGAATTTTCTAAATTACATGAAAATTTATGTGTACTGGTGACTTTTCTGAAGATAAGATCCATGTCTTTTATCAGATTCTTAGAGGGTTCTTTGATTAGAATATGCAGAGATGTATATAAAAAGTAGATTTCCTGATTGGCATGGGAAAATGTACTAGAAGGATTCTAAAGAAAATAAAGCCACTCATTAATATTAAAAATACTTTCTCCATACACATGTACAGACAATATATTTTTATGCTTTTTTCAGGCTTGCATTTTTTGAACTCAACTATCAGTTCCATACAACATCCGACCTACAGTCTGAAGTCATAAGACACTATTCAAAACAGGTTTGTCTAAGATTATCTTACAGAAGCGACAGAGTGACGCAGACTAGTAAAACCTTTTGTGTCTGTACATATATAATGTAGAATTGTCGAGGAACTAAGTAGCCATTTTCAAATTATTAAAGCATGGGTATTTTCCTCAGAATTGTAAAAAGAAGTTGAGCTCAACCACTATTTGAATTTTTTGTCCTTATATTTTTTAGCCACTGACAGAATTTTTTTCTCTATCAGCATGGACTGGAAATAAATAAATCTTTAAATAAAATATTAACTAATTTATCACACTTAAGTAAAAAATGGGTTCAAGGAAACTATTAGTAACTAACTGATGAACATGGGATATTTTTAGCATAACTAGTTAAGTCAGCCAGATATATTTTTTTAACAGATGTTTTTCCACTTCTAGAGAGACTCCTGTGTTTTAGGATATAACTTACAGAGTATCTGATATAGCTATGGTATGACAGATCACTGAGCATGACTCAGGAGATTTGGATTTATCCCACTTTTGCCATATACCCACTATGTGACCCCTGGGTATCATCTGGCTTGTATGTTTCTCCAATCTATAAAATGGTGGTAGTAATGACAGTGATCACAGATAATTATAAAAGTGAAAGTATTTTAAATATTCTAGAGCTTTACATGAGCATAATGTCATATTATTTTTAATACTATAATACCAAATTTAAAGCCTAAGAATAGCAATCAGTAGGCCTGGCATGGTGGCTCACGCCTGTAATCCCAACACTTCGGGAGGCTGAGGCTGGCAGATCACTTGAGGCCAGGAGTTCGAGACCACCGTGGCCAACATGATGAAACCCCATCTCTACTAAAATCACAAAAATTAGTCAGGCCTGGTGGTGCATGCCTGTAGTCCCAGCTTGAGAGGGGGAGGCACAAGAATTGCTTGAACCCGTGAGACAGAGATTGTAGTGCGCTGAGATGGCGCCGCTGCTCTCCAGCCCTGGGCAAAAGAGCAGGACTGTCTCAAAAAGAGAAAAAAAAGAGTAGTGATTAATAAAATGAGATGATTTAGGAGTTGATGTTGGCATTAAAGGTGTTAGCTGGAGAAAACTGGGTGTGTGTTTTAAATAACCTATAAGAAAAAAAATAGATCTAATTATCTGAATTGATTAATGTTCATGTTTTATTTTTAGGCCATTAAGCAGATGTATGTACTCATTCTTGGACTTGATGTTTTGGGAAATCCATTTGGCTTAATTAGAGAATTTTCTGAAGGTGTAGAAGCATTCTTTTATGAACCTTACCAGGTAAAATAATTATTTTTGTGGTTGTGCAATATGTCACTGATACTTTTGAATAGATAATACATTTCTATTGTTGAGTTGATAAGTGCAAACAGATTTTGGAACACACATACAAAAGGACATTATTTTGCAGCAAACAATAAGAGGTTTTGGGGGACATTTTTACCTTTTTCCTCAAAATTTAAACTTAAGGTTTTGTTAAGCTATGCTGAATTGTAAGTGTTCTCTTGGAATATAAAAGGTGGATAAAGTAGAAAGAAGATCACCATGTCTTGCTTTGCACAGTAGTGTGGAACTGTAAAAATAATCATGCAGACTGACACCAGGCCAAGCAATCTTAAAAATCAATGGGAAAAAGTATGATTGTTCTATGTCCCTTAAAACTTTTTCTCAAAAAGCCTCTTACTTTCACTTATGAATGTATAGGAGAATAAAAGATAAAGTAAAATTAATATTGATTTTGTACACTGCAACTAAAAACATTAAAAGCATTAAGAATTTTAAAGTGTTTTATTTATTTGAAATTTTTATCAAGAGTAGTTTGAACTGTGCTTGCATTTTCCTCATAAACTTACAATATGGATCAAGCATCTTTCTGTACTTTGTTGAGTTGTCATACTCCTTTCTAAGGGTCAGCTTCTAACATATCCTTCACACTTTCAGTATCCAGAAATATCCCTAGGAATCCTTTTAATGTGAAACTTTTTGCTGATATCACTTCCTCTGGGACAAAATTATCCATTTTTGTTACTACCTCTTTCCTCGTATATATCTGTAAGCTCATCTTTAAAAGTGTATATAACTCAGTCACTCATTTATTTATTATTTGGCCCTTTAGGGAGCCATCCAGGGTCCTGAAGAGTTTGTGGAGGGAATGGCACTAGGACTTAAGGCACTAGTTGGTGGAGCTGTTGGTAAGAAACAGAATATCTATCAAATATTTTTGTGCTAGAAAGTAATGGCATCATTACTTTTACTAAAGATAAAACAATTTCTGTTAGGTGGATTAGCGGGTGCTGCCTCCAAAATCACCGGTGCTATGGCTAAAGGGGTAGCAGCTATGACCATGGATGAAGACTACCAACAGAAGAGAAGAGAAGCCATGAATAAGCAACCAGCTGGTTTTAGAGAAGGCATCACTCGTGGAGGAAAAGGCTTAGTTTCTGTAAGAAATTTCACAGGGTTGTGAAGAGTTGGGGAAATATCTTTTAAACCTACATTTTGTGAATAAGGAAATAGACATGATTCTCACTCCTTAAATTATTATTTGGATATTTTAAGAGCAGTGGGTGGTAGCATATAAAACATGTCAGTAGCCTCCAAAAACATTCTGTTTAAATAAAATACTTAGGAGATCTGTTAATTCTTTTGATATATAAAAAGCAGAACTCTGTATTTTTTGCATAAGCCAAACTTGGTTCTTCTAGGCATCATAAAAAAGTATTATAAATTTTCAATTGTGTTTTCCTTCTAGGGATTTGTTAGTGGCATAACGGGAATTGTTACAAAACCAATCAAAGGTAAGTATAGTAGTTCCTTTGCGTGATGTATATTACCAAGTCTTTCTAAGTTGATTCTGTTTTCATTTTTGGATGCGATTGTCAGAAACTCTTTTTTCTTTCCAGGAGCTCAAAAAGAAGGAGCAGCTGGTTTCTTTAAAGGTGTTGGGAAAGGTTTAGTGGGAGCGGTAGCAAGGCCAACTGGAGGCATCATAGACATGGCTAGCAGTACATTTCAGGGAATAAAAAGGTAAATCCTCTTTGGTGTAAAATATACGTTAAAATGCTTAAGCCATGAGAAATGAAACTTATCTGCTCTTTGGCTTCAGGCATTTAGTTATTGTCTTTGTTTTGTGCTGCTATAACATACCACGTAATACCACAGACTGGGTAATTTATAATGAACAGAAATTTATTGGCTGACGGTTCTGGAAGTTAAAAGTCCAAGGTTGAGAGGCCGCATCTGGCCATGGCCTTTTTACTGTGTCATCCCAAGGCAGAAGGACAAAGAGAGGGCAAGAAAAAAAAAGGGAACCAAAGTCACCCGTTTATAAGGAACCCACTCCCACAGCAACAGTATTAATCCATTCATGGGGGCAGATCCTCATGGCCTAATTTCTTCTAATTAGGCCCCACCTCCTGACTGGGGATTAAGTTTCCAACTTAATCCTTGAGGGGGCACATTCAATCCATAGCAGTCATCAGCACTGCAATATGGCAGGTTGCATATGGTCTTCCTAATTCTTTTTGATATTTTTTAAGTTGCTGCCATTGCATTGTTTCAACCCTATGGAGTTCCCCTTTATTTTTCATTCATTCCTAGCAGGCTTACAGGAGCAGTTTGGCAAGTTAAGCAAACTCAGTTATCTTAGTATAAATACATTAATGCTATACATATCAATTATAAAATTAGCAAATATAATCTATATCCTTTTTATGAAATGAAGAATGGCATTTTGTATTTCTTGGTTCAAACTAAGTTTGTCTTCATCCTTCCTTTATTATCTTATTTTGTTATAAGTTGTTATAGTAGTCCTTCTTGATCTGCAGGGATCTGCAGTGGATGCCTGAAACCTTGGATAGTACCGAGCCCTATATATACTGTGCTTTCTCCTATACATACACATCCATGATGAAATTTAATTTAAAATTAGGCTCAGTAGGCCGGGCGCGGTGGCTCAAGCCTGTAATCCCAGCACTTTGGGAGGCCGAGGCGGGTGGATCACGAGGTCAGGAGATCGAGACCATCCTGGCTAACATGGTGAAACCCCGTCTCTACTAAAAATACAAAAAACTAGCCGGGCGTGGTGGCGGGCGCCTGTAGTCCCAGCTACTCGGAGGCTGAGGCAGGAGAATGGCGTGAACCTGGGAGGCGGAGCTTGCAGTGAGCCGAGATCGCGCCACTGCACTCCAGCCTGGGTGACACAGCGCGAGACTCCGTCTCAAAAAAAAAATTAAAAAAAAAAAAAAAAAAAAATAGGCTCAGTAAGAGATTAACAATAATAATAAAATCAGACAATTATAACAATATACTGTAATAAAATAAAATAAATGTTACTTGAACACAAGCACTGTGATACTGCAATAGTCATTCTGATAACTAACTGAGACGGCTACTGTGTCACTAATGGACTGGTGGTGTATAAAGCATGCATGTGCTGGACAGAGGGATGATTCATATCCCAGGAAGGACAAAGCAGGGTGGCAAGAAATTTTATCACGCTACTCAGAATGGCATGCAATTTAAAACTTAGGGATTGTTTATTTCTGGAATTTTCCATTTAATATTTTTGGACCACAGTTGACCATGGATAACTGACACTGCAGAAAGCAGAACTGTGGATAAGTGGGTACTAGTGTATATGCATTCCCTTTCTCTTCCTTTATGCAGGTAATTTTAATGCATATTCTTTTTTCCTCCAAATTAAATTTAATGTAAGGCTGAAATTTAGTAGTTTCATTATTGTTACCTCTGTCCTAGAAATTTGTAACACATATAACAGATGATAAAATTAATGTTAATGAGACCTATCTCAGAAAGTTAGGTGGGTGGCTATCTTCCTAATCTTTTTCCTTTGTGTTTTCTCTTGCTTTCTGCTCTATAGGGATATGTATTGTCATCATATGAGCTATTCCTCTTAAGCCAGTATTTCATACTGGTTACCATAATTGGGTGTTTCTGGTTTTGGCATTTAAAATTAAGATGGGGAAAAAAGGAATCATTCTCCTGTACCTGTAACTTTAGTTTCATAAATATAATGTGTTGAGTCGTAGTCGTCAGAGAAGCTCAAAAGTCAATGAAACATAAGGAATTTGAACCATGTAAAGGCTTCCGCCAAAAGCTACTAGAATTACCTTACATTTATCTAAAACCTTATAATTCTATACCCAGCTGTATTACCTTTAGGGATTGAGGGCATAATGACACATTTTTAGAAAAAATAATAAAGACTAAGAACTATTAAAGGATGTACTTGTGAAAAAAGACACTGAAAATAAAAGGAGGAATGGCTTACAAGATTGAAATGTAAAAATATAAATTGGAAAATCTAATTGAGCTACATGAAAGCAACATTGGAAACAAATTATTAAAAAATAATAAAATGCAGTTTGGGGAGAGAATGATTGGCATTAAATATTGTCATTTGTAAAGAGGATGTACTTACTAATATTAGATGAAACAGACATTAAGGCAATAAAAGCATTATTTGGGATAAATAAGGTAATTAGGTAATGATAAAAAGAACTACTAAGTAGGAAGATAGTAACAATTTCAAACTTCTACTCAGTTCGTAAAATTGCCTTAATTTTTAAAAGCACAACTTGAGAAAACTGTAAGAACTTTTCAAATGTACAATAATCGTGGAAGAACTTAATATTTTTCTCAATAATTGATAGATCAGGAAGACAAAATGAAAGTAAGTAAATTTTATCTGAATACGGTTAACAAGCTACCTAATACAAATGTAAATAATGATTCAGCACATTTTAGGGAGCGTTGTCTATGATATAGACACTTCTGATCATTTGAGGGGCCAGCAATGAACACAATTGGCAATGGTCCTGTGTTCGTACAGCTTACATTCTAGTGGGAGAGGAGTAGACAAAAATAAGCAACTGATAAATATATGATATGCTAAATGGTGAAAAATAAAGCAGATTAAAGGAAGTAGGGAGATGCAAAATGGTAGGGAGGAGGGTTGCTGTTTTACATATTCAGTGATCAGGGATGCTTAACTCGTAAGATTATATTTGAGGAGAGACCTGAAAGAAGTAAAGGGTGAGCCATGTGAGAAGAATATCCCAGGCAGAAGTAACAGCAGTTAAAAAGCCCTGATGCAGGAACATGCTTGGCCTATTTGAGAAACAGCAAAACTAGTGTGCCTGGAGTAGAGTGAGGAACGGGGAAAGTTGACAAAGACGTTACCAGGGAACATGCAGGGGATCACATCACGTAGAACTTGGCAAGCCTCTGTAAGGACTTAGGCTTGTGCTTAAGATGAGAGGCCATTGAAAGGTTTTGAGCCAGAGAAATGTGAGCTGGCTGCTGCCTTGAGGCCTAACCACAGGGGACTAGGGTGGAAACAACACTTAAAAGGCTTTTGCAGTAATCCACGTGAGTGATAATGGTGATTCGAGTGATAATGGTGATTCGACTATTACAGTACTAGAGGTTATGTTCTGTATGTATTTTAAAGGTAGTGTTAATAGGATTGGTTGATAAATTGGATGCAGGATATGAAGGAAAGAGAATCGTGAAGAATAATTCTGAAGTTTTTATGTGTAGCACTGGAAGGGTGAGGTTGTCATTCTTTTTAGGGAAAGAGAGGGTATTAGACATTTCCTTTTGAATATATTAAGCTTACAATATCTCTTAGACATCCAAATGGAGATATCACGTCATTGTTGAGTAGAGGAGTTGGAAGTATAAGAGAAAGATCCAAGCTAGAGGTAAAAATTCAAGATTTGTGAGCCTATAATAAGGTGTTTGAAACCATGAGATTGGATCACCAAGGGAATGAGACTGAAAAGAGAAAAATAAGGTCCAAGAACTTGGCTTTTAGGCACACCATCTCTTAGAAGTTGGGGAAATGAGGAAGACCCAGAAAAGGAGACTAAAAAGAAATGGTCATTAAGCTACCTAAAAAATGTTGTCAATTTCTACAAAAAAGGTAGCTGGGTTTTTGATGCAGATGCTATTGAATCTGTAGTTCCATTTGGGGAGTGTAGCTATCTTAACAGTATTATCTTTTATTCCATGAAAATGCAACATCTTTCCATTTATTTACGTCTTCTTGAATTACTTTCAATAATGTTTTACAGTTTGTAATGTGCAAGTCTTATACTTCTTTTTAAAAACTTATTCCTAACTATTTTATTTTTGATGCTGTTTTAAATGGAATTGTTTTCTTAATTTTATTTTTGGATTGTTTATTGCTGGTGTGTTGAATCCAACTTTTTTTTTTTTTAATATTTATCTGAGTGTCTGCAATCTTACTAAACTTGTTTATTAGCTCTAATGGTTTTGTGGGTTCTTTTGGGGTTTCTATATGAAAGAGTGTATCATCTGAGAACTAAGGTAACTTTACTTCTTCCTTTCTGATCTGGACGGTTTTTTTCTTGCCTAGTTGCCCTGGCTAGAACCTCTAGTACAATGTGAACTAGAAATGCTGAGAGAATAGACATGCCTATATTGCTTCTAATCTTAGGGGGAAAGCTTTCAGATGTTTGCCATTAAGTGGATGTTAGCTATAGGTTTTTGTGTCTTTATCATGGAAAGATGTTAGATTTTATCAAATGCTTTTTCTGTATCATTAAGTTGATAATTGTGTTTTCCTTTGTTTTATTAATGCAGTATAATACATTATTTGAGTCTGATCTTAAACCAATATTGCACACCTGGGATAAGTCCCATTTGGACATAATGTCTAATCATTTTTGTATTTTACTGGACTTGGTTTGATAGTATTTTGTCGAAGATTTTTGTGTGCATATTTATAAGGGATATTAGTCTGTGGTTTTCTTGTGATGTCTTTGCCTGATTGGGGTATCAGGGTAATATTGTCCTCACAGAATGATTTAGGAAGTGTTCCCTCCTCTTCAAATTTTTGGAAGACTTTGTGGAACATTGATGTTAATTAAAAAAAAATTAGGAGAATTGATCAGTGAAACCATCTGACTCTTACTTTTATTTCTGGTGAGTTTTAAAATTACAAATTCACTCTCTTTACTTGGTAAAGGCCTAGTTAGGCTGTTTCTTGAGTCATTGTCAGTAGTTTTTATAGGAATTTGTTCAGTTCATCTAGATGATCTAATTTGTTGATATATAGTTATTGATCATAGTAAATATTTACTAGTATTCTCATATAATTATTTTTCCCTTATGTAGTATTTATTCCTAGTATTCCCTTGTAATTATTTTTTGTTTCTGTAAGATTGGTAGTAGTATTCCCTCTTTAATTCCTGTTATTAATAATTTGGGTCTTCTTTTTTTTCTTTATCTGTTTAGTTGATGGCTTGTCATTTTTGTTGTCCTTTTCAAAGAACCAGTTTTTAGTTTCATTGATTATATTTTTTCTATTCTCTATTTCTTTTATCTCTGCTCTAATTTTTATTATTTTCTTCCTTCTGCTAGCTTTAGGTTTAGTTTGCTTTTTCTACTTCTCAACTTGTGAAGTTATATTATTGATTTCAGACCTTCTTTTTTAATGTAGACATTCACATTTATAAATTTCCCTCTGAGCACTGTCTTTGCTGCATCTTATAAGTTTTGGTATATTGTATTTTTGCTTTTATTTGTTTCAAAGTAGTGAACTTTTCTTGTGATTTTTTTCTTTGACATTTTGTTATTTATGCTTCTATGTTTTAATTTTCACACACTTCTAAATTTCATAAATTTCTCTTATTTACGCATTTCTAGTTTTCTTATGTGTGGTCAGATATCATACTTGTATATTTTCAGTACTTTTTTTTTTCCTTTTTTTTTTTTGAGATAGAGTCTCACTCTGTCGCCCAGGCTGGAGTGCAGTGGCGTGATTTTGGCTCACTACAACTTCTGCCTCCCAGGTTCAAGCGATTCTCCTGCCTGAGCCTCCTGAGTAGCAAAAGGCACACACCATACCCAGCTAGTTTTTTTTGTTTTTTTTTTTTTTTGAGACAGAGTTTCACTCTTGTTGCCCAGGCTGGAGTGCAGTGGTGCGATCTCAGCTCACTGCAACTTCTGCCTCCCAGGTTCAAGCAATTCTCCTGCCTCAGCCTCCCTAGTAGCTGGGATTTCAGGCATGTGCCACCACACCTGGCTAATTTTGTATTTTTAATAGATATGGGGTTTTTCCATGTTGGTCAGACTGGTCTCGAACTCCTGACCTCAGGTGATCCACCCGCCTCAGCCTCCCAAAATGTTGGGATTACAGGCATGAGCCACCGCGCCTGGCCATTTTTGTATTTTTAGTAGAGATGAGGTTTCACCATGTTGGCCAGGCTGGTCTTGAACTCCTGACCTCAAGTGATCTGCCCACCTGGGCCCCCCAGAGTGCTGGGATTACAGGCGTGAGCCGCTATGCCAGGCCTGTTTTCAGTAGTTTTATATTTACATTCAATGTTAGCCAAAAGGCCAAGAAGCAAGTGCTAATTTTGTGTTATTGAGACATGTTTTATGATCTAATCTATAGCTAATACTGAATAATGTTCCATTCCACTTGAGAAGAATATATATTCTGCTGTTATTGGTTTGAATGTTCTATAGACGTCTGTTAGGTCTAGTGGATTATAGTGTTCAAGTTCTCTTTTTTCCTTGTTGATCTTTTATCTAGTTGGTATCCATTTTTGAAAATAGGGTGCTGAAATCTTCCACTATTATGGTGGTATTGCCTTTTTGTCTTTTAAATTCTTAGTTTTTGTTTCATGTATTTAGGGCCTTTTTTGTTAACTGCTTATATGTTTATAATTTTTTATCTTTTTGATGGATTGACCCTTTTTCATTATAAAATGCCCTTCTTTGTGTCTAACAAGAATTTTTTTAAAGGCTGTTTTTTTCTGACATTAGCATAGCCACTCCAGCTTTCTTTTAGTTACTGTTCACTTTGCATATGTTTTTTCCTTTTTAGTTGCAACCAGTTTGTGTCTTTGACTCTAAACCAAGTCTCCTGTGGATAGTGTATTGTTAGGTCATATTTTTAAATCTATTCTGTTTTTATTTTTTTACTTATTTATTTTTTGAGATGGAGTCTCGCTCTGTCGCCCAGGCTGCAGTGCAGTGGCGTGATCTCGGCTCACTGCATCCTCCGCCTCCCAGGTTCAAGTGATTCTTCTGCCTCAGCCTCCCAAGTAGGTGAGACTACAGGCACATGCCACCACGCCCCGCTAATTTTTGTATTTTTAGTAGATACGGGGTTTCACCATATTGGCCAGGCTGGTCTCGAACTCCTGACCTCGTGATCCACCCACCTCAGCCTCCCAAAGTGCTGGGATTACAGACGTGAGCCACCACGCCTGGCCCTATTCTGTTTTCAGTTGGAGAATTTATTCATATGTATATGCTCATGCATGTGTATACATTATGTTAACGGTCCCCAGCCTTTTGGGCATCAAGGTGTGGTTTCGTGGAAGACAATTTTTCCACAAACCAGAGAGGAGGGATAGTTTGAGGATGTAACTCTTCCACCTCAGATCATCAAGCTTTAGTTAGATTCTCATAAGGAGTGTGTATCTATATCCCTCACATGGGCAGTTGACAATAGGGTTCGCCTTCTTATGAGTATTTGATGCTGCTGCTGATCTGACAGGAGGTGGAGCTCAGGCAGTGAAGCTTGCTCGCCACTACTCACCTTCTGCTGCGCTACTCAGTTCCTAACAGGCCACGGACCAGTACTGGTTCAAGTCCCAGGGGTTGGGGACCTCTTAATAAATATTTGTTGAATATGTGATATTTGTTGAGTGAACAAATTGAGTGGTCACTTATGACCAAATAAGCAAAAATGTTAAATCTAATACTACCATAAGCAGTATATAGTATGTGTTTTTTGTTTTTTTGTTTTTTTTTTAGACAGGGTCTCACTCTGGCATCCTGATTGGAGTGCAGTAGCTTGGGTCTCAAACTATCCTCCCACCTCAGCCTCCTGAGTGTCTGGCACTTCTAGTGCACACCACCATGTCTGACTAGTTTTTTATTTTTTGTAGAGCGGGGTATGTTGCCCAGGATTGGGGTATGTGTTTACAGTAATACACATCAAGCCCAGTAGGAATGTGAGAACTGTGAGAGTATTTGAACATTAGAAAACTATATAATGTGATTTATAACATTAATAGATTAAGGAAAATATACCATGGGATCAAAACAATGCCAGAAAAGAAATTCTTATTTAAAATTCATTGCCTATTTAAGATTTTCAAAAACAATAACAAAAAAGAACTGTTGGTAAACTAAAAGTAGCAATGAACTTTCTTGACTCGATAAGGGGTGCTTTAAAAAAAAAAGGTTGCTGATAACTATACTTGACAGAAAACTCTTAGAAGCTTTCCCTATAGTCAGGAATGAGACAAGGATGCTTGCAATCCCTTTTTGTTTCTAGCATTGAACTAAAGAAACTAGACAACGTAATAGGAAAAGAAAAAGCAACAATTGCTAATACTGTGATTATTATCACAAAGAACGTTCAAGAGACTTAAACTTCTCTATAGTTCTGTACTTTTCTAGAGAACTTATACTATTTATGTTACAAAAACAATTTAAAATTAGAAAATGTTGTAATATTTTTATTTAATCTGAAATAAGATTGTTTTTAGTAATTGCATTTAAAGTTTATTTACAAGTTTTTGAATAATTTTTAAAATCAAGTCATTTTTTTTTCCTCTAGAGCTACAGAGACTTCTGAAGTGGAGAGTCTGCGGCCTCCTCGGTTCTTCAGTGAAGATGGAGTTATCAGACCGTACAGGTTGAGGGATGGTACTGGAAATCAGATGTTACAGGTAAATTAAGAACTGTCTTATAAATTAAGATTAATTTAGTCAAGTTAGATTTTTTTTAAGTAGCCATTTAATATATATTAAATTATTTGGGCTTTTATCTATTTTGCTTAATTCCACTTATAAGTTTCTTATATTTACTTAGATTTTAAAGTACATTTATTTACTATAAGATTTTTTTTTCTTTTTTACAGGCATCAAAAAGTTTGATATGAAAAGTTAATGCATGACTTTGCAAGTGAAAGCCAACAGTAGATTTTAGTCTTAAAATTTACAAACTACGTACAGCTGTTTCAGTATTTTGAATACAAAGAAAAACCTTTTGTATTGGTAACTTTTAATAGGAATTTTAATGAATCTGGTTTTTTTATAGGGTATTCTTAGTTCTGCACTGGATTTGCTAGATTTGTTGAAAGCCTTTGTACCTTATATATCCTCATCATTGGTGGTACTTACTTAACCAATGAAACCATTTCTGTTGTGGGGTTATTAAACCACTGGTAGCTTTCATACTAGATATATAATCCTTATATCCAATTAGACAAGCAGAAGGAAAAACAAAACTCAGGAACACTGCTATTGTGAATTACTCTTGGATTCTTGTGCTTTGCCTTTGAAAATGCTTAAATGGCCATGACCCTCTTCCTGCTTTATTCTAGTGTAGTCTGTATAAAACTTGTGGGATTTAATAAGCAGTTCACATGCAAACCAGTATCTTTTAATAATAAAAAGTAGCTTCTGGAACAGTAGATACTTTGAAGGTAGAATCTGTTTAGACAACTTTCTTACTTGGTAAATTTGACTTTTTAAAACCTGGATTATACTGTAGATAACTAGTAATCATATATAGGCTATACCAGTGTCATGTTGTTTCTGTGGTTTAGAGGTGGAATACTAAATTAAATCATTTGTTTGGAAAAAAACAAGGAATCATTATGTTATGTAGGGTTGCGGATACTCATGGTAGCAATAAACTATTGGAATATGAAGTTTCCTTTATAGTTTTAATATTTTAAATACTGTGATATTTAATGTGATCAGAGTAAAGATTTAAACTTCAGTATTTTACCTACTGTAGGACGTATAGTATTGCATGAAATATACTTCTAACTCTTTCTCTGAGGCTTCTAATATGTTAAAATGTAACAGTAGAGTTAATATGCAATATTTAGTAAAGTGATTTTATACTGTATTTAAAATGTTTTTAAAGCATCAAAATAATTGTGTATTGGGATAGAACTGGTAATCTATTAAGAGGTTGTGCTCTAATGGACAGATTGTACAGTCTCCACAATGACAGTGTATCGTTCTTTGGAAGGTAGTAAATTTGCAGAAGTCACCTGTGACTGATACAGTCAAAACGTGTATTTCTACCCAATACCTACCTTCCCTTGTTAGAACACAATTAACAACTTACTAACATTTTACTAGACTAAAAATCAGATATAGTATGAAGTAAGGATGAGTATTGAGAGTTTAGGAATATATCCTCATTATAAGTGAGCACGTTATAATAACCCACAAGGAAGCCATGAGATACCAATAATTTCTCATGGCTGATAATTTGATTTCAGTGACAAGTACATACCTTCCCATTGTTTTCTGAAGGTTTAAACTTTGAGATGTAAAAACATGACTTTTGACTATGTACTTTTAAAGATACATATTTATTTTTAATAGGTTAGTCTCATCATTAATCGCTAAAAGAGCTATTTAAATGACTAAAAACCACAGCACTTGTTAGCCATTACTTGTTTTTCAGCAAGCATTTACACAGTATTAGCTGAAATATTTGGATTCACCAAGTACCTTGGGATGTTGCAGTTAGCATTTTTTTCTTACAGGTATAAAAAGTGGATTGTTGTTTTGGTGGTAGTGGGTTTTTTTTTTTTTTTTTTTAATCAAAGCTCTAGTATATTATTAGCAAACACTTTAAAAATATGTAAATACCAGTACTATGGAAAATAATTAGCTGACACATAAACTGGATTTAAAATCCATCTCATCTGCCTAGATTTTATGTAAGTGATATAATGAAGGTGCCTTAAAATATTTGATACTTTCAAATGTTTCTCATGTTATTTTCTTATTTTCCAAAAAAGGTGTATTCACTAAATTATATACACTCATATAATGATTAAATATAAAATACATTCTTTTATTGTACACCTTTCTATCTAGAAGGTAGTACATTATTACAGTGTTTCCTGCTGGTCAAAGTTGCCTATTAGAGAAATAGAATGGTAATTTTAATATAGTCACAGAATACCTTATTGATATCATCAAACCAATTTATACATTGAGTTTGTACCAACTAGTGGAATTGTCTTAGGTCTATTAAGTTATGGAATATTATATCCATAATTACAGCCTGAGTCATAGCTGAAAAAATCTGCTTTAAAATTATTCTCACTCTTTGAACATTTCATAATCTTACATGTTTTCAAGCAATTTGCCATACTTTACTAACCTTTGTGCTTCTTCTTTCCTTTGCCATGCTTACAGAAAATTCAGTTCTGCAGGGAGTGGATTATGACTCACAGTAGCAGTAGTGATGATGATGATGGTGATGATGATGAGTCAGATCTAAACCGTTAAAATTCATATGTTCTTTATTTTACTTGGAATGTTTCATTACCATGTTTTGTATGACTTACACCATAATGCCCATATGTCCATTTAGAGGGAGGTAAAGCACGTTTTCTTTTCAAATGTTTTCCTACACATCTTCATAAAGCAAAATAATTGTATTCTTTAAGCACAGAAAAAAAATGTATCTTACATCCAAAGTAGGGCATCCAACATATTATAGATTTGCTTATAGCTTTGTATTACATAGTTTGTCTTTAAGATTTCAAGTTAGACTTAAATATAATTTTGATGTTCACTGGTTTTATTTTAAATTACCTTCTTATTTGTTAGCAAAATGCCTTTTTTTAATGGTCTCTGTAAATTTTCTGGGTTTTAATGTAATGCCACTGTGTGAAAAAAAAAGGAAGAAAATAGTAATAGTCATTTAATGTTTTATATTTATTATTTTAAAGATATTTTTGTCAAATTTATTTTAATAATAATAAACATATGCAATCTAAAGCAGTGTGAATTTGTTGTTCTATCCCCAAATCATATAGATTGAACTACTATTATAAAAAAACAGTCATGGCCTCTCATGGAAGGTTAGATAGTAAAATAATTTATAGTCTAAGAATGAAAAAAAGCCGTTCTTTCATGTCTTTGCTTTACTCTTTATTGTTTTGTTTCACGTATTTTTTGTGAAACAATGAACAAAGTTGGTTTTAATAGTCCTTATAGTCACTTATTAATTTGTATATGCATCTACTGTATTTCTATTATGAATTCAGAATATTTGGAAACTTCTATCGTAAACTATATATATTTTTTCTGTGTAATATTAGGGAAAATGTTACATATATCTCTGAAAGATCCATTAGTAAATCTATTTTATGTTTTGTGTAATAAAGGTTTTTAAAAAAATTTCAACATAGATGAAACTGTCCTATTTCTCTAATATATCAGATGTACATTAAAAAAATTCTATGTAAATGATCATTGGTAGTTAGAATGTTTAATCCCTATGACTGCTGTGCTTTCGGATCAACAAAGGAACATTTATCTAGACTTCTGCTAATCGTGTTGCTTATACTGAGCTTCCGCTGTAGTAGGTAGCTGGCCTACTACAGCGGAAGCTCAGTATAAGCAACTGGTAATTTAATTTAACTGATTCAGCACATGATTTCTTAGTCTCTTCTAATTCTTAGGTTTATCAAGTTTTATTTCTATAAATCATTCGCTGTGTTTTTTGAAAGTGACTACTTTAAATTTGAAAATATTGAGATTACTGCAAAAAAAAAACTGAAAAAAAAATCAGCTGTTTTGAAATTTCTTCCTATGCAGAATTCATTCAAATTAAATAGAAATCAAGGTTACGTATGTAAAATTTGTTTGAAAACAAACTTACTAATATGTAAACATCAAAAAGTTCTTTTTGAAAACTATTATGTAAACATCAAAAATTCAATTATTGTTTTAATTGCTGTAGTATTTTTATCTTTTTAGAATAAGTAAATAAAAATAGTGAACATTAAAATAGTCACTACTGGTATCGGATACCGACTTTGTATTTGTTGCGCACCCACTCCTCTCTCACCCTGGGCCAGAATCAAACAAAATGTACTGCTCCTTCTAAAATCTAGAAAGAATACTGCCTAGTTTTGTATTTTGTGTATACCTAAGGAAGGAAGAGTCTGGAAGTTTCTTCGTTGTCTTCTTACATTCCAACTTTGCCAGGCACAAGGCCTTTGTAAAAGAGACTGTGGAACTACTTGTTTGCAAGACATTTCCCAAATTTACTGTATTTGGCCTGTGACAGTTTCATGGAATGGGATTCATAAAGATGATCTTAACCTTTCATTCCTTAAGAATTTATCGGAAAAAAAAGTTGTGGTTAGCAGTGATTTACCGTTTTCATGAAAAGAAAATCGGAGGTAGGATTACGTTTATTTAAGATATCTTCAACAGTAAAAATATTTTAGATATTATTCTAGTAACTAGTAAAAATTGCTCATGCATCCTTAGAGTTTCATCATTCTTCAGTTTTTAGCCCTTAGAGATGAAATGTGCTCTTTAACAGTGTAATTGCCCTGGTTTTTCTGCCACCGTGAAATTATCTTTTCAAGCCTCTTTGAGGACAGGTATTAATTGTGTTCCAGTTTTGAAAAAAAAAACTTTTTTTTTTTTTTGCTTTTACTAGAGAAAAATTCAAGACAGAATTGCTCTTTTGTTTTACACCATTGTTCTCTTGATGGAGGTAGAGGATCTAGACAAAAATATACTTAATTCTTATCAAATATATAGTTTGGATTTTATTAAGATGAACTCTTGTTTATCAGTGGCTCTATAATTAGCTAGAACTTTTAAAATGGTGGTATCTAACAGGAAAGTCTAGTGAGAAAGCTATGTTTGAAAATTGATTATGTAATGCC